AGGTATAAATGTCTGTTTAAAACTCATCAAGACAACAAAATAACAACAGTTATAACAATCTTCTAGGTTTTGGAATGATTTGAAAAGCATTCCATTAAATTTGGAATGATTTGAAAAGCATTCCATTAAACTGTGATTTTGACACATAAACAACTGATCTTTCTGCCCTTAATACTAGATTGTCTTATTTCTCATGGCTTTGTATTTTCTTAAAAACTAGCATGTTTATTCAGCCGGCCATTTTTAGTTACTTCTCTTGACAGGAGTCAAGGAAGGAAGCGTGGATCACCGTATGCTGGTTCCTGTGGTTCAGAGGTGATGATTTAATTGTCACTCCCTGTAAAGGCACAACAGCCTTGTTTGGTAATCATGACGTACCTTAAAGATTACACTCATTTCCAAATTCCACTGTTCCACCCATCCATTCTTACTGGCCATCATTAAAAATGTTTTTCAAATTTTTCATAACAGTGCAAATTATGGAAACCATTAGAGCTTTCAGATGCTGTTTTTTTCCCTCCATTTTTCCCATTCAGCATTCAACATACAACATGTAACAACTTCCCTTTGGTGTTCCAGAAATACTATAAATAATAAACTGGTTATTCTGAACTGTGAGCTGTGAACAGGCATATCTGCTCCATGCAGAGCCGTCTGTGTCTGGGCACCGCTCCAGAATGAACATGCTACTCGGACATTTAAGCGAATCTATTAGGAAAACGGATATTGGGCTGAAAGAAAACCAGGCCACCCTGAAATTAAGTTTGAGACTCTACAACAAAGGCGCAGTTATAATACGTGAAGAGTGTAAGGCACCAGACAGGGCAGTGGCATTTCATCTCAGCCTCACATGCAGCCTCGATATTAATACCACTTGTGTCAGGACGAGATATTTTGCACTTGCATCTCAAAGGTGGCTCGTGTATGTGACGCCAATGAAATGGAATTAAGCATAATTAAATCATTAAGATGTAAACAAGTTCATTCAGAGTGGTTTGGAATGAAATGCATCGTTCTAGATAATTGTAGTCAGGACTGTTCAGATAGGAATTAGACGTCTGAAGAGTTTAATGCCTCTACAGGTAACGTTACAGAAAGTTATAACACGAAATGGTTATGTTTATGCTGCCTGAGACATTGTTTTACAGCGGTTTTGAAATGAGGATTTGCGCTAAACCATCTATTTTTTTTGTTAAAAATACATTCATGGTGAAGGTTTTTCAGATTTACCACTATTTAGCAGTAGTAGTGTGAGTTTGAGCATCTGGTGTTAATATATAACCATGTTGAAATCTAATAACAGACTTCTGCTCATGCAACATCATTCATTGTGCACAAATGTTAGCTTGCTTGCATCGTACATGTAGCACTGTTGACATTTTAACTGCAAAACGATCCAGTAACTCAGTGGATCCAATGTACACAGAACAAAATATATCAGCTTTGGAGCATTTTTGTCTCCCACAGGATGCAACAGCAGCAATTTTCGAAAACGTCATTTCTTTTTTGCCATAAAGAAAACCAGGTTAGGTATGGAGTTCCAAATATGGACACAATGCCAATTACAGAATGATGCACAACTTAAAAGGTCTTTTAAGGCCTAAATGCCAGATTTTTCCAGACTGCCAGACAGCTGTGGTTCTGTTGTCATGTACACAATGCATGGGTGTTGGTTGCCTTCCTTTGGTGTAACTCATCTACTGGCAGTTCACCAGCTCTGTGTTATCTGTTTAAATGTCTCTGTTTAAAACTTGCCAAGACAACATAATAATAATAACAATAATAACAATTTTGTAGGTTTTACTTATTATAGCTCTTGTGATTTGAAAAGCACCTTTAAATTGTGATTTTAAAATATAAACAACTAATCTTTCAGCCTTTAATACTATTACATATTATTATCAACATTACATATAAACATTGAAAAGGTGTGTGGGTTTACTGGTCATTGGAGATAGCAAATACGCATTGTACACACCGCAACCATTGCATTTCCATTGTTATTTGTAAAGAAAATTAGAGTCGTGGGTTTCACAGTTAACCATCTCACAATAAACCACTCTTAATGACTCTGTTCATATCTACATAATTGAACTATGCAGAATTTGAAAAATTAAAAACCCCCATTCAAGACAAAACTGGCTTTTTGATGGCTACATATATCCAGTACTTTGGGGCATTCGTGCATCCCAGTCAGCAAAATTTGTCTGGACCACATCCTTGGTTTGTTCTCGCCCACACACTGTAAAATGAGTAGAACTCAAGGATATGGCCCAAATCTGGCCCAACTACATTGTTGGTCCACAACATTCACTCCAGAATTGTCCCACAAATGTAGACACGAGGCAAAATGGTACAAAGATGTCCAGGATGTGACCCTATTCTGGCCTGCATGCTTAACATCTACCCAGCAGTCAACCAACACGCACGTAGGAAAGCCAGAATTGGCCCAAAACTGTCTTGCTATCTGGGATGGGCACCACCAGGTATGTGAAGCTTCACAAACCAATGATTTCCAATCTCCTTTGCAATTGTAGCCCACTTTAACCTATGTTTTCACTACACGAGGGGCTTTCTGAGCTAAGGGGTTGACTCAGGTGTGGTAGAGCAAGGAAGACACCAAATTGTGTAGTAGAAGAGGAGTCCGGGGCCAGCGTTGAAACAGCCTGGAACACGGTGCGTGTGAACTTGAACCCCAGACAAACAAACGAGATTCTGTAGCCCAAACCAGGACAATTTCTCAAGCTTGCTGTGGTAACGTGTGTTTCCGTTCATTTATATGATCAAAAACGACCAATCCAAACTGAAAACCTTTAGTGAACGGTCATTTTCTCAGTACAAAGAAACGGTCATCAACGGCCACCGAGCCGTTAAACCGTTAACCGTCACCCTGAGCCTAAACACAGAGTAAACAACAATTTGGCTGCAAACGCGACATCAATTTCTAAACAAAACGTTCACAAATGAACACCACTTACCGTCCAGTGACAGAAAAACCACCGGCCACAAGCAAAATACGCCGACAGGCTCTTATTTACGCCCGAAAACGCTTTATTCCGCACCTGTGGGCCGAGGCCCTTTCCCCGCGGGGCTCCCCGAAAACGAAGCCGGGCTGCAGCGCGGCTGATGCGGCTTGGCGGGTAGAGCGAGGCGGGCTGCTAGGCTAAGCCAAACGGCGATACTAAGCGACGGCGCTGGGTCCCGAGCCCCGGAGCAAGGCTGGACAGAGCCGAGCTCAGGGCTTATTCATCTCCATTAGAGCTCCGTCTCCTCATCCGCCGGGTCTGGTCTCCCTCCAGCGCCGTTCACTCCGCGGAAGGAGGCTTCGAGCTCCGCGCTAACCCGCTAACGGACACCGATGAAAATGGAGGTGTTTTGTGGGGGCGATGGATGCTGGAGACCCTCTCGGCTCCTGCTTTCGCTTTGGCTGAGGGATGAGCTCACTGAGAGGGGAGGCGTCGACTGGAGGAGGGGGGGATAAACCGGGGAGAGGTGGAAAGGCGATTTTTATTAGCAAAAAACGTCTTTTTTTCTGAGAAACCAGCTACATTTTTTAGTTTACGCAGTTATAATAATGAAATGTCTACACCGCCTTAATCAGGCTGGATTTCTGACGTGTTACTTAAAGATATTCTAATAGGTTATTATAAATGATCAGATTCGCTCAGGAAAAATACTTAATAAAACAACAAAGATGTATATTTTTACGTGAGTGAATGCTTATTCGCGTAATTTTCTCAGTTTACGTGAAGCAAAATGTTTACATTCAGTCATTATTACCAGTGTAGTCCCATTAAGATTGAACAGGGGCTGATTAACTGTACTCTGGCGACCCCGTGTGGCCAAACCGATAAAACAGCTCCACCGCTGAACCTGTACGGTGAATATCTCCATATCACGACAAATTAAAGGGGAATTCCACCAATTTTTCACAATGTCGGGATAATTGTTAAGAGATAAAGTAATTCAGACTAGTATGATATGAAATGGCTTAGTGTAGAGGAACTTAACGAGTCAGAATTGTTCACGGTGGTGGTGATAGGAACCAGACGTCTGAAGAGTTTAATGCCTCTAAAACCTTCCTCACTGAATGTTATTATACGAAATAGTTATGAACATGTTGCCTGATGCCCGATACATTATTTTACGATAAAGTTTTGGCCTAAAACATGTTATTTGTATATATATATATATATATACACACACACACACACACACCACTGAAGGTAAAAGGGGGCTAACAAAATATGTAGAGAAACAGATGGACTACAGTCTGTGATTGTAGAACTACAAAGTGCACCTATATAGTACGTGGAACTGATAAAATGGACAATGAGTGTAGAAACAAGGAGGTGGTCATAATGTTATGCCTGATTGGTGTATATTTATACAAATAATAATGGGGGAGGGGGGGTACATACAGGGTACTTTTACCACTATTTTACCAGTATCAACTTTACATATAAAAACTGTATTTGTGTTGTAGACATTTGTGACCCCTGGTTCCTATCACCACCACTGTAAATAAATCAGACTTTTTCTCTACAGTGAACCATTTCACATCAATCTGCATTAACTGTTCATGTCCCAACAAAATAAATATGCAGTCATTTTGGAAATAATGGTGGAATTCCCAATTAATATTAAGAAACGACATTAAATGCCTTACACTTAAGAATAATAAATAGATTTATTGAACAAATATCAGTAGAAAATGATATTTTACATATATTGTGGTATTGTACAAAATACATAATAGAAACAGATATTTTCTTACTCTTTCCCACACATATACATACACACACCTTAGAATATCTATAGTAATACCATATGAACAAAAGGTTTTCCACAGTGCTGTGTTATTCTTCATTAATAATCTGTAATATTTTCTCCTCTTAGCCCTGTAGTACTGTCGTATGGCAATCCTGTAGTATTACTACAGGTAAACACTCCTGTAGTATTACTATAGATTTCTTTCATTAAGGTTACACATACAGCACTCAGATAGTACAGTATGTATAGATATAGTAACGGGCCATCTCCTTATTGCCGCTGGCCTGGTACAGAAGTGAGAGATTATAAGCGATCTCTCTGCGCAGATCCACTTGATCGTCTTCGATCCCCTTCAAACACAATGAGAGAAAAGTGTTATTATTCATTCATAACACTGTTGACTGTTCTGAGTTGTCTATACTGGCAACTCACTCTCAGAGGCCTAAAGATTCTTTTCTCATCACAACCTTAAAACACCAAAGTTTTTAGGCCTTAGTGTTCACTCAAAACCTACAGATGCACAGATTGTCAGCTTTTGCTCCAGTTTACATTTTGTTTTATTTTAATTTCAGTTTCTTTTCTTGAGTAGTTTGTTTCTGTTCCAGTTCTACAGAGTTATATTGAGCTTTAATAAGCTAAATGGCAGCTGAAAGTAATAAACACCGTCCTACTCACCTCCAGTTTGAGTGGAGGGAAGCTGAGTGCTTTCTGATAGTAGTGAATGGCCAAGTGAGTCAAGCCCAGCTGGTGCAGAGCCCGGCCCAGATTATACAAACTCTCCTGACAGTGACCTCTGAGCTCCACGTAGCGCCACAAGAACGAGAAACCCTGAAGAGACAAGAGAGGTGACGGTAATAGAACGTGAGACAGGTGTTAACCATGGAAAACTCAGTGGACACTTCATTAGAGACCCCAGGCTTGTATCTCTGCCTTGCTGGTGCTCAGACTGTAGAACATCTGTTGATGACTTGGGTTGACAAGTCATCCATCAGAACTTCATCAGTGGTCAGTTTGGCTGGATAGTTTTGGGTGGTGGTCCACACTCAACCTAGCAGTGACACTCAGGTATATAACAACCCCAACAGCACCACCACTACCACGTCAGTGTCACTGCTGCACTGAAAATGGACCACAACCCAAATAATTTCTGGTCACTGGTGGTCCTATAGTGGTCACTTTCCATTGTTGAATGTAGTGAAGGGAGGCTGATGATTCTGCTGCAACAGATGGGCTACAGTCTGCAATTACACCTACAAAGAGCACCTATATGGTAAGAGTTTCTGATAAAACGGCCAAGGAGCATAGATACAAGGTGGATGTGCCTAAGAAACTGGAAACTCTGGGTTTTTCTCCATGGCAAATGTTTCAAAAGGGTGTTCCAGTGTTAAGAACAGCAGTAATGGACACACCACGCATCTACACAGATCCCCCTTAACAACACATTCATGTCAACACATACCTGCAGTACTAAGGGGTGGCGTTTCATTACAAACTTCTGGGAGGCCATGTGGAAGAAGGTAAGGCCAACGCACAAGCTGTGCAGAGGGTTAGAGGGTGATTCCTAAACGCCTGCATGTACTGACCTGCTCACAAAAGAAACAAGGAGAACACCATTAAAAAAGATGTGCAGATGTGCACTTCCCATCAAAATTTGGGCTACCTCTTCTCTGTGCCTTTAATACTAATTAAGAACATCCTTGTTGGTTTACAATAACTTAACATGTTAAGCAGAAAGCTTTTTAGATCTTGCCATTTTTCTATGAAGAAACTGCAAACTAATGGAACAACTGACAAAAGTTCTACATTAGGGAATAAGAATGCATTTTATCCCCTTCTTGTAATGTCAGCACTCAAGCCTTTAGGGTGTTCAAACCACCTTTTTGGTCATAAGACTTTCAATATGTACTTTTAACAGTGGTTTGGAAAACTGTTCATTTATTATACAGGCAAAACCTGCTCTTCATACCAAGGAAGACACTTTGGTGAACATAAAACTGAGTGCTGAAGCTAAATATACACAACGGATTAACAAATATATGTTTTTATGAAAGAAAAAAAACTAATTTTTTTATTATTATTATAGTTGGTGAATTGTCCCCAAACTTTTGACAGACAGTGCATAATGTGAGTTTTTTTTTCCAATCATGTTTCCACAAATATTCAGCTACAAAAGTATGCAGTATGCAAACATTTGGGCACCCTTGGCCAAATTACGTAGTTGGCTGAATTATGAAGTGAAAAGAAGTAAAACACAGACCACAAGCTATGATATCTGCTTGATAAGGGAGTATTGCACTGACTTAAGGGCATCCAAACTTTTGCACATGCCACAGTTGCTTTTTTTCTGGTTTTTTTCTGTCTAGTGTAAAGTAGCTGTGCATTAACCTTTGCAGAACAATTTAAATACGTTGCAGCAGAGATTTCATTTTCACTTCAAAAAAAACCAAAATATTTCATTTGACCACCAAGGTGCCAAAACTTTTGAACACAACTGTTCAGGATTTGACAGCTAAAAGCTACCCAGAGCCAATAAGTGCAAAAGCAAATAAAGATACGACCTTCTGTCTCTTCACAAACAGTCCACAAAGGGATGTGAGTGAAGTACGGAGAGCCTTTAGAGGATATTTGAGCAGTTTAATAAGTTTCTGCTGCAGAGCTGTGGGACGTACCGAGGGCATGTTTGAATGTTCCAGACACTAGCGAGGTGTGTCCGTTGAGGAGGCAGAGCGCATGGTTCTCTGGGTTTTTCAGCATGAGGCGCAGGCAGAAGCGGTGGTGGCGCACGTCCTGCGACTGCAGCGTCACCTGGTTGAAGACGTTCCAAAGCTGAGCTCGTTCCACGCTGCACATCAGCATCAACCTGGGGCACAAAACACACAGGCTTGAGTTATCCTGTCGCCAAATGACTCTGCCCCACCTGATCTCAAGTTAAAACAACAGTTGGTGAAAAATCTGGTGTACGCAGTTCTCTAAATGGAGCTGATCAGCCGTGTTGGCTTGTGTAGTTTTGCACTGGAGCTATGGGGCCAATATTGCTAATAAATAATGTAACCTTACACCCCATCAAAGCAAGGGTTGGGCGGCATACGGTAATACGTTACACTGCTCTATTTTTTATAAATGATGATGTGCCACATCTCTTTTCTGTGCCTAAATGGCCTAATAAATTAATTCCACCCATTTATATCTTAGAGGAACTCACTGACTAGTGGTTTGGGAGCTCACTGACAGAAATAGGGGAAATCAAAACTCAGAAAAACTAGGCATGACAGTGGCTCAGTGAAGACTAAGAGCTAAACTGACTGCTGAACAAGTCTGATTTTGGCTTTCGCTCGAACATCAATCACTCCACTCTGCGCTCTCAGATATCCTCTAAACGAGGGCCATTTTAGCTTTGTTTAACAGTAACCAAGCCTGTGCTGTGGTGTGTGGTATATTTGTCTGCTAACTAAGCTAACAAAATGCTACAGTCCCAAACACTACAAAGCAGATTTCAACTTTCTACCACTCCAACACAAGTCACTCACTTTTGTTCTCTCAGACACATCTCAGTTTTATCATCCACACTTGTTAAGGTAATGCTAACCAGCTCCTCTCTTTTAGTCAGCAGTACTAAAATTAAAATTTAGCATCATTAGACTGTTTGCCCTTCACTGAATGATGGTTTAAAAACTGCGCACTGCATTCAGTAATTTGCTAACCATATAAACAAACAAAACTTTCTGATTATTTTCAATTTTGCAAAATACAGAACAGGAAAGCGCAAAGGCAACATAAACGCTTTTAGGTTACTTACTACGTTTTTATGCTTTTCACTAGCAACCACCTAGAAGCTGTATAAGCTGTTTTATCACTGTTTTCTTTAGCATAAACACATTTTAGTTAATATTATTATTATCAAATGTGAGCAACACATTAAAAACACGTTATAAAACCAAAAATGCAGGGTGCAAAGCAGCCACCTTGGATACCATAGCAACCACCTAGCAACATCTTAGAAACAAATATGGAATACCATAGCAACCACTTTAGTAACTGCCTGGGATACTACAGCAACCAGTTGGCAGTACCTTAGCAACCATCATACCATAGTAACCATTCGGCAACACACTATCAACTGCCATTATTATTATTATTATTATCATTATTAACATTATTAACTGAGTAACACATTCTACACACTTTATAGGTGGACAGAGTCAGTATAAACCTGTGTATAATATAAAGTGATGATAAAAAATTATATGCTTTTTTCAAAGCTATAGATAAACATGCAAATCTCAAACAGGCTCCAGCGTGTGACCAGTCCTGCGTTTTCCATTCTGAGCCATGTGCTGACCTGATGTAGTCGTAGGCTTTGCGGAAGTTGCGGTCCAGGAAGGCGGCGGACAGGCCCAGATACTCCAGCTCCTTGCGCTTTGCCCGGTCGTCGTAGAAGGAGTAGAATTCCAGTGAGGAGTCGACGAGCAGCTCGGCCTCAGCAAAGCGCTTCTCTTCACACAGAGCTTCCAGACACTGCAGCAACAGCCTCCACCAGTCCTCTCGAGACAGCACACTGGTCTTGCCTACAGCACAGACACATACAGAACATTAACAGATGCTGGGTTATGAAAACTAAGCTACTGTGCTGCACTGATCTTCAACAGTGATGCAGCCAGTTCTAATAATGTTTACAGTTTGTTTCAAAATGGAATTACAGTGATAAAAATGCTTTATAAATTTTAAAACAAAAGCTGCTGTTGCAGAAGTTGCTTTATCAAATGAAATTTTTTTGTTATGATAAAGAATTTGACAGCAGTATGACAGTAATTATCATTATAGAGACAAATTACATCACATTACTGCAGACATTATTTGTACTTAAACAGTTGAACAGTTATCTGTACTCTAACAGTTGAACATAACAGGAAGATTAAAGAACATGTTTTATTATTAAGAGAGAATGAATGGCCCTCTTTTACTAGATTTAGTATAGTGAAGTATGTGAAACTTTGAACAAAAACTATTGTACTATGATTATGTTACATAAAAAAAGAACTACTGGTGCATTGTGTCTGTTCAAACTTATCAAACTTAAGAACAAAACAAAATATGCCTGATGCATATTCCTGAAATTATATTAATGAATCACTGAATTATATATTTTGCGATTTCGCCATACACATGCTTGTTTAAAGTAATAAATAAGAAGTGATTTGACTATATAAATAACATGAATGAAACATTAATTGGACAGTAAGAGGAAACTGGTTATTTAGCACAGTGAATTATGCTATGATGTTTTTGTACTGCTGTAGCAGCAGCACTCATATACAGGGTGAGTGCATGTACTTACATTGTGCAAATCGCTAAAGCACAAAAATAAATAAATTGCCAGATTTATTTGCCAGACTATGTGTGTCTGAAGCAAAAATCTGCTGATTCCAATCATACATCGCTTCCTACATGAAACATTTTAAAAGAATAACATTTTTTTCACATAGAATCCCTCGGATACAATTCTCTACTTCTCAGGTAATGTTGTTGGGAACGTAGTGGAAGCTTGGTTGCTTTTCATGGTCAGTAAAAGAAATAACAGCTACCCGTCACGTCCAGGTATGCTGCTTCTTGGTCCTCAATTTCAGACAGCTTGTTACGGGACACTTTAATGAGCCGCAGGTGTCTGGTGCCGGACGAGGTGCTAGCTATCAGACACACTTGGGCTCTCACCATTGCCACCTACAAGGCAGAAGCAGAAATAAAGAAGTGTTAGAATCAAGCAAGGCTGAACTGGGGACTAAATTTAGCCCTGGACTTTTGTCTGGACCAGCTTAGCACAACTACAGTGATCCACCCCCCACCATACACCCCCCTATACTCCCATCTAAGGAATAAGAGTATGCTGTTTACATGAACAGTTGAATAATTGGATACGTATATTTTCAAAACAATGAAAATCAAATATAAAGCCAAATGACAATAATAACTGAAGGGTTAAACCTCATAAAAGGAGAATATATGGAATGCAGAATGGAAAGAAAAAGAGCAGAAATACAGAAAGAGAAGGATCACACAAGAGAGGCAAACCTTAAGCAGCATGGACAACATTGTGAGCAGAGCGTCTATGTAGTCTTCAGTGCGGCCTTGTGATCGGAGCAGTGTAGAACGATGCAGCAACAACTTTAGTTCCTAAATCCCCAAAAATGCACACCACTTTTGAGCAATTACACACAATTACATACAAATTACATAATAATACATAATAATTACATACAAATCTTCTCATTAAAAACCTTTGAATTTGAAAAATACAACTGTAAACGCATGGACACACACCTGCTGGGCTGCTGAGGAGTCCTGGGCCAGCGTGTCGGGGTCATACATGGGCTCCAACGCCTGCAGGGCGCAGTTGGGTCGGCCCAGCTGCTGCTGTAGAGTGGACAGAGCCAGGCGTGCTTCCAGATGCAGCGGGGCCATCTCCACCACCTTACTGTAGCTCTTTACGGCCACCTCTAAATGACCGAGGGCCTTCAGACACTCTGAACACATAAAAACAGCACATTTAATATCACATATTGAAACCACAGAGGAGAAACGTCATCCAAGTCATCTAAGCGTACTTCCACTGTGCATCCTAGACAGTTTATTAGATATACTTCAGTTTTCAAATACTTGGTATAATACAAAATGATATCAAAACTGACCTCTTTTATCTCCTTCGTTCATGTCCATGTTAATTCACGTTCATGTCCCTGGTGCCACACCATTTAAAAGACAAAATTCTTTATTTCTGCCTCTAAAATGTCTTCAGATTTTTGATTATATCACTTTCTACAAGCGCACGGGGAAAATAAAGCTTTAAGATTTTTTTGATAAAAGCTTTACGATTTTTTAGGTCTCAAATGCAAAAATCAACATTATACTGATGAAGATATGATGACTAATGTGATAATTCACTCACATTCTCAGAAGACCTGTCTGAATACTCTTTCAACATGCTCAAAATCATCAGATTCATCCTCTTGGGGAAGGGGTCCAGAGCACAACCCACGTTACAAAACGTTCTTTTTCGTAACTGCATTACGTGCAAATACACACTTCCACCAAAGAGGTCTCCAATTCCCCAAAACTTATTAGCTGTGACTAATAAGATCATCTGCCCTCTTCCCACCAGACAAGAGAAAAGAAACACTCAGCAAGCTTACAGACCTTCCCTGATACCATGCTTCACTAAGAAATACATCATGGTATGGAAGGAAAACACAAGATTTCTGACTCAGAATGTCGAATGGTTAAAATTTTAGAATTGATTACAACACTTATAATTTTAAATGTGCTCATTTTTGGTCAAAACAAAATTCTCAGACCATTCAAGTATAAAAATTAAAGAAAGCTCTGAATATTGTTTTTGTTGTCAATATTCCACTGCAATGTAAGTAGTTTATCCAGTCACATTAGAATACTATTGTTGTCCAAAAAAAAAGAAAAAGAAAAAAAAAAATTACAGATATATATCATATATAAAGTACAGGGAAATTCACTCGAAAGAGGCCCCAAATATTCTGTTATAACTCCTGTTAGGATGAAGCAGTCTGACCCCAAAAATACGCTACATACCATGACGTATGTGTAATTGATTGCATTATATGTGATGCTGGAAGTGATCTCCCTTTTCTGACAGACACATGAAGGGTTACGGGGGTATGCACCTGGAAATTGCAAACAGAGGTTAAACGTGGCGACAGCTGTCCGGCACGTACCTCATTGCTCCGACTCAGGGGCATCCCGGCTTTTTCAAAGCTCCATATACTGAGGAGCACATTGCATGTTGTTTCGTTCAGATTGCTTCGTCCTAGATAGAGTTATTACAGAATATTCGGGCCTCTTTCGAGTGAATCTCTCTGTATGTAAGTACCTGCAAATTATCATTTTTACAGGAAAAGATAAAAATATTCTTAACTTTGAATGTAAGTCAATGTAAAGAGATTTTATTTCAAGCATCTCAATTCTTCATGACATTTTTACACAATCTATAGGACAATTCAGCGGCTCGAATGATTTTAAAAAAAATGTACATTGTTTTTTTGTTTGTTGTGGACAGCTATATTTTTTTTTTACCAAAATTTACATTTAAATTACCAAAATTGTTGAAATTTGAGATGCACTGAGCCAGCAATGCAATCCACTGGTCCAACAATAAAAGGAATTTGCACAGGCAAATGGACATGTATGCACCTGCATGGCGGAGCCACACCACGGCCAGGTTGTATCTCTCTGAGCAGACGAGGGCAGACAGCAGGGGCAGGGCGGAGTTGTATTCGCCCTCATCCATGAAGGCTTCAGCCACATCCAGGTATAGGTCACCCAGCTCCTCTGGGCTCTGCTCCATCAGAGAGGTCAGCATGGGCTGCAGAGAAAGGAAACCTCTCACTACAAACATCACGGAGGAAGCTGGAGGAAGTGTGGGGAGCAGGAGGCTGGTCACTTGCATATATTTCAGGAATGCTCAGGATTGAGACATTTTTAGACAGAGCTGAAACATGTTTAGTTTAGAATTTCCCTGTGAATCTGACACTCTGTTCCCGAATGGGCTAAATTTGATGCAACAAGATTGGACAAAAACTTATGGGACATTTTATTAACTGAAAGTATAAAAGCTGGATGACTGGATAACCTGGTCAATGAAACATATGTAAAGGAAAAAAATAACTTTGTCAGACTAAAGATGGCAAAATTTGTAAAATTATGGTTAAAATTTCCTACTGAACCACTGAAGTTAAGAAGTAGTGTCGAGAAAAATCTATATTTACCCCTGACAAAATAGCCAAATTAGAACTGAGCTCATCTTTCTTATCTTAGTCAGTAACAAAATCAGCCTGTTTAGTTCTAATTCATAATGAAAGGTTGAAAATGCTCATGTTAAAATGAATTATGACCCTTTTTTTTTTTACTAAAACCTCAAAAATGGTATGAGTGCACCTTAAGGGAAAAATACAGAGTACAGAGAAAAATACACAAAACGGAGAAGTAAGCTTTAAAGAGGAATCAGAACCAGATGTCTGAAGAGTTTAACACATTTAATAGCTCCCTCACAGAATGTTATTACACAAAATGGTTATCAATATGCTGCCTGATGCCTGAAATATTGTTTTATGACAGTTTTGCTATACATTTTTGGCCAAAAACAATTTTTTTAAACCCATTCATGGTAGAGATGGTACAAGCAGGGCAAAATATCCCACAAAGAATTTTTTTCTTCTTTTTCAGACTTTTCACTAAATAAAAGTTAATAAAATGGCTATATTTGCGTTGTAGGCATCACAAGACCCCTGGTTACTATCACCACCACTGTAAAGAAATCTGATTTACAACTCGATTACACAGAAAGTTTGAAAAATCTGTGAAATTCCCCTTTCAATATTTTTTTTTAGCCAAAAATAATAATTAAAATGAACTGCCACCACTTTATATTTCAAACTACTATCATACTAGTTGGTGTTCACTATCTTTTAATCACTGCTGTTACAAATAATGACTGGGTTAATGTATATTTAAGTAAGGTACTCACATCTAGTGGTTTGAAGACACTCTGGTGGATCAGACAGACCATAAGCTTCACCCTGATATCTACTGGAATATCATCAGGAACCACAACCTCCAGAATCTCTCCTACAGAGAGAAAAGCAGTCAGATACACTGATGAAAGTACTCTTCTGTAGACTAATGTAGTTCAGTGATGGTCTATTTCAGATCAGTGCAAGCGTATGAAAGTCACTGCAGCTCTTTCATCCTCACCCTTCGCTTCTGCCTCTTCTTTCTTCTCAACCTTCTGTTCTTCCTCAGTTTCTGGATCAGGCTGCTCTTTGGTTTCTTGCTTGCTTGAGTCTCTCTCCAGCACAATGTTACAGAACCTGATCAAGGCCTGCAAACAAACAGAATCTATCCAATCAATCTATCAAGCACACAGTCTAGACAAATTATAATTGCAAGCTATATTAACTCACTACAAAATCCCTCCACGTCTCACTTACACATACAGTCATATGCAAAAGTTGGAACACCCCCAGTCAAATTACATGCTGGTTGATTTTAGTTTTAAGTTAGAAAAAGTTAACACATCCCCTGGAAAGAGGATGTGGAATTTTCCTGCAAATATTAACGCACAATTTAAATTTTTCACATACAGGAAAACACAACACACTATATTGAATATGTTCTCAATATGTTAAATTCAGCAAATAAACTGTAACTGTGCATTAAAATGTGCAGAAGTGTGTTCTCTGTAGAAGATACATTCACTTATTTTCAACAAAACATCATCTGACCAGGTGTGCCAAAACTTTTGCATATGGCTGTGTGGACATTTAAGCATGCAGCCTGTTTTGTCTCACCTCTAACGCTTTGCTGTATTGGTGGTTGGCTATGTAGAGCTCGGCTGCCATGTTAACGCACTCATGGGAGACCAGCTCGGGGTGCCGGTCCAGAGCCTCCTCCATCACCCCGATAGCTGAGGAGAGCTCGTTGCTCTCGTAGTAACTTCTAAACTCACAAACACACACAGACACACAAAGAAGAATCGTATGAGTGAAGCCGATTCTGACATAACTGGAAAAAACATACCAAACTACATCAGAACAGTTGAGGAACCTCTGGCTGAACATAATTTCTCCAGTGCACCCTCTGAGCCCTCTAGGCCTTCAGAAAATTGTCTCTGCAAATGTTGTGGTAATGCTCTTTATTTTATTGCTATATTTTAGTTGGAAAAAGGGTTAAATCTTGAAACTCCCAATGGAAAACTGTCCAATCAGGACTACTTTGGAAGAGACTAATTCTGTGAGAAAAACATCACTCTAGGCCTTCTGTAAGACCTAGATATGTCACTGACTGAATATTAGCAGTAATTTAACCAGGCTTCAGTGTCAGATTTTAGAAATATAAAACAGCAGCAGTTCTATGCCATGACTCTTTACTGTATGCAACAAAGTAAAACTGCAACATTGCATGTAAAATACATTGAGTGTTTGTGTGGGCTTCAGTTAAATGTGGTCAATGCTTCAGTATTTTAACAACTTTATCAGTGGCAAACCGTGACAGTGCTAGGTCTTTATTTTTAGGCCATAAATATCAAAACACAGTCAAAAAACAAACAAATAAAGAGACACAGAAAGACCTGTACAATAATGCTGATTTCTGCTAGTGACCCTGTGGGATTTCTTACAGTATGTTTGCATTCACTGTATGATGGCTGTGAACGCAAAATATGCAAAGAAAAAAATACGTTAATGTCTGTTGCAAGTTTCAAATAACATTATGGAACGTATTTTAAAAGTTTCATATGTCTGTGTTTAATTTAAGATATTTAAGAAAACGTTTAGTGCTAATATAATTATCCCATGCGAGTGCTAGCAGAAATTAACATCATCATCAGAAATGCAGGGTTTTGACAGAGTTTTGATATTTATGGCCTGAAATGAAGGCGTAGCTCTAATAGTCACAATTTGACAATGATAAAATTGTTTGTTGAAAATATTGAAGCATATTTATCTGCAGTCGAGCATTTAAGCCCAAACAAGCATTCCTTGCAGTGCGCAGGCATAGCTAGCTAACATTAGCTGAGCCGTTTAAAATTCCCTCCAATTCGAACCATTTTCCAGAGAGGTATAGCTTTGTGTGGCTATGCAGTTTAGCTCATAAAAAATAAACCACATCTTTAATTCATTAAACTCTGAAGGTACACCTTAAGTGAGCACTCTTAGTAGACTGTGTTTGTTAGCCTGCTGAGCTAGAAATTGCAGTGCCTAGCTGAGCTAATGTAATCTAGATGGCTAGTTAGGCCTGAAAGTTAGCTTACTGATGGGTAAGCCAGAGCAGCACTACTCAACTCGTGGCCAAGTGGCCGCACGCATCCCCCACGGACCCCCTCTTACTTGGCCATGTCGCGAGACAGCTGCATGAAGTGCTCTCCGTCCGTAGGGGGCAGGAGGCTGAGGATGCGGCGGTAGCCGTCCATGGCCTGCTTGTGTTCTCCCACCTGCTCGTAGAGGCTGGAGCGCTCCCAAAGATAGCGCACGTTACTCTGGTCATACTTAATCGCTGACCAACACAGAACACAGCCTTTAGATAGAGTACCGTCATCATTCACGTATTGTCATATACACAATTGTCATACTGATATTCGGAATTCCTTATATCCCTTTTAGTTTGGTGAAAAATCAAATTTATGCAAATTTCCTCTTAGCCTGAATAGTTGAGACTTGTTTGGTTTCTGAAGTTTGCTTAACTACAAGGCTAATATAGCTAACATGTAAACCGCACAACTAAATTATCACTTTCTATCCAAAAACTGAGCTAAATTGTTAATTAATCTCTCAGGTGTATAAAAATGGACAAAATTACAGACCAAATGTGGGCTTCAAGATGGCTGGTACTGCTGTTTTGTATGGAGTTGGAAAGCAAATACGCAAGTCTATTTGTACTATATGTGGCAACACAGGCATAAATTTAGCACAGTGCTAATGAGTTGGTAACATTTGGTTGGTAGCAACTTGTTAGCTACATTAGCTTTGCGGCTCCAGTGTAAAACTAAAAAAAACAAGCAAACTTCAGACATTAAACACCTCCAGCTCATGATACACTTGGGGAAAGAGGAAAAAATGCATTTACAAATAGATTTTTTTGCTGAACTATTTTTTATTTACTTAAACCTTTTATTTATTTAAACCTTTCCAGTGTTTAAATAAGAACACATTTAGATTGCTGACAGTTGCTGACTGGTGATACCGTTAAAGCAGTGATTGCTGAGCCTTCCAAAAAAAGCCTTCATTTGTTTTCATTTCTTAAGAGGAATTTCACAGATTTTCCAAACATTCTGCATAATTAAATGGTTAAGATGCAAACAAAGCCATTCAGAGTGGTTTGGTGTGAAATACTTACTGAGCCAGAATTGTTCACATTGTTGGTGATAGGAACCAGACATCTGAACACCTTTCTTGCCTCTAAAGGCTACATCACAAAAAGCTATTACATGAAATAGTTATTGATACACTGCCTGATGTCTGAGACATTGTTTTATGATAGGTTTGAAATATGATTTTGGCCTATTTGGCATATTTTTTGGAGAGAACAGTAAATATAATACCTGTATTTCTCTACAAGGCACCATTTCACATGATACCACTTGGAATGACTTAATTCATTCAAATATTTTATTTTACAGATATTTTGGAACCCAGGCTTATCCCACACCTTAGCCACTGAAGAGACACCTCGCTACATTAGACACAAGCAAACTGGCTGCTGTAACTGCGCTGACCTTTGGTGTAGCAGATGATGGCCTGCTTGATGTTGTCCTGCTCCAGAGACATGTCAGCCAGTTTGACCCACTCCTCGCAGTCACTGGGGTTCAGGTGCGCCGCAATCAGTCCGAACTGGAGCGCCTTCTCCATGTCACCCTGATCCTCATAGATCATTGCGAGTGTAGAGAAGGGTTCATAGGCCAGGGGAGCTGAGACACACCAAAATGCATGGTTTGAATTCCCACCCAAATAAAATCACTTTAACACTGACATCCACTGAATTCTCTTCAAACATTTCTGCAGAGAAAATGTTACTATGGTTAGATCCAGATTTACAGACCTGAATTCTGGAGTAAATGGAAATTTTTAAATCTAAAACTGTTCAATGGGTTTTTCATAAACCAAACCCTGAAGAATTGTGGCAAAAAATAAGAAATAGGTCCATAATTTAGGAATAAAAACGATACATCTTTTAACATTGATCTTCCTGATTGCAGGTGGCTTGAGGAAATAGGAAAACTTAAACTTCATCAATCAGAATCGGGCATAAGACAAAACAGATCCAACAGACCCTGGCGAATGATCTCCATGCACATCAGGATAGCGTCGTCTTTGTCTCCGCGAGCATAGCGGATGTTGGCCTCCCCCATTAACCCCCGGAGGGCACGAGGTAGCTTACTGCGGGGGCGTCTTTCCTAAAAAACAGAGAAGGGCAGGGGTATAAGAATTACCTCAGAATTTGCAGGCAGAGACCACCCATATCCTCCTGCACTCAATTTTAAGAGGAAATGTTTTTTATTAACATCTCATTAATGAAAATATGGATCATAAAGGAGTGTTTACACCTTTTTGCCAGCTTCCATTTACGCTGTCCTCAGTGTGACCTGATGAAATCAGATTGTACTTTTCACACATAAAAAGCTTATTAACACATACGCTGTTTCTGCTTTACCCTCTGTTTGCTTTTGAGTTGACAAAATTTTTTATTTAACTGCCGCTATGAACATTTAGATCGTATCATACAATAATAGTATCATTTCATTCTTGTTGTTTGTCAAAAATAGTGACTTGGACTGTATCGATGGCCACCCAAACATATTTTATCCCATTTTAAACAATACTAAATTTCCATTTCTTCCCATTTTACCAAACACCAAAGGAAAATATTTTACCTTTTTATGAATAAATAATAGCACATAGTGTCTTTAATGCAAAGCATCAGTTTTTTTCCACCCCGTGGTCATTTTCACAGCTTCAGACTTCACATTAGCTAAGTTCATGAGGTGCTTCATATCTAAATTTTGTTATTACATGTTAGAGGGAACAGAAGTGGTGGAAAGACTTTCTAACAATTAGTCTGAGATAAACTGACAGCTCCATACGCTTGAAGTACTGCTCATCCAATTAATGCTGTAGATCGCACCTTCATCATCTTCTTGTTTTCCCTATTCAGTTCCATCTCCAGGGCGAAAACGTCTCCTGGCGTGACTTCACTGCCGCCCCCACCTTCATCTTCATCGTCCTCGCCGATCTCTCTCCACTCTTCTTCATCGTCGTCCTCGTCCATGTCTTCATCCCCAATCTCCTCGAGTCCCTCCCCAAGCATGGAGGCGAAGGCCTTCTGAACAGATGGGCTGACTCCCTCTTCTGTGCTGCCTACCGGACAAAAGGCAAAGAAACATTCTTTTTCAAACTGAGATGCTTCTCTTAACTGGAAAACACTGGGAGCAGTAAATGCTCTGAAACAGGACGACTAAGACTGTAGCTGTTGTTCACGTTTTTCACAGGGGTTTATGCCCATCAAGGACCATTTCATGCTATAAGCCAGGGGTGTCAAACTCAACCACTACAAAAAGCCATATTAAAAAAATCTCAGCAAATACGTCGGCCAGCCGTGTTTCATGTCATTTTACTTTGCCATGACCTGAACTGGGCACTGTTTATTCAAAATATGCCAAAACTGCAACAGCAAAATTGGTGCTGAAGACTTATTCAAAAATAATTCTAAATAAAAATAAATTGCTTCAGGTAGTAACTGTCTATTTTCTTGAACTAGACACCAGGCATCTTTTCTTTTTGTGTATCTGCTGACCCACAGATTGTTATTGGGGGAAGGGGGTCAGAACACACAGTATGTTGCAGTGCATGCTGGGGACTGCAGTGCATTTCAGGATGAAACAATCTACTAAAAACAGAAAATTAAAGTCATTTCGCGGGTGATATAGGACTGTGTCAAAGGCCCGACTTGGCCCACGGGCCTTGTGTTTGACAGATGGGCTATAAGCAATAGAAGCAGTTACTTAGGGACCCCGAGCCCCACAAGTATGTCGTTTTTTTTACAGTTGTTGTTGTTTGTTCTCGTTACCGTTATATTTGGTTTAGTGATGATAATGGCAGAAACTGTCTTATGCTTATTTGCTTTATTTAGTTGTTTCAAGTTTCTATTTCTCAAATGTTTTAGTAATTATTGTTTTCTCCTAATTAAAATTATCTATTAATTATAATCCATTCTTGCATAAAGTCTTATGCAAAAGTTTGGCCGCTCATACATATTGGGTAAAAATATGTATATTACATTTTTTTTAAATATATTACCTCAGCAATAAATAAAAAATTGTGCATTTTAAACATTCAGAAAAACACCATATTAAAGTTTGTTCATTTTTGACTGTATGTTAACTTATTTTCATTAAGAAAATCAACCAAACAAAATAAAACAGGGGTATTCACACTTGCATATGTGAATTGGGGTGGATGCAGTAGCTGAAAAGCAGACTGGCGGTCAGGGCCCCGAATGCACTGCACCAACCTGCCTGATGTTTCCAAGGCGTTCTGCGAATCTGCTTCGAAGTGCTTGGAATGGCATCGTCCTGATCGGCAGCATCATTCTCATCAGAGCCATGACCTGCTTCCTCCTGGACCAGAAACATCGTCAGCAAAAAGAACTTTCCATGCAGCAATGTTCAGATTTTTTATAGACCTTTAGAACAACATCAAACTGATGGTAAATGTTTTGGAGGGTCCTTATATGGGGGGTGGATGGCAAAGGTTCACAGCATGACCCGTCATTAATGCACTAAATTTTGAAAACATGTTCTTAAATTGAAAGCATCTGTTTTCAACTAAGATGTTCAGCATTCTCTTGCTGCTAGTTGGGTTAACCTAAAGTATAATATAGCTGAGATACACAGCAGAGAGAGACAATAAAGCACAAAGGTGGAAACAAGGTCTGGGGCTGTTTTCTGACAGTGGTGTTGGTGAGTTTGTGCTCATTGATGGTGATCATTATGATCTTAGTGGTCTGTTTAAAATAAATGCCACTTGTTTCTTAACAAAATATCCCTTATTTATCAAAAGCTGCATAAAAAGTGCAGCTTTACTGACATACAAACTTTTCTGCTTATGATACGTGAAACATTCATACAAGAAACAAGTACTATATCAGCTTTGGTGCGTGAAATCAAGCACCTTACTATCAGCACCTCATTTATATATAATGCAAATGAAGCCCTAATTCTTGCAGATGTTTCAGTAAGGATCCAATAAAACAGCATTCAGAGGCTCCTGAGCCAATGGCTGAGCTAATATTTGGAGTTGCAATGAGTGCACAGCTCCCCCTTCTGACCAAACTTTATAGTGTTCAAATTACAATCACTGGAAAGAATCAAACATGAACAAAACATCTCAGTTTTTTTTAAGACAGCAGAATGATGTGATTATGAAGTGTGATATTTTCCTAAACATCATATTTAAACACCGTTTTATTGCAGTGTTTGAGATGCTTCTGTACTAACTTCTGTACTAACTGCTTCGTATAAAACAAAAGCACAGTATATGGGTAAATGGAACATGGAAGAGTTTCAGGGTTGGTTTACACCTGTACATGTAAAAGTACATCCAGTTTTGTACTGGATTTCCAGGTGCACAAATTATTAGTACCATTGTTATTTTCTATTTTTATTATTATTATTTATATTATATTTTATAATTATTATTGGTACGACAGGATATTAACAATAGTTTGGGCTAGTTAACCACTTATGCTCGCGGGTATATTTCGGTTTGTCCATCTGAATTTAAATGACCAAATTGTAAAGCAAAAAACTGCATGAAATAAATGTAAATTATTTTATTTATTTATTTTTTTGTAAAAGCTCCCCTCAAATTAACAGAAAATGTGTTTTATAATCACACACATTGCTATATGCTTACAATTTACTGCTGAAAAGCCAAAAATCTTAGACACTCTTTGTATTATTTTATAAGAATAATTTTTACAGAGCAGATCACTGAAGAGACGCCATCTGTTTATAGTTTATAGCCCAGATTTGTGGAAAAATGGGTCGACTTTCAGTAGAAAAAAAAAATTGTGAGTTCAGCTTCTTTTATTATAAGGGTTTAAAATTACATCACCCATCTATTTGACTGGAAAGAATACAGTTACAGCTCTCATATGACCCCCACCTTTTGAATGTAGCTTATGAACCAGTGGTTCCAAGGAGTTTAAGATGTTAACCACAAACCAAGCAATTATTTCAGGTTGTTAAAGTATTATACTTAAACTTACACACTCCTACCAGACGATCGTACAGAAAGATGAAACTGATGAATAACGAAACTGTCAGTGAAATTTAAGTGCACTCATTTTACGAACATATTTGATTGTACGCAACTTTAATAAATTATGGTCAAATAGGGTCCAACAGGTAACCAGTGGTCTCTAATGGCAACCCTTAAACCAATTCCCATTAGGAAGCAAAACCATCAAGTTTTAACCCTAATAGCCCTAATGGTCTTTATTTCCAGCAGGGTTATCGAAGACAGGAGGGAAAAGGTGAGGTTAAACCATATGTTTTGCCTGCATGTGAACTAAACATTCATGAATTCATACTTGAACAGTTCCTTTAGTCTGATTAACTCGATCAAGTCGAGTCAGTTCAGGGGCTCACAGCACACAGAGAAGCTATCAGTGAATTAGAGGTCTTATTGTTTTACACCGCAGTCTTTTGTGACCGATTTTGTGAAAGACGAATATCGCGATGACGATAAATGAGCGATGTATCACGCAGCTCTATCAGGAACCCGCCCAGCACTGTATCAGACGCGTTCACGGAGTTATTCACCTTCCGCTTGGCTCTTCTTTCCTCTCTGCGTCTCTCAAACTCCTCGAAGGAAATCTTCCCCTCCAGATAATCGTTGAGCTCCGGGCTGGACTCCGACATTATTTACAAATCAGAAATAAATCGATATAAATTTAACTGGACAAATACAACTGACTAACCCGGGCTCATGAGCACCGCGAATCTAGAGACACTCAGAGACACCAGCCTTTCAGCTCCTGTCAAAATAAAAGTCCTCTCTCAAAACGTCTGCATTCACTTGCGGGAATTCAAACGTGAGAAACGTATTTAGAAGATGTTTTTAAACAAAAATTAGAGATCTAAAACCTGAAATTATCAAACAAAATGATAACAATGTAATATAATATAATATAATATAATATACGTTAACATACAAACACATACAGAAGAAATGAGCCTACACAGAGCACCAGAGTCCCGAGTTACTGTAAAATGCAAAAAATAATAAATCCATTAAGTTGCGCTGGCAGGCATTTTATCCAAACACTCCTGATATGCACACATGAAACTCCGTTGCTAGAACATCTTGACTTGTCATTCAATTAAAAGCCACAATGCAAAGCTTATAAATGTACTATACAACCTTCTAATACATCCCAAGAAGTATTCCCATTCATTCAATGGGCATCAAAATTTGTCATTGATTGGAGCATAGTATGGACCCTCTCTGACGATGACATGTGTTAAATAACAAGGTCAAAGAAGTAACATACAAAATCCTTCATAAATATTTCCCCTGCAACAGTATAGTCTCAAAATATACAAGTATATAAGAATATATCGCTGCTGTCGGAAGAAATCCTTGTTTCTCCATTTTTGTCGGTTTTCAGCATTTGGCAATATTCGAAAGTGCCTCTTGCTCTTCACATTGTGTGTAAATTTCATGAAGAAAGGCCCAAAAGTAACGGCCCAAAATTACTTTGAAAATTCTGGTTCCACTGACTTACATTAAAAGAAACAATTTTTTTTCCTTCTCCTGTGAAGTTGCCATTTTGGAGACATGAGGTTTTGTTCCGACAACAGCGATATATATAACTTTTGTGGTGAAAAAAATGAATGTATTGAACACATCTTCTTCAACTGTATCCATTCTAAAAATTTTTGGTATGATGCAATGAAGGATATTGGACAAAAAATGAACAGTATATTAAGAATAGATATATTTGATATTTTATTTTATTATACAGACTCCAATAAGGACATCGGCTACTTGTTTAATCTGTTTATTCTCCTTGGTAAATACTTTATCCATAAAATGAAATTTTCAAAGAGAATCCCATCTTACAGTGCATTTAAAAATGACTTTTACAATTATATCTCCTCAATCCAGTATATGTATTGTAAAAGAACATCTAAACTAATAAACGTGTTGAGAAAATTTAACTTTGTTTGAAGACTTGTTCCACTACCTCACGCAAAATGCGATATCTGCTTTTCAGTTTATGAATGCACTTAACTTTTTATATTTATCATTCTTATATTTTATATTATTCTTTCTTGTTTCCTTTATTTAAACTTTTGAATTCTCAATGTGAACTACTGTTGTACTGAAACCCTGTCTCTGATAATCACTTATTCCTCTAGTAAAAATTCTTCAATGTGCTTTTTCATATGTACAGACGAAGTATGTACGTATAAAGTGTCAGCATTTTTTTCTATATATTTACCTCATTTTCTAGGAACATAGGATGCTGCATGTGGACTGATGAACCCCCTCTGGATGTGCTGAAGCAGAAAGACTCTGTAAAGACAGTTTGGGGGCTTCACACTCACAAAGTTTTAAAACAGGCGCACATTAGTGACACCTGGTGGACAAAAGGACAAACAGCAGCTGCTTTGGCCTGAGTTTAAGAGTAACTGGGCCAAATCTGTTCCTTCTACATGTTTCTAAAGCAGCAAATGTGATTAATAACATGTAGATACAGTACATTCAGAACTCTGCAGCTAGAGTTCTCACCTATACTAAGCATTCAGCTCATATCACCCCCCACTCTCTCTCGGCTCAGACTGGCTATTAGTCCTGTTCTCCTAGTTTACCTAGTTTAAAATTAGATCTGATATTTCTTAGAATGAAGTTATTCAAAAATAATTCAGTCCAGAAAACTAAGCTATACTGCCATTCCTAAAGAGATGGGTTATAGTTTCTTTGCTTGACTTACAGAATCTGCAGCGCAAATCACTATCAATCTAAAAGAGGCTTTCACTGGACAGCATCTGTGAAGTATTCTGAATGGTCCATCTGAACATCCAACTGAATAAACTTTATTTGTCCCAGGGGGGCAATTCATAACTGAGCATATAAACAAATGACCCAAACATATAACATAGAGACATCCACAGAGAACAAAAGACAAACATCTTCATAAATAAGATAAATAAATAAAAAAAACATAGTAAACACATGGCTCACCAGGAATGATCAGTGACCAACCTGAAGACAGAGTGTAGGACATGTGAAGGGTCTTTCAAAATAGAATGGCCTTTTTTAGAGTCTGTTGTGTATGAAAGACCACTTATTTTGGAGTAAACAGATATCAGGCTCTGTGAACAGTTCTTATTTTTTAGTTTTGTTGTTTATATCCTAGTTCAATAAAGGGGTCCACACAGTCATCAACATTATTCAGACAGTTCAGTTCCGAACCCTGGTCCTGGGGTATCACATGCCCTGCACATTTCAGTGTTTTCCTGGCTCCCAACACACTCATTTGAAGTCATGAAGGGCTTGTTAACCCTTAGAAACCTAAACTTTTGGGTATTTTTTTTTGTATTTTTTGGGTCAATTACAATTACAGTTGCGATTATAAAGTATTTACATATGACAGTCACACATGCCATATGTTATTTTCAGGAGACCATGGGCTACTCAGATATGTCAGATATTAACATGTAAATGTAAGTGCATTAATGTTTATCTTCTCAGAAATTGTTAGTCTGGAGTGTCTGTGAGCTGAAAGTGCAATAATTTTGACGGTAATTCTTTCTGTTGGTCATTATGATCATAAATAAATAATTAGCATAAGGCGGACGTTTTATAATTGATTTCCTGTCCTCTTGGATTCATGCTCAGTACTACAACTCTGATACCCAGCAAGACAGCCTTTATTTTTAATTACAAATTGAGTTGCATATTTAATATCAGATATTTTTAATACTCAAAATCAATGTAAACTGAAAGCCCTTTGTTTATGATATGAAGGCTAAAAGCAGAGATGTAATATAACAGTAGCGAGTGGGGTTTGGGTGATTTTGGAGCTGGATTGCTGGGTGACGGATGGTCACAGGTGGATGAAATCACTCTGGATGATGAAGCAGAGTCTTATGAGTGATCTGATGTGTGAACCCTTTGTTGGAAAATGAAGGCCAAACAGCAGAGCAATAATATAAGGATTTTGGGTGATTTTCCGAGCTGAATTACTCACTGATGCTGACGTCACAGCTCAACATCATGCCTGCTAGTTAGGGGCGGGTCTGCTGAATGTCCTGATATGGATCATGTTTGTATGAAGGCTAGAAGTGACCTACTGTTTTGCCTGCAAATTGTGGTCTCTGGTTAATGAGGGGTTACTGAGCTAATCAGCTGGATGAGGTGTGTTGGGAGAAGGGAAACACAAAAATGTGCAGGGCAGAGGATACTGCAGGACCAGGGTTGGGAATCACTGCTGTACATGGTGTTTTAACCTTTTCATTGAGAATAAGCAACAAAACGTCATTTGTACAAAGGCTGACAAGAGCCAACAAACAGCAAAAAAATGAGCTGCAAATGCAGAAAACACTTTCATCAAAATGATATCATATGGACTGCAATTTTACAAATGCTGTGCAAAATAATAACATGTGCTGCAAATTCATAGACACTGCAAACTCCAAAACACTTTCAGCAAAATGACTACACCAGTGCTACTGTACATACACAAAACGTATACAATGTCAGAAACATCGCAACATCAGTCAGAACAAAAAAGAAATGTTTGCAGAGGACACTTAAAGAGGATGGACACATTGAAACTTTTCAATTCTATGCAGCATAAATATTCACCATTAAACGTAATAAACCTAAAATAAAAAACTCAAAAACAAAAAATGATGTGCCATCATAGATAATCCAAAGCAGTGGCATAACTAGGATCTTATGGGGTCTAGTACAAAAACAACTACTGGACCCCCCAGCACACAAGAATTACTTTCAGGTAATAAACATAAGACAATGTAATTTGCCTGACTATTCTGTATTGCTGTGTCTCAAATTAGTTGATGCTCTCAAGGCACACCACTCCACCCACTAGAACCTAGAATATATTTTGTTTTGCTATAGTGCAGGGGTCTTTAATTAAAACTCAATAAGGTCCAGTTAGAGAAAATTTCCTCAAGCGAAGGTCCGGAACATCATAACGTCTAATCTGCATCATGATTCAGTGCCATATACTGTTTACTGAAGTAGCCTAGTAGGTATAACAACATCTTATACAGTCAACAACTGAACGTCAAATAAAATAAAGTGCACTTCAGTCACATTTCAACAACATTTACTATCAGTTTTCTCTTTTTAGAGCCGCCATGTGAAATAACCTCAAATACATTTCAACATATGGAATGCATCATTAATCTGTACAGATCACATGGATCATCATTGTAAAATTATGTTCATTAGAATTAAAATATTAGTCCCACATTATATAAGGTGTTTCTAAAAACTGTGTAATTATACATTAACAATGCATGCAATAACAATGTAACTACTGACTTATTTGATTGTAACAGGAGGTGCGTATTTACCTACCCTATGAAAGTACTGACCCTGCATCTGCACTAGAAAAGTTTCCAAATTCATGTTGTGATAAGGTAACCTAACCAATGCCAGTAACCTGGCAACGTTATCAAATCACATGGCTAAATATAAATCTGTAATTGCACAGTACGTACATAAAGATAATTATTTTAAGGAAACATGGACATCTGCTCTGCTGTGTAAATACTGTCACAGTACAGAACTGTTGAAAGCCAGAACTTTGGTTAAGTAAAGTAGGTTACATACGTCCAGTTATAATCAGAAAAGTCTTGCTGAAGATACAGCAGTTCACACTATTACACATAGGAAATTACGTAAGATACATTGGAGGAATAGCAAAATAATAGAAAATCATGTGCTCCCCTCTTTTTGAAATTATGTGTGTTAGATTTGTAGTATATTTAGAACTACTCCTGACCATGCATATTCTGAACAGTGTAATCATGGGTAACTCATTATGATTTGATTGATAACTGATTGGTAACTATTGTTCTCATACAATGTAAACATGTTTCTTCAACCAGTATAAAATAAAAACTTATTGTAGTAGTGACTTATTGTGGTAAAGGGCAGTAGAATAAATACTGTAATTGAAACAGAACAAAGTAAAATAATACTTCAGATGAAAAAAATGCAATGCATTTCGTTAATGCAAATCTCACAAATACTTCTGTTCTGCTCCACTATTTACAGTGTGTAGATGAAGTGAAAAAGGTTAGCAGAGCTAATTTAGGCTCACAGAAAAGGTCATTTAAATTCATAAAAGAATATCAAAAGATCGATTGTGATGATGTACATTGACCTCATGGCTGACCTCACCATTCTTCAAAATCTGAGTTGCTTTAGCTATTAATCCAGTTCAATGTAAACAAGTAAAATGTTATTAATACTTGTATAAATAAATATTCTGTAAAATCTTATTTTTGTATGCAAGCTGAATTTAATTATTAAATTTTAAAGATTTTTTAAATCTTTAAAAAAGATGTATTATTTTACATATTTTAAAAATATTTTAATTTAAATTATTAGATTCAATTCTTACATGTTAAATGAAAAGTTGTATTTTTAACTCTAAGAGCTAAAGTTTTAAAGGCAATACTACATTTCAGCTTTTCATAAGCTACATAGGCTACTTGGGACTTTGTTTCACATGTGTAGCTGTTTGGGGGCATTTCTGTATGTAAATGAACTGGTAATAAAGGAGCAGAGCAGTGTAGGATGTATCATTGTTCATATAGAACATACTCTATGCTTGTCTTGATAAATGAGACCCCAGGACTTTTCACTGTATCCAAAGCCAGGCTTAAATACATACTACTGGCTAGTGCTGGACAGTGTGATCAACAACTTGCTTTGAAAGAAACAAGGCAAAACATTTTACATCAACTCAAACCTGAAGAACACTTCTGCACTGATCCACGTTTTTACACTGAAATGCCAAAATTTCATGGAACAGCAGTATGTAAATTGATTATGAAAAATGCAATATGGTGTCCCACAAGTCTCTGTTTTAAGCCCTTTACTGTTTTTCCTATATTTACAGTCCACAGTATATCTAAAATGTAATCACAATGTTGACCTTAGTGCTGATAATTCTTAATTATATGTGTCAACTTAGGTACATTCAGTAACACAGCTCTAAATAGGCTCCAACTAATTCAGAATGGAGTACTTATGAGCTTACCGGGAAAAGAAAGGTTAAACAGACCACTTTTCCCAGCTGAGACAGGCTTACTGCTAATTCTTAGGATGGAGGCTCATTTACCTGTGTTGTTTTTAATTGTGCCTTTATTTTCATTTAGACTATAGTGTTTTTACTTTATCCCATAGTAATCATTTCAAAATGTTATAAATAGAATAAAAAAGTGCTATATAAATAAAGATACCTTACTAGTATTACAAAAGAAAAAGCCCACTACAGAATAACAATCATACAGAGATGACCTGTAGTTCGTAAAAGGACACTAAGTCTTTGTTTTTTCCAAATTTACTGATTGATTCCTTGATAGTGTACATTTTTCAAGAGATAGGGCTCTTCTATGTGACCCACAAACACACTGAGGCACCAGGATAAATCCAAAACCCAATCCCTGCATAAAGGGGCTCAGTGAACGTACAGTGGAATGTATATAAGTGGGTCAGTGCATGTGTGTCAATGGAGACACTGTAGAAAGACAGACTGCCAGAAGACCAATCCAGATACACTCCCACTCTTGAGGAAGAGCTAGGTAAAGCCATTTGCTTCTTATTGTACCTGGCAATGTACCTGTTATTAGAACAGACCAGAGCCCAGGACTTCTCATTGTAACCAAAGTCAGGTTTATCATTGCCTTTTTTCCTGCTGATTCCTTTGTATGCCATTGCTAAAGCAGATACTCCGCTCCACTCAGCCTCCCAGTAACAGCGTCCAGTCAGGCTCTCTCTACACAAAACCTGTGGACAACCATCAAATCTCTCTGGATGGTCAGGATACAACTGCTGCTCTTCCATACGGGTCACCTTTCTGTTCTTCTCAGACAGAGACACAAATGTGTTTGCTGTGTTTGGGTCCAGTGTGAGTTTGCAGGCATCTGCAAATGAATGGACAGAGTATTTTAATTCTAGTGGAAGTGGTAGGCAGGAATTTAATTTGGACAACAAAATTATAACACAGATTGTTTTCTTTGTTTTATTTTAATTGGGGATGCAAAAATAAAGTCAAAAAATTTTGAAACAGGTTTCCTCGTTTATAATTTTATTTTACTTTAAATTTTTGTTCTGTGCAAAAGTCAGAAGCTGCCCTTCATTAATGTATTTTCTATTTTAGGAAATATAAATCTGTAATTGCACAGTACGTACATAAAGATAATTATTTTAAGGAAACATGGACATCTGCTCTGCTGTGTAAATACTGTCACAATACAGAACTGTTGAAAGCCAGAACTTTGGTTAAGTAGGTTACATACGTCCAGTTATAATCAGAAAAGTCTTGCTGAAGATACAGCAGTTCACACTATTACACATAGGAAATTACATAAGATACATTGGAGGAAAGACTTGAAGGTTCTTATTCTTAAATAATATTTATGAGCAAATTGTTCCTGCTTTTTGCCCGCTTTATGCTGTTAAATTACAATAGCAAAATAATAGAAAATCATGTGCTCCCCTCTTTTTGAAATTATGTGTGTTAGATTTGTAGTATATTTAGAACTACTCCTGACCATGCATATTCTGAACAGTGTAATCATGGGTAACTCATTATGATTTGATTGATAACTGATTGGTAACTCTTGTTCTCATACAATGTAAACATGATTCTTCAACCAGCATAAAATAAAAACTTATTGTAGTAGTGACTTATTGTGGTAAAGGGCAGTAGAATAAATACTGTAATTGAAACAGAACAAAGTAAAATAATACTTCAGATGAAAAAAAGCAATGCATTTCGTTAATGCAAATCTCACAAATACTTCTGTTCTGCTCCACTATTTACAGTGTGTAGATGAAGAGAATTAGGAAATATTTCTGAGGAGATATTGCTGAGGAGCACTTGCATAAGAATAAAGTCACAAAAGAGAAAACGACACTCCAACAATTCATGAACTGTCATCATCAGCACTTAAGGCATGAAGACTACTCAGTGCTATGGGTTGTGTTCCTGAAAAAAGAAAGTCAATTTGAAAGAAGACAATTTGCAGCTGCCGGTGTTCTCTGGACAATGGACTGACAATCCCAGAGTCTAGGCCTCAACATCAGTATTTGAGTTTACTTTGATTGTGAGAAGCAGAAAATGCAACCAACATCTAAGACTGAACTTTGGAAGTGAGGAAAAACAGCCCTGCTGATTGATTACTTCAAAAAGTAAAAAACTGCAAGTAAATCTCCTGAAAAGAATGGAAACTGTAATAGAGGCCGGCCAAGTGTGGACTGATTAAATGCAGAAAATGTTTATATTACATTTAGTTGTGGCTTCTCTTTACATTTCTGTAAATCATTTGTTTCGTGCATTGTTCCTTGACAAATTAATAACTTAAATACTTAATGGTTATTTGAAAATTAAATAATTGAAAGATGGTCTTTGCTTTGTATCTTTGTATCTTTACTCTGTAGTTTATGTTATATTGGACTGTGTAGTTAAAGTTTTTCCAATCTCTGTCAAAAAGGAAACCATTTCCCTTTTTCCTATTTTGAAATAAAAAAATAATGGCACAAACTGACATGGGCTGTGTGCATTAAGGGTATAAACATTACTTTGAACACAGTGAACTTACACTTTCTTAGTCCTGGTTTGATTCTGTTCATCCCTGCATGCTCCATTCTAAAAACACACATAAATAGTCATTTATGCATTCATTCTAATGCTTTACAAGTTGAAACCAAATGCTCATTTTCAACCTTGTTGTTCTCTCACTTTTTACCTTTACTTTTGCCTTCGCTTCTAGGTTTACACATACCTGAGCGTCTCCAGTCTGTAGCAAGGATCCTGTAGTCTAGCAAAGAGCAGCTTTTCCCCTGTATCTCCTGGGTGGTTGTATGTCAGATCTAGTTCTTTGAGGTGTGAGGGGTTTGAACTCAGAGCTAAAGCCAAAGAAGAACAGCCTTTTTCTGTAATCAAACAACCAGACAATCTGCAAAAAAGGAAAAAAAATAGACACTGGATCATGATTACACATACTCAAAGTGAAAATACTTCCCTCCTTTCATATAAACTGCAGCTGAAATGGTAAAAACTGAGAATATGTATAATCCGTCACAGACTACATAAAAAAGTGACTGAACGCTGTGGTCCACTCCATGCTCAAAGTCAGCAATGCCCCGATCAGTGCTCACGGTACCTACGACTAACCTCACCACTAGCACCAGGAGAGCCAAGCCTTCTTATGCACAATGCAATATAGATTATATGTTACAGCAGGTGAGCGTGCTGGCGGCAGACTTAAGCACTTTGGTCCAGCAGGCTTACCCCACATTTGGGAAGCACGTTCAGGAGGAGTTGGTGTTGGAATATTTACTCTTTGACATTGGTTCGACTATCATTGGGCATGGTTTCCCACACCACGACAGGTACGCTGGATGGCTGAGGGGAGATCACTGTCCAGTTTGGCTCCATTACTAGTGGCCTAGTTGAAATGAGAGGGAGGAAGATGCTCCCAATTGTGCTCGGAGGTCTGAACCAAGCACACAAATTCGGGCTTGCATCTATACGTGAAGTCTGTATACTTGGTTTAGACTTCCCGGCAGCGATGTGAGCCATGATCAACGTCATGAAGACTTTTCTGAATCTGGACAGGAGGCGAGGAAATCAGCACATGAACTCCAGCGGTAAAGTTAAGGTGGAGGGTCTTGGCTCCCTGGCAGTGAGGCTTCCGCCTTCCATGAGGGAGGCCTTTGGCACTAGAGGAGCTGAGCACACAGAGCTAGAGTCCTAGGCTGTAACTCTGGTGGCGGGGCTCATTGCCAGGTCGAGGGAACGACAGTAGGGCTGGGCTGGTAACAAATATTATAAAAATTTAATTACAATAATTATCGCACTATAACTTTCCTTGATAGAATTATAAGAAATGTTTGACAAATGTTCAATATGACAGACCACTTCCACATTTCCACGTCCTAGTGACAGCCCTGGTGGCATTTTCTACTGTAAGAAAAGCTACTCTACTCTGTTGTTGCCATGAGAGGGCGCACAGAGTTTTTCGACATGATTCAATAAGGGAGGGGCTGGGGACTAAAATGGGTTATCAAAGTCTATGAGAGTGTCATGCATACCTTCAGCCTTGCTGGGAGTGGGTATTAGCAGCCACTGATGCCAGAGAAAAGACAGCATTCACACTGTAGCATTTCACAGTAATGGCCTTTGGCCTCTGAAACGCATTGTCTATGTTCAAGTGGCTGACAGAACAAGTGCTAGCCAGTGTCCCCATCATCTCGATGATGTGCTGCCCATGCACCAGATTTTGATGGGGCACTCGCAAATTTGGAGCTGATATGTCAAACTATTAAATCTGCAAACCTCTGGCTGCACCCCAAGAAACAATCTCTTTCAACAGCATGTAAGCTTTAACAGCCACACAGTGAGTGTGCAGGGGTGGAACAGGCGCAAACATTTACTGCCATCTGTGCGAGGTGCCGGTACTGGCATTCTCACAGGCAGGTGGCGAGTTCATTTTAAACAAAGATGCTAGTGACAAGGGCATCAGCACTGATCTCTCGCATACACAGGAGGGTATTGACAGGTTATCGTCTATTACAGTCGGCGGTTGAGCAAGCAGAAGCGCAATTACTGCGTAATGCAAAGGAAATTGCTAGCTGTTGTGGTGGGGCTATGACAGTTTTAGCTCTAGCTCTACGGTATTCCCTACTTGTTGTGCACTGATCACGCCACATTGACCTGGCTCATCCAGTTTAAAGAGCTAGAGGACCAGGTAGCAAAGTGAATCATGACACTACAGAAGTACAATTTCTTCATTTAGCATCATGCTGGACTTCTACACAGCCAAGGCACTCAGCGCAGGTTGGGACAGTCTTTGTTTACATAAAGGGTTGTTGTACCACATGTGGGAGGAGCCACTGCCCAGCAAGTGCTTCTGGCAGTTGCTGGTGCCATGCAGTCTGTGAAAAACAGTGCTGGGCATGGTGCATGGGGCAGCTGGCATGGGGCATTTCGGGGTGGGTGACTTACGTACAGCCAAGAAAAGGCTGCCGCAACCATCATCGGGTTTGTTGCAAACCCTCTGCACTGGTACCCCAATGGACAGAGTAGCCATGGATGTCCTGGGCCCCTTTCTCACCACCGAGGCTGAGAACAACTATGTGCTCATGGCCATGGATTATTTCAGTAAACGGCTGAGGCATATGTGGTCCCATACCAGAGTGCAGCCACGACAGCAGAGCAGCTGGATTGGTATGCAAGAGGAGCTCCAGAGTGACCAGGCACGCAACTTCGAGTCAGCAGTCATGGCTGAGGCTTGCAACTGACTGGGTGACTGAAAGACCACACTGCTCCACCCTCAGAGTAATGATCTCATGACCCACATGGGTTTCAACCAAACGCTCACTACTTATTTGGCCATCTTCACTAATCAGCACCAGTACAATTGCCCTGGTCTGCTGGCTTGCCGTACTGCTGTGCAGAAGTTGACTGGGTTCACTCTGGCACTTCTCATGTTTGGCCATGAGCTCAGGATGCTTACAGAGCAGGTCTTTGTGAGCCCATCGGGGTCAGAGGGGGACAGTGTTACCAGAGGAGCTGAGGAGCTTGGTCACTGTCACCATGTTGTGAACAAGCTTGCCAGGGGCCATTAGGGTGAAACCAGTGACTGCCAGACAGGAGGTGGTGTATAGGGTCTGGGCAGGGCAGCAGACTGTTATAGTTCACAGGGATAGACTGCCCCATACTGGCCATATGAAAAGGAGGCCATGCCCGGCCGGACAGTCATCTCAGGAGCTCTGCCCTAAAGATAAGTTGGAAGTCTTCCGGTATTCTTAAAGGACTTGCCATGTGGATCACCAGAACAGATAACACTTGAAGGGGGGGGCAATGAGGCATCACTTATGCCTGTGTTTTATTTTAGTTTAGTTATCCTTTTCATTGCTTTTATTTAGCACTTTGGGGACATGTGTGTGGTGGTAGAAGCCTTCTAAGAGGGAGTGGATTGTTTTTATAGGAGGAAAGAGAGATAGCTAGCTTAACTACCACAACCTGATCAATATAAAGCAATGGACATTCTTGTGAGTTCAAGATCGTTTTATTTTTTTAAAGTCAATTTATAGCTGACGTCAATGTAAAAACTTTTTTTGTACGTATCTGATTGCCACTGCTATGATCATTAGAGGACCCTGTTATTCAGCTTATGAAAGTGTAGCTGGATGTATTTTTGAAATACTAAAATGATTGATGAGTTTGTTAGGGTTTATGGCTCTTTAAAATGTATACAGTATAAGATGCAATTTAACTACAAATCTAAAACTGTTTTTCCCTTTCCTATAATTTGTGTATATAGTATTCAGAAAAAAGAATGTTGTTGATTACAGTAATATATATATTTAAACAATACAATGCACTGTCATTACTACATTACAGTATGAGTGCTCTACTATTATTAAATTTAATATTAATATAACACAGCACATGAGCATCTCTGTCTCTATTCACTTACGTGCATACACGGCAAATGCCGTTATACCATTCTTCTGTTTCAAAGTAAAACTATGACTACATCACACTCTTTTAATCACTTTTTGGCCATTTGAAGAAAAGCTTAAAGCTTTAAAAAGCTACTATTATCCATTCAAGAAGCAATTTATAAAAAGCTCACCTGAGTATCTCCAGTTTACAGTGTGAACTCTTCAAGCCAGCAGAAAGCAGCTCTACTCCTAAATCCTGAAGATCATTGTTACTAAGATCAAGTTCTTTCAGTAGGGAGTTTGACAATTGCAATGCTGATCCCAGATTTTCACAAGTTTTTTCCCCAATATTACAGATACTCAGTCTGCAAAGAGATAATAATTACATAACACATCTTCTTAAAATATATTGTGGATTTTATATGTCTGAAACTACATGAAACCACATGAAATAAGAAACCAAATACATATAACTGATGTACTTAAATTTAGTTCACTTGTCACAGTTACATAATTTATAAATGTATTTATTTTTCATTAAAAAGCACATTCACTGAAAGTTTACCTGAGTATCTCTAGTTTACAGTGTGAATTCTTCAGTTCAGCTGTAAGCAGATTCGCTCCTAAATCCTGCAAGTTGTTGTTACTGAGATCCAGCTCTTTTATGGCAGAGCTTGGTGATTTCAGAGCAGAGCAGAGTATTTCACAAGAGATTGTGGTGATGTTACATCCAGCAAGTCTGCAAAGACAGAATAAACTGCAAATGAATAAAGTAAACAGAGGCTGTGGAATCCAACCTGAAAGGAGCTGTCTGATGAGATCTTTGTGGCAAATGTCAGACATTCTGTTACTAAATCTAACATAGCTAAACACATGCAAAAGCCTGTGCAACAGTTTATAGGTTAAAATGACGACAGAACACAGAAACCTCATTAATGCTCAAACCATGTGTGTATGTTATCACTACCAAGTCAGGTGAATATATTTACAGACAATGGATTTCAGTCATCTCCAGAGTGCCTGGGCATTGTGCCTCCTAAAGGACAAATGCAAAAGCTGAATCAAACATAAAATAATTAAAAAATGTGACCTATCGTAGTTCAGAAGATCCCATGACCTTGGTCTTCTACAGTACTACTGGTAGATGGCAAAACCGTTGCAGATATAATAAGCAGGAGGCAGGAGATTAGTGTCTCTAAGCCAGTCACATATCATACTGATGAATAAGAAAGTAGGCGAAAAACACATTATTGCAAAAAATCCCTCCTACACTGTAAAAAATGGTTTGTCCATTCATGTGCATCTTCATTTGAGCTGGTTTTACTCACCTCCAATACCAACAAATAAACTTGTTATCATATAAAGTAATTTGCACTGAGGATACCATGCTACAAGCCAAGACTGAGTACTGTGGTCACATTTGATCATTTGATCACTGTTCCGGAGAAGCTATATTTCATTCTTATTTCAACACATTGCTGTGATGAGAGGGAATAACAGTCTGACTTCTTTTGATTTGATTATTTTTCCTTTTTTGGCAATATTACTAAAGACTGTCAAGCTTACTGACCCCTGAAGTGTAGGTCTTGGAATAATACAATACAGTAGACATTTATGTTCGAGTGCTGGGTGAAATGTTACAAGGTACATATTTTGCTTCTGCATGCAACTGCAAGGTGGCTCCAATAGCCTATACTATACTATCAAGCCAGATGTAGAGCAAGAGTGAATGTCCCTTTTTGATTCACTTTTGTCCCTGCATGTGTGGTGCCACATCACCATAGAGTTTAAAAAGAAAAATGTGTATAAATAACATGTTTGAAACATACTAATGTTATTTTCAGGATGGAGTGTTTTAATGCAGCAAAGTTAAATATGTAGGCAATTTAAGATTCACAGACTAAAACTGGCTAGAAAGCTCATCTGTTTTTTCAGACAAAGTTCACCTGAGTATCTCCAGTTTACAGTGTGAACTCTTCAATCCAACAGAGAGCAGCTCCATGCCTGCATCCTGCAGGACATTGTTACTGAGGTCCAGTTCTTTCAGAGAGGAGTCTGCTGATTTCAGAGCCGAGCACACAGTTTCACAGGAATTTGTGGTGAGATAGCAGCCAGCGAGCCTGAAAAGGTAGAGTAAATATGGTACCTAATACAATGGTTCATAGGAGATTATTTAATAATAATAATAATAATAATAATAATAATATTATGTTGCACCCCATCACATGACATTGAATTTAATGTGAACATGGGTGTGTTACAGTGTAATAGTGTCCAGTAAAGTTGATAAATAGACTCTTTCATAATGCATGTAATTCACCGCATATTCACACTAATTCACCCTAATTCAGCAGTGATCAGAACTGCTTTGTGGAGAAACTCTGAATTCCAGGTGATGTAATGTCAATCGCTGGTACGACTGTCTTTACACTGTATCAAGATAGTGTTTAGTCTTTATTTATGTAGACTTAGTTAGCATGCATATAGTATGAACTATAGCACAGTGCATTAGCATTCCCCATTTTGATTACATTTGCTGCTCTTACTTTTAAGACTGTGTAAATTAATTATAAAATAGAAAAAATCAGACTGTATTTGCAGTTTTCCTAAGAGATAAATGTCCTTAACACTCAGTCACTATTCAGTTTTCAGACATAACACTTACAGAGCTTTCCTGCAGTTGTTCACAGCTGGGAGCAGTCTTCTATAACCTTCTTCTGATGTGTTATGCTTCTTTAAGTCCAACTCGTCCAGCACCTCCTCTGATATGTGCAGCATATAGGCGAGTGCTGAACACTGTCCAGGAGAAAGACCTGTTTCGAAGTGTTTCTCTGATTTGAGGTACTCCTGAATCTCTCTGAATAAAGACTGGTCATTTACTTCAGTGAGACAGAGAAACAGGTTTATAGATCTTTCAGGAGAAAGATTCTCTGTTTGTATTAGGTGTTTGATGTGCTGTACTGTTTTGTTGATGCTGTCTGAGCTGCTCACTGTTTGTGTAAGTAGGTCATGCAAAAGTTGCTGATTTGACTCCAGTGAGAGGCCCAGCAGGAAACGGAGAAATAGATCCAGGTGTCCATTCTGGCTCTTTAAGGCTCTATCCACTGCTGCTTTCAGTATCTCTTCCAACGAAACATTGCCAGACCACTGTTTGTCCAGTGGATTAAAAAACTGCAGTGGTTCCATGTTCTTGCTCATATAGCAGTGAAACACGTAGAGAGCAGCTAGGAACTCCTGAAAGCTCAGGTGCACAAAGCAGTAGACCTTCTTTTGGTAAAGCACAGATTCCTCCCTAAAGATCTCAGTGCAAATGCCAGAATACACTGAGGCCTCGGTGATACCAATGCCACATTCTTTCAGATCCTCTTCATAGAACATCACATTCCCTTTCATAATCTGTTTGAAAGCCAGTTCAGCCAATTTCAGAATCATTTCACTGCCACATTGTGGTAGTTTCTTTGTATCCCAAATTTCCCTCTTCAATTTTATCAATTCTTTCTTTATTTTCCCACTTTCACTGTATTTCTGTTTTGTTATTTCTGTCTGAGTAAGCAGAAAGTGTGAGTACATTTCAGTCAGAGTTTTAGGAATTCCTGTATTACTTTGTTTTGTCATTTGCTGAAGAACAGTGGCTGAGATCCAACAGAAGACTGGAATGTGGCACATAATGTGGAGACTCCTTATTCTCTTAATGTGTGAGATGATACTGTTGGCTTGCTCTTGGTCACTGATTCTCTTCCTGAAGTATTCCTCCTTCTGTGGGTTATTGAACCCCAGGATTTCTGTCACACGCTCAATGTACTCAGAGGGGATCTGACTGGCTGCTGCTGGTCGAGAGGTTATCCAGATGTGAGCAGAGGGAAGCAGCTCTCCTTTGAAGAGGTTTGTCATTATCACATCCAGTGATGACACCTTGGTTATGTCTGACAGGTTTTCACACTGTAAAAAGTTCAGTGGAATTCTGTTTTCATCCAGGCCATCAAAGATGAAAACAGCTTTGCAATCATCAATTATCTTTGGGTCCAGATCTTTGAGCTCAGGATGGAAGTCACACAGAAGTCTATGAAGACTGTATTGGTAATCCTTAATCAAGTTCAGCTCTCGGAAAGGAAGCACAAACATGAAATCTATGTCCTGATTTGCTTTTCCTTCAGACCAGTCCAGAATGAATTTCTGCACAGAGACTGTTTTTCCGATGCCTGCAATGCCCTCAGTCAGCACACATCTAATTTCTCCTTCTGAGTCTTGTACTGGTTTGAAGATTTCTAAGCAGTTAATAGGAGTGTCTTGCAAGAGTCTTCTGGAAATGTTCTCAATCTGTAAAACCTCATGTTCTTCATTCACTCCATTACTCTCTCCCTCTATTATATAGAGCTCAGTGTAAATGCTGGTCAGAAGAGTTTTATTCTCCTGAGATTTGAATCCTTCAAATAAGCTCTCATACTTATTCTTCATGCAGGTTTTGTGCCTCTCTAAAATCCTGTGCAGGTCATCTCCAGGTAGGAAGTACTCTTGCTTCCTGGATAACCCCATGTTTGGAATTGTTAAAGGATTCTTCCTGCAATGGACACCAGTAAGGTCTTGTAAAGGCCTGGACTGATCCTGGAGCATGCCATCCATCCTACTACTCAGAAAGACAAAGTGTTATTATTATACAAATATTGTAATTACATATTATTATTATTACCATTATTATTATTTTGTTATTGTTGTTCATTTGCTTTTGTACTATTATTATAAATTCCATCTATTATTATAAATTCCGACTCTTTTTAAGGAAATATAAACAGCTAATAAACAATCATTTTCATAGCAATTAGCATAAAATGCCAATATATAGGGATCATGCCCAATCTGGCAACAAGAGCTGCTGGTACTATCTTGTGTCAGTGATGAGCTGGGCAGGAGAGCAGAGGTCTTGTCATTGTCTTAAAAAATGAAAGTGTTTTAATGGCTACAAACATAGGGGAGAAGGGAGAACAGGGCACAAGCTAACACTTTGTTTTTTGTTGAATCATCTTATGATGTTGACTGTAGCTTGAGTGGGTTCAGAGATCAGTTTTGCCAAAAATACAAAGTCTTTGGGTGTGGTGTTCCATACTCTTCTAGTGATGAGACAGGTATGTCATCATTACCTTTTTAAATATATTCAAGGAAGAAAAATATCAATACATCTGAAAACTTAAACTTTGTATCTACCATCTTTGAACAATTCATCCTAAACGCGGAATAACTGGGCGGCTAGTTTTAACAGTTGCTGGAAATGACTGGTAAATTTATGCAAAGAAAATTAATACTATACATTGCTATGTTGTTCAAATCTAATGAGCTTTAAAGCCAAAACAGACCTGCATCGCAATAAATATTTCATTTGGGAATTTCAACCCTATTGGGATGCTTGCAAAATGTAAATAAAAAACAAAAATAATAATGTGCAAATCATTTAAACCCTATAATTAATTTAAAATAGTACAAAGACAACATATCAAATGTTGAAAATGAGAAATGTAATTGTTTTTGAAAAATATATGCCTTTTTTTAATTTAACGCCAGCAACATGTTCCCTAAAAGTTGGGATGGGGCAACAAAAGACTGGTAAAGTTGTGTGATACTAAACAAATCACCTGGTGGAACATCTCACAACTAATTAGGTTAACTGGCAACAGATCAGAAACATAAATGGGAAAAAAAAAAAATCTTTCAGAAGTTGGGGAGGGGTTCACCACTCTGTGAAAGACTGCATGGGCAAATAGTGCAACCATTCAAGAATAACATTTCTCAAGGTAAACATCAAAGAAAGAGGATTTCATCCTTTATGGTACATAATATCATTAAAAGATTCAGAGAATCTGGAGAAATCTGTGTATGCCTGAGACAAGGTTGAAAACCAGCACTGGATGGCTGTGATCTTTGGGCCCTCAGGTGGCAATGCATTGAAAACAGACACAATTCTGTAGTGGAAATCACTGCATGGGCTCAGGAACACTTGTGAAAACCACTGTCTGTGAATATAGTTTGTTGCTGCATCCACAAATTAAAACTCTACCATGCAAAGAGGAAACCATATATAAAGAGAATCCAGAAATGCCTTTGCTGGGATTGAGCTCATTTAAGATGGACTAAAGCTATGTGGAAAAGTGTACTGTGGTCCAATTAATCCAAATGTGAAATTCTTTTTGGAAATTATAGATACGGGATCCTCCAGGCTAAAGAAGGGAGGGACTATCCAGCTTGTTATTAACACACAGTTCAAAAGCCAGCATCCGTGATAATATTCTGTGGACTGATTAGTCAAAGGTGGACCTTTTTCGATGATATGGAGCCCACTACATCTGGCATAAAGCTAACACTGCAAACGTGTGAAATGTCATTTAGCACACAACTGCAAGCTACTTTCCTTGTAATGACTGCTTTAAGATCTGGAATGGCATTGTCTGCTGATAACATTCCCTTACTTTGACCAATTTTTAATGATTTACGTTGCTTCCAAAAAGCTGACCTGTGATGTACATGATATACACTATATGTCCAAAAGTATCCACCAATTCTAATTAGTGAGGTGAGCTACTCTAAGCTGCAATGAAAGATGACACAGGTGTTCAATTGCACAAACACAGTATGTATGATGTCCATATAAAATCATTGCTGATAGAATAGGATGGATGCAACAGCTGTAGGCTTTGGAGTAATGGAGCTCCATACAAAACCTCTGAGATGAGTTGGAGTCATGTTTGTGATGTGCAATCAATTATTCAACATAAGTACCTGACATCGCTAATTCTCTTGCAGCTGAACACAAATGTTTCAATGTCTAATGTAAAGCCTTCTCAGAAAAAAGTAGAGGCTGTTATGACATTAATGGGTGAAAAAGATCCTTATACCCTTATACCCTTAATTTCATAAGAAACTGGGTGAGCATGTGTCGGCAAAATTTTGGACATAGTGTACATTAAGTTGATAAATGATCTTAATGTCCTTAATGTTTCACTCACTTCGGGTCAGAGGGCACAGGTCCACTTCTGAAATTAAGAGGCTCTTGATGGGAATGGTCACTCTTCATAGACACACAGCTGGGAACTGGACATCCTGCTTTCTTTGTGCTGATGGCAAATCATCCATAATGAGAATAAGGTGTTGAGTATGTACTTTCTTTATGAAATCATTTATCTTAAGCATTCTATTCTATTTCCTCTTCTTTATCACTCAAGGCAAGTTACTTACTTTGGTTGAGAGGCTCCTCTTTCACTGCTGGAGTTATGAGGTTCCATCATGGAGTTGTTTCTCTTCTCAGACATACAGCTGAAACTGGAGATGCTGCTTTTTTCTTCTTATTGTTCATACAATATAATATGTAAATACTCATTGCAGCCTGATGAGCTTGTTGTCAACGCAGCATAAAAGTACCTGATGAATAAATAAAAGTACAATGTTTATTTGGTTTAGTCTTTTGGGCAGTGGTAAGATTGGTAAGTGGTAAGGTGCAATACAAATTAAAACTGCTAATTTAAAAAGAATATTTTTCATAGAGATACATGTTTGCTAGCTACTTTCTGCCAGACTGTATTCACATAATTATTTTAGCTAATGTGCCATTGACTCCTAGAGCCTGTCCCAAAGTCCACTGTGATTTGTGGCTTTGCTTAAGTGCACACTTTTGCCTATAGTAAGCAATTCTTTGTTAAGACCGTGAATGGTGTGTCAGAATACCCCCTTTACGCAGACAACGGAGACTCGAGCCCCGTTCATGCCAGCAGGAAATGCTGCCCATTTTACTAAATATTAGCAAATATTTTACCTCCCTTCAAAATTATATCAAATTTGTGGGCATTTCTGTGAATGCTAGGATCTTGTGACTATTTTGAGCCTTAACGTTCATTTCCTGAGTAGCTGATTTTAAGAAAAAAATTATTTTGTTTTGGGTTTCTTTAGCCAGCTGCCATGACTTTCTGCCCTGTTTTTTTACAGGGTGAAGTGGATGCTGCAACACTTAAGCAGACAAGAACTGTATACTTTTCACCCTATTTACTTGAGAATTATCTCTGTTTACCTTATGTATATTCTTTGGCCCAATACCACTCCAAAGTGGTCTTTGGGAAAATTGTGAGTCTTGTACACTGTATTTTTGCGTGTTTGTGAAATGAGACATACTTGAATACTTACTGGAAAACATGTGAAAGTGCACACCAGTACACAGACTGCAAGTGTGAACTTTATTGACACAGGCTGTAATTAAAATATGGTGCACACCTGCTCATTCTCTCAAGAGTTGACAGACCATTTGGTAAGTCCCCCTTTTATTTTAACAACAGCATGCACTCATACTAGTATGGACTCAACATGTCTGCATAAAAGCCTCTGTTGAACAGATCAAATCCACCAGGCAGTTGTCTGAATATGAGCTTCAAGTGAAGGGAAAATACACTGACCTTTTTATACACTGGCCTTAACATGGTCAATGTTCAAAATGTACTAAAAATTTGCTATGAAAAGTAACCTAGAAATAGGGCAAAATCTTTTTGCTTTAAACAAATAAATTGATTAATTTATTTATTAATGGTTTAAATGAAAAATATCCCAGATTCAATGTGGCCTCAGACTTTGGACCTCATATAATGAATATACCACAGCCCAACCACATATAGTGGGGTCAAAAAGTCTGAGACTGCTAGAAAGTACTTCTACTTGCATTCCTTTCTAATTCAATATAAAGTTTTTCTTTTTGAATTATGTTATCAGCATAACAGCTTGCATGTGTTGATATTTTTACATGAATTTCAGAATCTTTTAATATTTGGTAAACCCCCTTTTTTCTTTAATGACAGAGTCAACCTGGCAATGAATTCCACAAGTTCTGCAAAAGACTTTTATTAGTAGATCCAATCCACCTGAGCGTCATCTGCCTACAAAGACCCTAACGTGGTCAATGTCACAAATTTGCTTAAATTTGAATGCTGACTTACACTATTTGGACAAAGGTACTGGGACACACCTCTTAATCATTGCATTCAGGTGCAGCATTCAGTCCCAATGCCACAGGTGTATAAAATCAAGCCCCTAGCCATGCAGCCTGCCTTTACAAACATTTGTGAAAAAATGGGTCGGTCTAAAGAGCTCACTGAATTAGAGTGTGGTACTTTCATATGATGCCACCGTTGCAATTTCTTCCCTCCTAGATATTCCACGATCAACTGTAAATGGTATTACTGAAAAGTGGAAGAGTTTAGGAACAGCACACAGCAAGTCAGCCATGAAGTGGCAGACCACAGAAGGTTTCAGAGTGGGTTGCCGAGTGCTGGAAGCATAGTGCAGAGTTCAATAACTGCAGAGTTCCAAACATCATCTGGCATTAACATCAGCACAAAAACTGTGCGCCGGAAGCTTCATGGCATGGGTTTCCATGGCCAAACAACTGCATGCAAGCCTCACATTACTAAGCACAATGCCAAGCGTCAGATAGAGTGGAGTAAAACGCACAGACACTGGACTCTGGAGCAGTGGAAATGTATTCTGTGGAGTGACAAATCATGCTTCTCTATCTGGATGGATGAGTCTGGGTTTGGCAAATGCCAGGAGAACGTTACCTGCCTGACTGCACTGTGCCAGCTGTAAAGTTTGGTGGAGAAGGGATAATGCTATGGGGTTGTTTTACAGGTGTTGGCCCCATCGATCACCTCTGGGATGAACTAAAATGGAGATTGGGAGCCAGGCCCTCTCATCCAACATCAGTGTCTGACCTCACTAGTGCTCTTCTGGATGAATGTGCTAAAATTCCCACAGACACTCCAAAATCTTGTAGAAAGCTTTAGCTTAGTAGAAAGCTTTCCAGATGAGTGGAAACTGTTATAGCTGCAAAGGGGTGACCAACTCCATATTAGTGCCTATAGATATAGAATGTGAATGTAGGTGTAATATGTAGGGGTCCCAGTACTTTTGTCCATATAGCGTAGAAATAGTGCAGAACCTTGAATATTTCTTTTCAGTTTTACTTATCATAACTTTTAATTTGTTTTACATTTTTGAGTGTTCACCTTCATTCCACAGAAACTGACTATTTGGCATAAAAACAGCAGTGAGATGAGTGATACAACGTGTTAGGATATGTTGTTTATATTGTGGTAAACTGTCTACCATGTCACTATCACCACCACACTATCTTACCAAACTAAAGGTTGTAGTATGTTTGTCACATCGATATCTGTATTCTACAAGTGAATTTAGACCTGTATGTCATGTGCACGTGTCACAGTAACAATTTATTACTCATACAAATTCATTAAAATTCAACCAGGGCATAATATACCAAATTAAAGGTTGTAATATGTTTGTCAGATGGGTGTTTGTAAACTGCAAGTTATTTTAAATATGTATGTCAAATGGTTGTCTCACAGTAGCGATTTATTTATAGAAAAAAATAATTAAAATTCAACCAAGGCATATCTTACCAAACAAAAGGTTGTAGTATTGTGGGAACGGCCACGGGGGGCGCGGTCAACCAGAGAGCTGCACAAAGGGGCTCAAGGGAGTTGTGCACCCCAGTTAAAAAAGGCACTGTTTGTATTGTTTATTGTTTTTATTGTTGCTGTTGTTTAGTTAAGGTAGGTGTATGTGTTAAGGGGTCACTGGTAGCATGAAACCTGTGGCTAATGGTGACCTCCCTCTGGAGTTGTGTTGTGCATGTGCCTTTCTGCCATCTCATTTTAACAAGTGCTGTTCTTGGAGTAGAATCATGGCTTCACCTAAATCTTGGTCTTGACTGCTGTTACAGTGTGTTTGTCAGATGTGCCTCTGTACACTACAAGTGACTTTAGATCTGTACGCCATATGGATGTGTCACAGTAGCAATTTACTTTTAGAAAAAAACTGATTAAAATTCAACTAATGCATATCTTACCAAACTAAACAACTACAACTGATTTTAGATTGGAAGGTTGCAGTAGGTTTGTGCAGTGTGTCTCAGTACAACAGGTTTAGGTGACGTCCAGTATATGTTTTTTTTCACACAAATTTAAACAGTAGCAGTAGGTTTTTAATAACAGCTTTACAAAGCACAATTCCACCAAGTTATATCTGCAACATTTTTTAAAACTGCAATGTGTTGTAGGATTGTGACAGGGCAATCTGCAGGTCCACTACAAGCACTTTCTGACTGCTAAAATTAACAAGTACTTCAACATCAACGGGTTGTTAACGTTAGTTCATCATCTGCGTATTTCAGCAGGTCTCACGTCTTTACAAATGACACCAACAGGCTCCTCATCTCTGTATTTACGTTTTTAAACAGTATGCGCACTTTACAGACGGTCCCCTACCCTCGTCCGCTTGCTGCAGCGATTGCGGCCCTCAGCGGCTGAGGGAAAAAAGAAAACTGCACTGCGCATTTGCCCGCCGTGGCCACTGCAGAGGTTGAGGCAGTGCGCTACCGCACGGATACCCGCTGTCCTGCGTCACGTCCCGTGTGTATCAAATAAGTCTGCTGCCGCTTATCCTGCCATTAGTCTCTAATCGAGGAGGAGTCACCTGCACGTATAAACACGCAAAACATGTTTTGTTCTTGATTTAAACTGCAAACAATAACCCACATTACGAGTGGCTTAACTCGTTTACCAGGTGATATGCGGAACGCTCTGCTCGCTTACCTCTCCTTCCCTCCTTGGCGGCGGGTTAAAGTAACTTTCGGTTTTGCCTCATGTTCTGATTCTGTGTTGTCATTGCTCCCTTTGCGTCATCACCCCGCTTCTGCTGCAGGAGCTGTCTCCATCAAAAGCGTGCAGTGGGAGGGGACTATAAACCCCACCCGCCCTGACAGCGCACGTACGTCCATGCCAGAGCAGAGCCGGGTTATGAGAAGCCTGGCCACTTCCTATCCCCCCCAGTTATATCAAAAACTGGACTGCTGAACAGCAGAGGGCGCCCACGAGGGAGTCCTCAATGAATGGGAGTGAATGGAGCTCAACGGCTAAAAACGAAAAGTGAAAATAGTTTCTAATCACTGAACCAGAACTTTCCTTTAGTTTTAGACAGTAGAAGGATGTGCTTGACTTAAAAAAGCAATTAAAACCTGTATGTTTCCTTTTTTCTACAGCAAACGGGTTTTGGGCAGCAGGAGGCAGGCGTTACTGCTAGTGAGTGCTGATTGGTTGGCGAGCGGAGCAGCTCATTGGCTGTTCGCGCTCACTGACGTCATGAACATATATGAGGCGCCTTTTTAAATTACTATAACTCGAGTTTGGAAGCTCTTTAAAATATAACAGCGGTGTTAAAATGTTTTATGATATTCAGTATTCAGGAAATTATTGAATTCTTTTACATTAAAAATATTTGAGCATTTATAAACTAATGATTTTGCTCAAATGCTCCATATCAACCCATTCATTTTGGACTCGCTCGGGAGTGCCCTCTAGTGTTTGAGAAACCCGGACGGCATTGCAGAGTGGAAATTCTCCTCTCTACAAGTTCTCTGGCCAGAGCCATGTAGAGAGAGAGTGTGTCAAGGGAAGTTCAAAATGCTTGATGGTCATGTGATTCACATAGACTTCAGATCCAAGTTCCAGGAAGTTCTTGGCGGGCATTTTAAACCCATAAACACAGAACTGAACTGACGTTTTTCGGTCCTTAGCAGCCAATAAATGCATTGATTTACAATATTCGCCACTATTTGAGGATTAAACAGCTATCGTTACTTGCCTTCTTGAGATGTTAGGTTAACGTAAACATGGTTTTCATGTGTGTTGTCATTATTTATTGCTTTGAAGTTTTGGTATTATAGATATTATTCTTAAAGTTGTTTGGTAGTTAAGATCAGTCATATCTTAATCCCACCTGCTCGTAGAGGCTGGAGCCCTCCCAAAGATAGCGCACGTTACTCTGGTCATACTTAATCGCTGACCAACACAGAACACAGCCTTCAGATAGAGTACTGTCATCATACACGCACACTAATTGTCATACAGATATTCGGAAAACCTCGTATCCCTTTTAGTTTGGTGAAAAATCAAATTTATGCAAATTTCCTCTTAGCCTGAATAGTTGAGACTTGTTTGGTTTCTGAAGTTTGCTTAACTACAAGGCTAATATAGCTAATATGTAAACCGCACAACTAAATTATCACTTTCTATCTAAAAACTGAGCTAAATTGTTAATTAATCTCTCAGGTGTATTAAAATGGACAAAATTACAGACTAAATTTGGGCTTCAAAATGGCCAAGACAGCTGTTTTATATAGAGTTGGAAAGCAAATACACAAGTCTATTTGTACTATATGTGGCAACACAGGCATAAATTTAGCACAGTGCTAATGAGTTGGTAACATTTGGTTGGTAGCAACTTGTTAGCTACATTAGCTTTGCGGCTCCAGTGTAAAACAAAAGCAAACTTCAGACATTAAACACGTCCAGCTCATGATACACTTGGGGAAAGAGGAAAAAATGCATTTACAAATACATTTTTTTTAACTGATCTATAGATTTAAACCTTTCCAGTGTTTGAATAAGAATACATTTAGATTGGTTACAGTTATGGTGATGCAGTTAAAGCAGTGATTCCTGAGCCTTCCAAAAAAGGCTTTATTTGTTTTTATTTCTTAAGAGGAATTTCACAGATTTTCCAAAATTTCTGCATAATTTAATGGTTTAGATGCAAACAAAGCCATTCAGAGTGGTTTGGTGTGAAATACTCCATTCTTGAGACACTTACTGAGCCAGAATTGTTCACAGTGTTGGTGATAGGAAGCAAATATCTGAACATCTTTCATGCCTCTAAAAGCTATGTCACGGAAAACTATTACATGAAGTGGTTATGAATACGCTGCCTGATGTCTGAGACATTGTTTTATGATAGGTTTGAAATATGATTTTGGCCTATTTGACATATTTATGGGAGAGAACAGTACATATAATACCTGTATTTCTCTACAAGGCACCATTTCACATGATACCAGTTGGAATAACTTAATTTAGGCTCGTAGGCCAGGGGAGCTGAGACACACCAGAATGCATGGTTTGAATTCCCTGTTTGAATTTTATCCAAATAAAATCACTTTAACATTGACATCCACCGAATTTTCTTCAAACATTTCTGCAGAGAAAATGTTACTATGGTTAGATCCAGATTTACAGACCTGAAATCTTGAAGTAAATGGAAATTTTTAAATCTGCAACTGTTCAATGGGTTTTTCATAAACCAAACCCTGAAGAATTGTGGCAAAAAATAAGAAATAGGTCCATAATTTAGGAATAAAAACGATACATCTTTTAACACTGATGTTCGTGATTGCAGGTGGCTTAAGGAAATAGGAAAACTTAAACTTCATCAATCAGAATCGGGCATAAGACAAAACTATTTTTGAGTTTTATGAATAAACAATGGCATTAATGCAAACCATCAGTTTTTTCCCCCTGTGGTCATTTTCACAGCTTGAATCTTCACATTACCCAAGTTCATGAGGTGCTCAAAATTTAATTTTTGTTATTATATATTAGAATGAACAGAAGTGGTAGAGAACACATACAGTATACCATCATGCCTTTACATGCAGATTTTGTAACAATTAGTCTGAGATAAACTCCGCGCTGCCGCCCCCACCTTCATCTTCCTCACTGATCTCTCTCCACTCTCCTTCATCGTCGTCCTCGTCCATGTCTTCGTCCCCAATCTCCTCGAGTCCCTGCCCAAGCATGGAGGCGAAGGCTGACTCCTCTTCTGTGCTGCCTACCAGACAAAAGGCAAAGAAACATTCTTTTTCAAACTGAGATGCTTCTCTTAACTGGAAAACACTGGGAGCAGTAAATGCTCTGAAACAGGACGACTAAGACTGTAGCTGTTGTTCATGTTTTTCACTTGAGGTTTATGCCCATCAAAGACTATTTCATGCTATATATTGCCAAAACTGCAAAAGCAAAATAGGCACTGAAGACTTTTTCAAAAATAATTCTAAACTGTGTCATTGGCCTGACTTGGCCCACGGGCCTTGTTTTTATATAAGCAGTTACTTAGGGACCCTGAGCCCCACAGGTATGTAGTTTTATTACTGTTGTTGTTTTTGTTGTTCTCATTACCGTTATATTTGGCTTAGTCATGATAATGGCAGAAACTGTCTTATGCCTATTTTATATTTCAATTTATGGCTTCATCTTATTTACACAGGTAATTTAGCTGTTTAAAGTTTCTGTTTCTCAAACGTTTAGTAATTATTGTTATTGTTAATTATTTATTAATTATAATCCATTCTTGGATAAAGTCATATGCAAAAGTTTGGCCGCTCATACATATTTTTACTCAATATGTACATTACATTTTAAAAAATTCAGCGCCCAATGTATATATAATGCAAATGAAGCCCTAATTCATGCAAATGTTTCAGTAGGGAGCCAATAAAACAGCATTCAGAGGCTCCTGAGCCAATAGCTGAGCTTGTAGGTGGAGTTTGAGGTCAAGCAATGAGTGCACAGCTCCCCCTTCTGACCAACTTTATAGTGTTAAAATTACGACCGCTGGAAAGAATCAAACATGTAAAAGTACATCCAGTTTTGTACTGGATTTCCAGGTGCACAAACTATTAGTACTGTTGTACAAATAATTAGTACTGTCTTATTATTTGTACTAAAGAATATCAATTGTAGTTTTGGCTAGTTAACCACAAACCAAGCAATTATTTCAGGTTGTTAAAGTATTTAACATACACACACCTACGAGACGAACGTACAGAAAGAGGAAGGGTTAGGGTTAGGTTAGGGTTAGGGTTAGGGTTAGGTTAGGGTTAACCCTATTTGTTATTAAACAAAAATTATAGATATAAAACCTGAAATTATCCATCAAATTGATAAAAAATTAATATAATTTAAACGTTATTATATAAAATAAAATAATATAAACCTTAATATATAAACATATTAAGAAGAAATGAGCCCACACAGAGCACCAGAGTCCCGAGTTGCTGTAAAATGCAAAAAATAATAAACCCAATAAGTTGCGCTGGCAGGCATTTTATCCAAACAGTCCTGATATGCACACATGAAACTCCTTTTTGGAGTAAGTTTAATGCATTTCCTTTTTGTCTTCAAATATTTATTATCATTTGCAGATGTAACAAAATATGCAAAAACACTACAGTTAAAATTGTAGTGAGCACAAAGATACAGTAACACAAAGCACATATACAAAGGAGAACCTAAAACAATATAAATAAAAAAAGACAATACATAAATACAGATTTAAATAAATAAAAAGGAGTCAATGCATCCGGAAATTTATTACATCATATTTATGCATGACAAAAATGTGAGAATAGATTTAATACTTTTAAAAATATATAATGACCGTCCCAGCATATTTATGAATTTTTCCACTTATCTGACTTGTCTATGAGCTCAGCAGCCGTTGCTGGAACGTCTTGACTTTTCATTCAAAATAAAAGCACCAATGCAAAGCTTGTAAATGTACTATAAAACCTTCTTCAGTGCGCCTTTTCATGTGTTCAGATCAATTAAAAGCATTTTTTCTATTTATTTACTGCATTTTCTAGGAACATGGGATGCTGCATGTGGACTGATGAACCCCCCACCCCCTTTGGAGTTTGGGGGCTTCACACTCACGAAGCTTTTAAAACAGGCGCGCATTAGTGACACGTGGTTGACAAAAGGACGAACAGCAGCTGCTCTGGCCTGCAGTGGAGTTTTAGACTAACTGGGCCGAATCTGTTCCTTCTACATGTTTCTTAAGCAGCAAATGTGATTAATAACATGTACGTACAGTACATTCAGAACTCTGCAGCTAGAGTTCTCACCTATACTTAGCGTTCAGCTCACATCACCCCCCCACTCTCTCTCAGCTCAGACTGGCTATCGGTCATGTTCTCAATACCTAGTTTAAAATTAGGTCTGATATTTCTTAGAATAATTCAGTCCAGAAAACTGGCTATACTGCCATTCCCAAAAGAGACGGGTTATATTTTCTTCACTTGACTTAAAGAATCTGCAGCGTAAATCACTATCAATTTATAAGAAGCTTTCACTGGATAGCATCTGTATTCTGAATGAAACATCTTTTATTTTGTTGGTTAAAAGCATATCTGTCCAGGGTGTTTCCTGCCTTCCGCCCAGTGAGAGCTGGGATAGGCTCCAGCTCACCCCGCCACCCAGGAGGATAAGTGGATTAGATGATGAGTGAGTGAGTTTTGTTGGAGCACTTATTTTTTGGTTGGAAGTTGCTTTCCATTGACTATTGATATGTGTTATTCCAAGTAAAAACAGCAGGGGGTGTGGTTACAGCATCTTCAGCATATGTTAGAAGAATTATATAGAAGATTCATCCTTCCATGGGACAAATAACACGGCCTGTACCTCTACTACATTTATTTTGTTTGTGCACGAATCAAAAAAACAAAAATAATGTGAGTTAAAATTAAAAAGAAAACATGAGCACGAAAACAAGAGAATTAATTAAGAAATCATGATCACTAATAACTAAAAATGTACCCATGAATTACAGAAAACATGCACATGATTAAAAAATGAGAGAACGAATTGTTAAGCATGGGAATGAGTTAACCCTTGTGTGGTGTTGATGTGTTTGTTACTCAGTGGTCTGGTGACCTACCGCATTATTGTTTTTTTAAATCAATACAGACAACAATTTAACAATTTATGTAAAAATATCAGATGTTTAAATATCAGTGTTCAGCGTAGGGTTCTCCTTTAGCAGCTGTAGCCAGTCAACAGCCTGTCCATGTTGTCGATCCTCACACACACACACACACACACACACACACACACACACACACACACACACACACTAACAGCAGGCCATGTAGGAGGAGAACAGAGAGAAGTGACACAGCACCTCCGCACTTTTACTCCCCGCGGGTTCAGCCCAACACCACATGTGTAATATAAATGTGTGGGGGGTGAACAGTGTGAAGACACTGAAAATGGGTCATTTTATTTATTGAAAATGAGCACAAACTGCAAAACGTTGACTTGAATGAATTTTTTAATTTTTACTTCCACCCCCTCGGGGCTCCATTTATATCAGGTGAAAGTCAAAATCATCAAATAAGGAAGCTTTTTAGATGTTCAACCCCAGAATAGACTGAAGCAACAAGAAAAATGGACCTCAAATGTGATCATGAAAAAAAGAAGGCCTTTTGAGGCCTTTGAGGTAAAATTAACTCCTGGATGCCCATCACAAATACAAACTATAACAATTATAATATTAATCCAGTCCCAGCACATCCTCTGTAAACACATAAATTGCAGTCATACAACCACAAAAAACACATCTATTTAATCTTTAAAGATGATCATTAAGTACCACACAAGGGTTTTAGTTTTAGTGCTCTATTCATTGACAGGATAAACTGTAGAAAAAAACCTGCTGAAAGGGCTCATGCCATCATATCAAGTGATTTTTTTCTCATTTTCTTTAAATACAGGACTTTGATGTAGTATGTAACATAACATATTTTTCCTCCCCAGTCTATGAGGTTTATGTTAGGAAATTAAGCTGCAAGGACATCTTACTTTGAGTTCACTGTTTTTGTGATCAACACAGTTGCATATAGAGTCACATGCAAAACTCTAACTCTAAGTCAATAAGTTCACACATTCTCCAAAAGGAACAAACTCAAATATCGCACTTCTGCTAATTTTATTCACAATTTCGATTTATTTGCTGAGTTCAACAAATTGGAAGAAAGTAGAACATACAATGTAAAATGTACCATGACTGTTGTACAGTCCATATTTCATGTTTAATTTAATTCTGCATGTTATATATTCAGTAAACAGCAATTGTGCATTAAAATGTGCAGTAGTGTGTTCTCTGTAGAGGATGTGTTCACTTGTTTACACTAAGAAAATCAATAAAACATGTAATTTGACTAAGAGTGTCTAAACATTTTCATACAACGATGTAAGCCTATGCAGCCTGCAGCAGTTTAGCTCCACCCATTCACACTGAAGTTATAAGGAGTGTCTCTGCCTAGATTCCTTCTTGAGCAGCCAATCAGAACAGAGCTCACGTACAAATATCAGTCTTAAAAACAGTCTGTTTATTTCTGACAGATAAAGAGAGGTTGGTAAATGGTCATATAAAAAATTTATTTCCAACGTTTTTGGGGAATAAACTCAGATAAACCTCATAAGTGGGTATTTAAGTATTTAACTGGTCATTCAGAGTTTCTTGAGTGCAGACAGCGCTGTCCTTGGCTCATGTCCCCCTAACAGCAGGTAGCAAAACTCTAATTTCCGGTGCCGTCATAAAAGGCCTTGGACCAATCACATAACTCCTTTATGGCTGAGCAAAGACAGCAGCAAGTATATAACAAAATAAGCTGTAATTTTACATACAGACAAGAATATTGACAAAAATAGAAAAAAGAAAAAAGTACATTGTAAGAAAATCCAAATCCTCATTAAAAAAACCCAAACAATCATGTGTCACAACCACAAAATTATGGTATCATAACCATGTAATTGTTAATATTTTGAAACAGTGATAATGTAATGACGCTTCATTTGCTGAAATCTAACGTGTTGATCATTTTCATAAATGCCTCAAAGAACTGTTTTAAAACAGAAGGGGCGCAAAGCTTTGACACATTTTGAATCACTCTTTAGAAAAAAGAAAAATCTAAAAATTAGGCAATGACTATTGAAATTAGGTAAACATCGAAAAATGTCCATAACTGTGATTAGGGCAAACATGAAGGAGTTTAAAACAACCATAGCTATAGTAAATCTACCTGGAATATGGCATAAGTGTATTTTGTCCCCATGCACAAGGAGGAGAATAGTTTTGATTTGCAGACAATGGTACCATTTTGAGGTCACAAGCCTCTGTGACTCTGGGCTGTCTGGTTTGTTTTGCCCTGAGCGTATTGCAGGTGAATTTGAAAGACGGAGCTTGGACTCCTGAGACACACCAGCGCACAGGTGTTTGGTTAAAAGGCTTTTCAATGTGGAGAGCTGGGCCTTGTTTTCTTTGTCTCTCTTTACTGCAGGTTTATTTTCAGGCCACCTTGGAGCTAATGCTGTTGGGGATCCAGCGAGTTGGCTCACATCAGTATTGCTATCTTTGCTTAATGTGAAAATAAAGACAAGTTTTTCTGCTACAACTTCCACTCGTTGTATCCCTTAATTATTTGTTATGAACTGGCTGGATACTGTAACAGTCTCCTAGACTAAAATTAGACATTACATTCATGCAAAAAAAACTTTATGAAAAGTGTGCTAGAACAAAGCCTTTTATTTCATCTAACCACAAATCTAAGCACCTTGGGTTTGCTAGATTCTACTAGAACTGGGCTTTATGGTTAGATAAGACATAAGTAGAGCTTTTGGCAAGAATCACTCAAGGTAGGTTTGGCATTAAAAGACGGATGGTTATAATGAAATGAGCCTAATTTAGGATCTATGATTTTGGGCATTTTCCAAAAGCCATAGGAATATTAATAGGATAGATGACATCATAGACATGAAGTACCAGAGGATTTTCAAATCTGGTTGCCAAAAAGCTAAAACTGGATCATGATTGGATCTTGGAGAGATTCTGTATTGAGGAATGGTCTCAGATTCCTTGCTGTGTGTCATCAAGCATTATAGAAACAAGACCCTTTCGGTTTGCACAAAGTATTAATTGTAAGAAAGCAAATAATTGTTACATTTATTTTATTTCAAAAAATTGCTTGATAAGAGATTTTCAGCAGACTCCTTTATCTGACATACATGCACAGAGGAGTTGACCCAAACCCTAAATGCTGCATACAGGGGTTCTGTGAATGTGGAGTGGAATGTGTGTAAGTGGGTCAGTGTGTGTGCATCAGTGGAGACACTGTAGAAGGACAGAGTGCCAGCTACCCAATCAAGATACACTCCTACTCTGTTAGACTGAGAGGAGGAGGCAGGTATATCAGTAGTTTTCTTATTGCTTTTGACAGAGTAACCAATATGAGAGCAAATCAGAATCCAGGACTTATTATTGCATCCAAGTTTAGAGTCATCCCCATCACCTTTCCTACTGATTCCTTTGTATGTCACTGCTATATAATCCCACCCACGCCACTCAATCTCCCAGTAACAGCGTCCAGCCAGGCTCTCTCTACACAGGACCTGTTCCCACCAGTCAAACCTCTCTGGATGATCAGGATACGACTGTTGCTCTCTCACCCATGTCACCTTTCTGTTCCCTTCAGACAAAGTGAGATCTGTGTATGCTGTGTTTGGGTCTAGTGTGAGCTCACAGGCATCTGCATGCAAGAGAAATTAAAGAAGAAAACATAACACACAAGAGACATTAAAGGTTATCCCATCTCCTACATAATGTGTGTGAGGGCATGTGATAGCACAGTGCAATTATCACCATCCTTGCTCATGAAGATCTATAGTTTTGCAGTTTAATCTCCAACCCAAATCAAACACACCTCATTTAGCAAATCAAGGACTTCTGAAGGCAGTAACAAAGGTTTAAGCTGGGTCAATTCAGGTTGAAACTAAAGTCTGCAGGAAGGTACATCTTCAAGAGCACCATAGATCACCACAGGCATAGTGGGTAATTCCCTGCTCGGACAAGCCCACCATGCTATCGTAATAAGAATCTTTGTGCATAACACTACATTTACATATCTCGTTAACATTATTAAAATTCTGTGTCACTCTGGATAAATGTGAACACGTAGGTAAACACTGAACTGAACATCATGAACTTACATTTTCTTAAGCCTGGTTTGATCCGTATCTTCCCTTCATGTTCCATCCTAAAAAAGAAAGCACACACATGCATACTTAAATATGTGCCAATCTGCATACATCCATCATATGATATTTAATAGAGGTGTTCCTAACTTCTGGTGGCCCCAAGTCCTGCACAATTTAGCGTTTACCCTACTCTGCACACCATTTTAGCATCTGTATTGTACCTTCATTAAAAAAAAAAACATTGTGACTTCAGTCATGTTCATATGAATATTGTTGCATGATCAAACTGAAATAACCAAAAAGTGATTGTTACATTAATGTTGTCATACTGTTCTAGTCACATTTCAAATTAAATAAATATTTTATGAAGCATTTATGTATAATTGAAATGTGTGTGTGATCAGGTGTCAAGGAGTCAAAACAGATCAGATGCTTGCATATTTAAAAACAAGGCTGTAGTTTACTTGAGAGCTTTGGGGTATCACAAAGAGCGTAGTCATAACAGGGCAAGGTCAAAACCAGAGACCATAATAATTAAAACAAAGGTAACATACAGAGAGACTCCAGTAACCAGCCCAAGTTAAAAAGAAAAAAAGATCAATAATGTTCAGCAATCCAATCAAAATGGCAAACATGAAAATGCAAGTCAAAAAACAAGTCATACACAGGTAAGGCTTACAGACAGAAAACACTCAGTATGCAACAGGAAATGTTAGCAATACTTCACAAAGTTCGAACCTAAAGCTAGGGCTTATATACTAACTCATTACAAGTAATGGAAAACAGGTGTACAGACTCTGGTGAGGTGGAGGGCTGGAATGAATGTCTATTGGTTGATGGCAATGGTGGAGGAGTCATGTGATCTCCCACTGAACCATGGGAATTGGAGTTTTCTGGACAGTCCATTGACTCAAGTGAGCTTGCAGGAGAAGGTGGCATGACATCAAGCACAATCTCACAAATGTGAGATTCTTGACTCTCTATTTTTGAGTAGGTATAAGTGTTTAACACTAGTATAATTTTAGTATGTTATCCAAGAGCAGAAACAACAAACTTGTATTTTTTTCTTGAGTTATTTTGTTTGTGGCTGTTGGATTGCAAAGTTCTGGTCTGGCATTTAAAATATGTCACTGTGATGGTACTTTTGTGCTTGCATTGCTGCCTCTTGAGACCCAAAATTACCACATACCAAAATGATAATAGTAACACCTTATATGAATACCATTTCTATAACAACCAATGAACACTTTCACAACACTTTATAATGGATTCATAAGTTATCATAAGCTTGGCTATAAATGTTTATAAAAATGCATTACACTTTGAGTGAGTGTTTATTATGCATTGTTAAGATAATGCATTATAAGTAGTACTTATATTTTAGAGCTTGTAAGTTGTATTTGTCAGCTTCGAGTGAGGCATACCATACTAAATCCTCCTCCAGTATTAAGACTGAGGCTTGTAGTAGAAGTATGGACTGAAAGATATACTGAAATACTTCAATATACAAAGTAAAGCACATTACAAGCTTAAAATGTCAAATTTTAAACTACTGGTGCCATCAGTAGCATTTTACACAACTTGGGAAAGTCAATGTACACCAGTTAGCTTTCTGAAGCAGTGAAGCTTTCCTTTAAATTGTATCAGAAAGGGGTACAAGCTTTAAAACAAGTGCACATTATTGAAACCTGGTGGTAAAAAGCAGGAACAGCAGCTATAAATCTGCTCACTCTTGGGGATATTTTAACATCAAAAGTCAAAAAAAGTATTAAAGTTAATTAGTAACATTAACATGATGGTGCAGTACTGGGGTTTGTTATATAATAAAAATTACATTACCTTCAAAGATAGATTACAATAAATTGGTTCTATGGTCTTCTAGCTTTGTAAATTGAATAAATATCCAAATGGATCTAAATCAACCTCAAGTGTCAGAATCACAGCTCTACAAACCTGAGCGTCTCCAGTCTGCAGGATGGATCCTGCAGTCTAGCAGTGAGCAGATCCACTCCTGTATCCCCTGGGTAGTTGTATGTCAGATCCAGTTCTTTCAGGTGTGAAGGGTTTGATCTCAAAGCAGAGGCCAGAGAAGAACAGCCTTCCTCTGTTACCATACAACCAGACAGTCTGCAAAGATGAATGAAACAGGGAGATGACAAGATGAATACTTGAACAGTTTTCTATTTAGGAATGAATTCACACAAAGTTTACCTGAGTATCTCCAGTTTACAGAAGGGATTCTTCAATCCAGCAGAGAGCAGTTTTACTCCTGAATCATGTAGATCATTATTACTCAGGTCCAGTTCTTTTAGAGGAGAGTGCACTGATTGTAGAACTAACGCAAATGTTCTGCAAAACTCCACTGTGAGCTTACAGAATGCTAACCTGTGAAAGTGGAAATCATACACTATTTTCTATACAGGGAGTAGGAAATTGAGACATAATAAATGGCTTAAACAGACAGATGGATAAAATGTTATCCAGTCATTGTAAACAAACTGTATTGTTATTTCTGTTACTATATCTGTTCAGGAAATTTATACATTAATATGTTCCTGAATTACTAGCATATGCCTGTTATTTTTGTTGTTGTTGTTAGTATGTTAGTTTATTGACTTGATGGTTTATAAGAAGTGCATTCCATGGTGCCAAATTTCTCTTTCACAACTCTATAGGCTCTAGGCCAGAGGTGCTCAATCCTGGTCCTGGAGGACTACCACCCTGAAGAGTTTGGCACCAGCCATAATCCATCAAACCCAATACAGACAATGAACATATCTGAATATTAGAGCCTGGTGTGTTGCAACCAAACTCTCTAGGGTGGTAGATCTCCATGACCAGGATTAGGCTCCACTGCTCTACGCATTAGCTTTAAAATTAGTGCTTTTTACCCACACTGTACTCAGTAACTTATATTGTGCAGTTTTGATCTGCTTGATTTTTTAGTATAAAAACTGCATCTAATATAAAGAAAATGTTATCCCAGATATCCCAGAATCACTAACCACCTATTCATTAAAAATTATGTTCAAAAGTTAGACACAAAACATTAAATTATTTGGGACAAATATTGAGTGGAGTTGAATATGCAAAGGCTGCCCAGAATGTAAAGTGTTCAAAAATAACATGTGTTACGTATCATCTCTGTGTTCTGAAGGTTTGCTGACCTCTCCATTAATTACTCATTAACCACCACTTTATTAGGGATTATGCTTAAACATTCACACAAAATCTTAAATAATGGGGGTGTAGGGGGGGATTTTGAGTGGAGTTGAATGTGCTAAGGCTGCCCAGACTGTAAAGTGTCCAAAAGTGATGGCAAATTAGTAATGTGATTTATTATGTTATTGAAATTGACATTTGCTTCCTTGCTCTAGCATGAAAAAGACACATTAAGTTCTACATACCTGAGTTTGTACAATCTGCAGTGTGGATCCTTCAGTCTAGCAGAGAGCAGTTTTACTCCTGATACTCCCAGGTGGTTGTAGGCCAGATCTAGTTCTTTTAGGTGTGAAGGGTTTGAACTCAGAGCTGAAGCCAGAGAAGAAAAGCCTTTGTCTGTAATCAAACATCCAGCCAATCTGATAGGAAAGCAGGAAAGACATAAAATGAGAAAAAATAAACCCAAATTAACACTGAATATGGTAGTGATGGTCTTTAATCATCATTAATAGGTCTTTCCAGGGTCAACATGGTAGTGATGGTCTTTTACCAACAAAAGCATATGTCACCTCTCAAAATGTTAATGATAGCCCGAGTCAGTACTGATAAATTACTCCAGTAAGGGGGAGGGTACTGATCCCAGATTAACGCTACTATCATCTACCTCTTAATAAGGTAATTCTTAAGACCAGCTTTAAAGTCAACAATTCTTGAAATAAAAAATACAGTTTTGATTATATGATCATTTTACAAAATGCAGTCCTTCTCTGTAGAATACCTAATGTCCTTTATATTTACATCATGTAAAATTGCTCTCATGTGCTCTTCCCAGTATATTGTTTAATTCAAAATTAAATTCACAGAAACGTCACCTGAGTATCTCCAGTTTACAATGTGAACTCTTCAGTCCATCAGAGAGGAGATTCACACCTGAATCCTGCAGTAAATTGCTGCTAAGGTCCAGCTCTGTCAGGTAGTTTACTGATTTCAGAGCAGAACAGATAGTTTCACAGGCATTCAAGTTGAGGTTGCAGCCAAGTAGTCTACAATGGCAAAACACAGCATATTAAAAACAATACTTAAAAAAATCTGATATATTAATATCAGTGGAGAAGTACAACATACACTCATCAAGCACTTTATTAGGAACACAATGGTAATACAGAGTAGGGCTCTCAAACAGCCTCAATTCTTTATGGCATGGATTCCACAAGATGTTGGAAACATTCCTTTAAGATTCTGGTCCATGCTGACATGACTGCATCATGCAATTCCTGCAGAGTTCTACAGGATTCTGATCCAGTGACTGGAAAGGCCACTGAAGAGGACTGAAGTCATTATCATGTTTAGGAAATCATTTTGAGATGACTTGCTTTGTGACATGATGCATTATCATGCTGGAAGTAGCCATCTTTTGGTTGATGTAAACAGTATCTGAAGCTCCTGGCCCATATGTGCATGATTTTATGCCACACGATTGGCTGATAACTGCATGAATGATTAAGTGTACTGATGTTCTTTATAAAGTACTCAGTGAGTGTATAAATCTGTGGTGAACCATGACTATTAGAGCTAGGCATTCAGTTCATTCAATGCCATAAATGACAAAAACAAGGGACAATAATGTTAATTACTAATAGCAGCCTTGTGAGATTCTATAGGTATACCAGTGCCAAGCTAACCATGATTCACACGATTTTTTTTCTATTCTAGAATAAACATGGGCATAAGCTTGTAAAAGACATTGCTTTTTTAGTTGATATTTGTAATAGAGATATGAGCATGTATCTTAACTTGCTCCATCTGTTTCCAATTTTTAACATCTGACCAAAACCTGGATAGACTGCAACTAATATTCACAGTAAGTGATATCTATGACTTTAAAAAGGCTAGAGTGCTGTTTATTCTCATTCAGTCACAACACAGTTGATTGATTCCTCTTTTACTTCTTATGTTGAGAATTAATCTGATACTTTACAACTTAAGTCCAGCTCATGATGATCCAACCAATTGGAGAGCTAACTTTTCAGCCAAACCTTAACAATGAAATAAGATTATTGCTTAAATACAAAATGCAATAAAGATGCAGAAATATTATATTATTTTAATTTCTCAGATTATATTTGAAGACCCTTAGGGTTCAACTAGCACAGAAACAGTAGTTGAGAAGAAATCAGCAGTTGGGAAGGTGTCAGTTGTATTGGTATGTGTTAATTTTATCTAACACAACAAAACGCTTGAACACCTCTAATGACTTGTGGAGATATGTTTTTATTTCTCTACTGTCTTTGTTAATTTTATCTACAAATATTTTTCAAAGCTCACCTTAGTTTTTCCAGTTTACAGCATGAAGTGGTCAGTCCGGCAAAGAGCAGCTTCACTCCTGAATCCTGCAAGTCATTGTTACTAAGATCCAATTTTTTCAGGGGGACACTCCCTGATTGTAAGGCTAATGCTAGAGTTTTACAGGAATGTTTACTGAGTTTACACATAGAAAGTCTGCAAAAAAGTAAAAACAACAGATAATATAACTCTTTATAAAAAGAAAATGTTCAACTACAGAGCAGAGCTCATGATGTAAAGACCTCCAATCAACTAATTGTGAGAGATCAGGTAATATCATGTGTCAGTTTTACTTAAGTGATTTTTGATTGCTATGTTGTCATTATTTATAATACAGCTTGCACTCTCAGATATTAAACTAGTGTAAATGCCATCTTTTGCTTTTGCTAGTGTTCCCTGAGGTCCAGATAAATACATGTTCAATAATATATTGTACAAAATGAAATAAGATTAAGCAGATAATATCAACTGATTCACACTGTTGAAGACAGATGAGTGAAAACAATCTATACAAATTATCAGTGCTGTTACACACTGAACAGTGTGGGATAAATTACTTAAGACATATAATTAAGTTTGGATTAAAATCAATCAGTAAATCATTAAGATTTTTTATTAGGAAAAAAACTAACTTCTAATTGAGTTCTGCCCTATTCCACAGTAATGATTATTTTACCTGTATAAAATAATGATAATATTACAAGTAAATCAGCATCAGCATTCAAACATAACATGATTTAGAAACACTGACCTCAGTACTTCCAGTTTACAGTGCAAACTAATGAGTCCAGTAGAGAGCAGCTCAACTCCTGAATCCTGCAGGTCATTGTTACTCAGATCCAACTGTCTTAGTGGTGAATCCGAACTGATAAGTGATGCCAATGCATCACAACTGTGTTTACTGAGATTACAGTGCTCCAACCTTCATGATGAATATTTTTTATTAGGTTTCAATACTAATTACTGCATGAGCAGATTTGACTCTGGGTCATTACAAAAAGACAGATTTATGAAATGCAGACATTTACACTACACACAAAAATCACACACTATCAATCAAACACATACAGCCATTGGTAAAATGGACCTACTTTGCCTTCAGAGTGTCTTGTTCCAATAAAAAGTGTTTTCAATCAAGACTTACTAGAATGAACATTTAATTAATTTACATTCAATAAATTAACAAAAAAAAACTCACACAAGTGTCTCCAGTTTGCATATTTTCAGTCCAGCAGAGAGTATTTCCACTCCTGAATCATGTAGGATGTTGTTGCTAAGGTTTAGCTCTGATAAGGTAGAGCTTTCTAATTTGAGAGCAGAGCAGAGGGTTTCACAGGAGTTTATGGTAAGATTACAACCAGCTAATCTGCAGAGACAACAAAGAAAAATCATATATTGAAAGTCACTTATAAAATAAATATGATATATAAATATATAAAAATACATGTAAAAATAATATGAATATTTTTGTGTACATAAATACATTGAACTTCACAGAACTGTTTTAAACTGTTATTTGATAACAGCATAATTTATTTGAAATCAAAATAAATGTAGGGCTGTTGATAGAAAATGACTCACTTTTTTAGGATCACTGCAGAATAATACTTATGCAATTAGAAACCAACCATAAAACTATTTAAGCTTACCTATATAAGAATACAAAATCAACACAGTTTCTAAAAAAGGATATAAATACAAAAGACACAAAAGTATCTCTAATTAGCTACCAAGTAACTACTTACTAAATATGTTTATCAAAAAAGTGGCAGGTAAGACATAGTAAATTCTATACAAACAGCCAACCTCTTAAAGCCCCTAAATGTACCATTGAATTTTTCACAATGATGAATCATGACTGCCTTCAGTTTGAGCCATGAATGTCAAAACTCTATGGACGCCTTGAAGGGTAAGATGAAAAATAAGTTGAAAGTGCTGTCCTGAGTCTAAGTTCCAATTCTGCTTTTATTTTACTGCTTCTATAACACACCAAAAAACAGTTAAAAAGTTCATAGCAAGACTTCAACAATTTCATCCATTTAAATGCTCCCATTTTTTCCTCCTTTAATTTTTTTCTACCACTACTGTGTGCCAGAAGGGTGACATTGAAAAACAAGTATTGGCTAGCACTTAGCATTTTACAGCAGTTTGGATCAACAGCAGATGGCAGACGATTTTTCCTTTTAACCTTCTGGGGACAGGTGAAAAAGATTCCTCTGTGAAGCTACATGCTAAGAATTATTACTGTATTAGCTTTGAAAAATAGCTTTGGCTATTTTTTTCTCTTACCTGTCAGAGACTGGATTAATTTTTTTTACAGAGAAGCTAAACGCTAAGAATTAGAGTATTGTACCAGCTTCAACCACAAGGGGTAGTTTAACTCAATAGATTGCCACTGTAGAGGTGAGCACAGAAGTAAAGTTAGTAAAGTAAAGCCGTCATACAGCCACAGATGAAACAAATTGTTCAGCGATTCTTTTGATGATTATCATTTGAAAATCCCTGGAAGAAATTTGCTTGTTAAGTGACAGTAGGTGCTTATGTACGATAGTTACATGCTAGCAAAGCCTGTGGTAGTTTCTATATAGTTTGTAGCACAATGTAATGATTTACGAACCTTCATAAAGCTCATCTATTGTCCTAATTTGTCTTGTTAAGTTATCTATCAAGCTCAATTTAGCTAACGCTGTGTAAGTAAACCAGCTTGTTCAGTCAAGCATAGATGATGTTTCATTTTGTGTTAGCTAGGTAGCTAATTCGCAGATATAGTGTTTCCAAATGAAAAATAAACAGAAATGGAGAAATTAACACTTTGAAAAGTAACAATACATTTGTAGTGAAACTACTCATATATTCTTTTATTTCTTCAAGTTTGAAAGTTGAACAAAGGGGTGATTGTGAGTGGATTAAAAGAAGGATTACAATTGAAGGCTACTGTTTTAGGCCCAATCCCATTTCACCCCTTGCCCTTACCACTTAGCCCTTAGCCCTCTGTTTTGCGCATTCATGTCTAGGGTTAGAGTGTCCCAATTTTTTGTTCAGATAGAGGGGTAGGACAAAATGTTAGGGGTACATGGCTGTCCAAACTGAGATTTTTCAGAGCCACACTCTGAACGGAGTGTTATAAGAAAAAAAGAAAAACTAGCAAGATGGCTGCACAAGCAACCAAAGAAACCCACAATTGTAAGTATTTTCTCCGGTAAAAGATTACATATAACATTTTATTACCTTAGTTTAATGGAATTTCAATATATTATGATTGTTTTCTTCATAACAAGCATAGAAAATTGCTAATAGCATGCTAATGTTTCGGTAGCTAGCTAGCTAACTTTCCTGTTCCACCTTAACTAGTTCAGCAGTATTGACGCCTGAAGTGCCAGAATGTAACTGCTGCACCATTTAAGGTGGAATGGGAAAATTCGAACAAGAAGCTGGAGAATATCTGACTTCACCTTCGTATCACCAAAGAATTAGCAGTGGGCGATAATAAATAATTGTCTTATAGCCCCTATTTGAAAGCATTTGATGCGGTAAATGTAACTAAAACCCAGCAGTGAGGTTGCTGAACTTCTTCCTTCTCTGCTATCACTGAAGACGGGCCAGGTCGCCTACAGAGCAATGTTTTGTTTTGTTTTTTTTTTTATTTGAGGGTTGTCCCATTTCGTAGGGCAAGATTTCAACCCCTACCCCTTGTAACTCAGTTCCAAGGGGTTAGGGTGACACTCAAAAACAAGGGGTAGGGGTAAAAAGAAGAAATGGGACTGGGCCTTAATGTGAAAACATGATCAACTGTAATAATAATTACAAATACAAAGCATAAGATAAAAGTATGAATAGAAATACAATAAAAAATACAACTAACAAGAAAATAAAAGTAATAGTAATATTCCAGTAAAAACAAAGAAAAAAAATGATTAAACACAGAAGAAGGAACCTTACGGATATTTATTGGTAATGTGTTTTTCAGATCTTTAGTGCATAAAAACAAAACGCTGCTTCTTCACTCTTTTTAAACTTCATACGTGAAATACGGAGAAGGCTCGCACTGGAGGATCTTAAAGCTCTGTTTGGAGCATATTCTATCAGGCACTCAGAAATGTATGAAAGGTGCTAAATCATTAAGCAATTTAAAAACTAGTAGTAACATTTTATAGTGGATTCTAAAAGAAACAGGCAGCCAGTGCAGTGATGCTAAAACTGGTCTAATGTAATCTTGTTTTCTAGCTTGTGTTAAAGTTTGTTTATTGTACTTGCAGGAAGTCCTATGATCAAAGTAATGCTTTGTCAAGTCGAGAAAACACAAAAGCATGTACAAAATGTAAATAAAAACAAAATGCAGTGATGTGCAAATCATTTAAAACCCTCTATTTAATTGAAAATAGTAAAAAAGACAACATATCATAATTGTTCAAATGGAGAAATGTTATTGTTTTTTTTTAATTATGTGCCCATTTTTAGTTTGAAAAAAGTTGGGACAGGGGCAACAAAAGCCTGGTAAAGATGTGTAATGCTAAAAAATACACCTGGTGGTTGATTGGCAACAGGTCAGTAACATGACTAGGTATAAAAAAAAGCATCACAGAGAGGCTGTGATTTTCAGAAATATGGATGAGAAAAGGTTCTCCACTCTGTTAAAGACTGCACAATTAAATACTGGAACAATTCAAGAATAAGGTTTTCCAACATTAAATAAAAAGAAAACAAAAGAACTTTTGTTTTTCATCATCTACAAGACCAAAAAACAGTATTTGCTGGTTCATGATCTTTGGGCCCCCAGACAGCACTGCATAAGGAGGATATAATGTATAATATTATAGTTATTGAACTTCCCATGTGTAATTTCTCTTGTAAGTTTAAATGTTTATCTAAGTATTTAAAAAATGAAATAGAGGCCCTGGCACTCTTCTTGCACTTTGTAATGTATTTTGGCTCTAAATATTAGAGCTTCTAAATCTATTGTCTTATATTTCTTTCTTGTTTGCATAATCACAACCAACAACCGATGAGCTGGGTAATTATTTGGCCCTATCTAGGGTGTATGACCACACATATGGCCCACTGTACATTGTTTTGTGTGTGTGTGTGAGGGCATTACATATTAGTGGGTTGTGGTGATTTGGTTCTCTCTCTCAGTTCACAAACCAGTCCCTCTCCACTTAAACAGCATAACTGGGAATGTTTTAATAAGGTTAAACACAGCGGTGGAGGGCATTCTTAATTAAGAAAGAAGATCCTGAGCCAGCATAGAGACAGATGAGGTAAGAAGATAGTAAATAGCGGTGCAGCTGGAACTGTGACAGGAGTTCCAGTTTAGATGAATAGTTGCAGCCACTTGGACAAAGAGCGGTGTGTAATGTTGAACACAGGAAAGGGAAACATCTGTGTTTTGTACCTTATAAGGTACTTTCAAAATCTTTTATCCTCTAATACAATGCATTGTTTTCTGCCCTTGGAACCTTATAGGTTTCATAAAAGCTGTAAGTTGCACCAGACATCAATAGGTTAACCCATGCATACATATACATTTTAACACATTTCAAGTCACAGTATAAGCAAGAGTCACTACCCTATATGTTTTTGGTCATAATTAAGTTCATTAAAATGTTTGTTTTTCTTTTGGACTTGGAATTGTTATGTGCTTGTAGCTTGTAAAAGCTTTTTAAAGATGTGTATATACCTCCTACATACTGTTTGGCCTGAGGGATTCCTGCAAATGTATGTTTCAACAATGGGGATAAGTGAAGAACATGTCATAGATTCAGCAAGAACCATTAACAAGTTTAAATATGATGATTAATAAATCTGTATTTAACATTACAAATAAAAAATGCCACAGTGTGCATATAAATATCATGTAATTCAAAAACACTGACCTGAGTATCTCCAGTTTACAATGTGAACTCTTCAGTCCAGTAGAGAGCAGATCCACTCCTGAATCCTGCAGGTCATTGCTACTCAGGTCCAACTCTTTCAGTTGTGAATATGAATGGAATACTGATGCCAATGCTTCACAACTGTCTTTCCTAAGGTTACAATGGTCCAGCCTTCATAAATAATACATAGATACTGTTTCAATAATACTTTCACAAGGTAAAGCAAAAATTATTTTCTTAACAAGATTATACACAGTCATATACATTTTTTTGTCTGCAGCTTATAGCATCTATTCTAGGTTGATAGGTATACAGCTTTAACAAAGACTGATTATTATTCTAATATTTATTTCATATTCACCTAATGTACATACACTTATGTCAAGAAATTAGCCCATAGTCCATGAAATATACTAATGATTAATGTGGGCATATCAGTGTTTGATTATCAGCTAAACGGTATGTATAGATAAATGTTACATAATAGAACAAAAAAACAAAAAAAAACAAAGAGAATTTAAATTTGCAATTATTTATTTAAAAATAACTGCCCCTTTTGACAAACATGTTTTAAACCTCCCTACCACAGCATTTCAGGAGGATTCAGATCTGGGCTTTGACTAGGGCATTCCACAGTCCTCCATTTGAAAGACAATTCATTGTCAATTCTAAACCCCTTCCCAGACTCAATTTTTTTTATCTAGGCATGGTGAAACCCGAAACCCCAATAACAAGGAGCACACCAGACCAGATACCTGAAGTTTAAATAAAATAGGTTCCTCCTAGATGTTCTCTGATTTTCTAATAATTAACACCTCGTCAGGTGCATCTGATTTTAATCGACACATTTCAAGTGATATACAGGATGTGCTTACTTTTTCCACTTAAGGAAATTGCATGTCTGTTGTTTAATTATATATAAGATGAAAAAAATGTAAAAATGTTCATTTTAGGTATCAATTGTTAAATTATTGCATAGATTAGTCATGCGTTGTTATCTGAGATATCAGGTTAATTGCTTTTTATTTCACACCGAGATTCTTAAAATGATACTTGCAGAGCTTGTCTCGTGTTTTTCACCACTGGCAGTAGTCTCCTCAGTCCTTCATCAGATGGTCTGTATTTCTTCAGCTCAAACCTTTGTTGATTTTCCTCTGACATCAATAACACAAACACCAGAGCTGACCACTGTGTAGATGAAAGTGTTTGTGTTGAGAGATCGCCTGAGTTCAGGAAGTTCTGGATTTCACTTGTCAGGGAGTTGTCTTTTAGTTCACTTAGACAGTGGAAGAGATTGAGTGTCTTTTCAAAATATTTTTTCTTCCTGATCTTTATCTTAATGTAATCTATGGTGTCTTTCAGACTCTCTTCTTTGATTTTCATTTCTGGCTGTAGACTCTTGAGGAGCCTCTGATTGGACTGTAGTGAGAGACCAAGAAGGAAGCGAATGAAAAGGTCCAGGTGTCCATTTTCACTCTTCATGGCCTTATCCACTGCTGTCTTGTGCAGGTCAGTCAGACTGTGTTTTAAATTCCACTTTATTTTCTCCAGTGTTGTTTGAAGAAGAGGGTTGAATTCATGAGTGAATGTGAGGAACACATATATGGCTGCAAGAAACTCCTGGAAACTCAAATGAACAAAGCTGAAGATTTTCTCATCAGTTTTAAAAACTTGTGTACACACTCCAGAGTACACCAGAGCTTCATCAACATCAATGCCACATTCTTTCAGATCGCTCTCATAGAATAGGAGTTGTCCCTTCTGCAACTGAAGAAAGGCTAACCTTCCGAGCTTCAGTATGTTCAGTGCCCCTATTTGTTTGTCTCTTGTAAACATTTGAACTGTATTAATCTCTTTTTGCTCTCCTTCATATTTCTCAGACTTTTGCATCATTTGAAACAGCAGAAACCGTGTGTACATTTCCGTCAGAGTAGTGGGAGCATTTTTCATGTCTTTGCCTTCTGTCAGCATCTTCTGAAGCACAGTGACTGAGATCCGACAGAAGACAGGTATGTGACACAAAATATGAAGACTCCGTGCTGTCTTAATGTGAGAGATTATTCTGCTGGCTTGATGCTGATCTCTGATTCTTTTCCTGATGTACTGATCCTTCTGTGGGTCACTGAATCCACGTATTTCTGTTACATGATCAAAGTACTTGCGTGGGATCTGACTGGCTGCTGCAGGTCGTGAGGTTATCCAGATGATAGCAGAAGGAAGAAGTTCTCCTTTGATTAGGCTTGTTATTAGTTTATCAAGAGTTGTTTTCTCTGTTACATTAGTTATTTTCTTTTGCTGAAATTTTAGAGGAATTCTACTTTCATCAAGTCCATCCAATATGAAAACTATCCTGCACTTTGCTTTTAATATCTCCGTTACATCTTCACCATTGAATTCATCGTGGAAGTATAGTAGAAGATCCCACAGGCTGTATTGTTCATGTTTGATCAAGTTCAGCTCCCGAAAGGAAAGGAACAATATGAAATCTATATCCTGATTGCAGTTTTCTTCAGCCCAGTCGAGAATAAACTTGTGTACACAGGCTGTTTTTCCCACTCCAGCTATTCCCACTGTCAGTACTTTTGCACCAAGCACATTTTGGTCACACTGCACTTTGAAAATATCACTGAATTTGACTGGAGTTTCTTCTGTTTTGGGATAAAATGCTTCCACCTGTCTCACTTCATGGTCACTGTTCACCCCTCCTGTGCAGCCTTCAATCACATAAAGTTCTGTGTAAATGTCTTCCAAAGGCATATAATCACCTTCCACTGAAGTCCCCTCATACAGCTTTACCAGTTTTGCTTTAAAATTTGATTTTGCTATCCTTCTGAGACCATATTGTTTTCCACCTGTTGGAAAATGTGAAGACAATAACGCTTTATTCAAAAGTTTGAATAACCTTGGAGTAAACACAAAAGCTACATGATGCCAAATAAAAAAAAATTCTAAGAAGGTTTCTCTATATTCCTTAAAATGCAATAATGTACAGCTGCTAAAATTCATAATCTGTGTTATTCTTATCAAAGTAGAAGATCTTCCTCTTAGCAATGACAATAATAAACAAACTTCATCAGTATTAAACATTCCTCATAAATGCACAGAAAATGTACCTCATCTGTCTCAAGCTCTGACAGAAAATAAAAATCCTTGCCACATTACCACTATTTGAGTGGTGGATCATTCTCAGCATTGCAGTAACACTGATGTGGTGGTGGTGGTGCGTTAGTGTGTGTTGTGCTGGTACAAATGGATCAGACACAGCAATGCTACTGGAGTTTTTTTTTTTTTCATGTACATTTCCTAGTATTCAGTGCAATCCTGGAGATAAGAACTTGGAATGTAAATGACACTGGCTTGGACAAGCAGTGTGTGCAATATTCATGCTCACGTATTGATGCATTGATGATTTATTGTTTACCTGTAATAAAAGTACTAACTGAGTCTTCAGTCTGAGTTGCAGTGAAGGAAGCTGCTGGACTGAAGAAGTTTAGTTCTTCACATATGTTGCTACCTGAGAGACAAAGGAGTATCAGTTATTTAAAGTTGGAGTAAAAGAGATTCAGTTAAATATATGTTCACTATACTACAGTTAATTATCCAGAGCAACTGTCACATAAAGATGAGCAAAAAAGGAGCAAAAAAAATGTGCTGTTTATTCTGTTAATTTACACTAAATAAAATATGAAATAGATCCACTTTTTCAGTAAGGCAGAATTATTCAAAAAAATAATGGTTTAAAATATAAACATTAAGACAAACATTTCCATGATGAGGGCTCTAATGAGCTTATGGAAGATGGTAGAAATTAACATATTCAACTGGTTTGATTGAGTGAGAGGGTTGATTAGTACATTATCTATTGGCAGTGGATCAGTGTCCTAATGGAAGATTAGACAGCTGTGACAGTTTCTCACAGCCTTTTCTGCCTCATCTTTACTAAAGCTGCCAGTAATTTTTTAAGGTCCTGTAACTAATGACAGTTATTAAGCAGCATTACTTTCTCTGAGATTGGTCCCAAGTTCCTCAGCCAGTTGGTTTTGGTTTATCTTCTTTAGGATGGCTAATGTGATTGCCACAGCTCCACTGATCTCATAGCTTGCAACCATCTTATCCACAGTGTCCGATCTGTCTGCATTCTCCAGAAATGCCTTTGGGATGCTCTTAAAACCTTCCACACCATTGGTCAGCTTCCACTGAAATAACTTAAGGTCCTTCTCCCCCAAGTTATGAAGAACGTTCAGCAACACTTGTGGAATATTTGCCATCTCATATAACTGGAATTGAAGAAAGATGATGACAGTCAAGTTCGAAAAAGGCTTCTGCTTACCAAACAGAGAAGATGAACTTCCAATACAATAAGAAGTTGCTATCTGCTCCATGTTTATTTCAGACAAATGTTTCCTAATTCTCTGTATTATACAGCCTACTACTCTAACAAACTTGTTTAAATATTATTGTACAAATTCATGAAATTCTAAACACATGCATCAATTACCATCAAATAATTCTACAATAAAAAATATCCAACATTTTTGTTCTCTTTTACATTATATCATTATAAACTGCTACACTATAAAGACAAAAGTATTGGGACACCTACACATTACATCTACAGGAGCTTTTATGAATCCCATTCGAAATCCATAGGCGTTAAAATGGAGTTGGTCCCCACTTTGCAGCTATAACAGCTTCCACTCTTCTGGTAAAGAGTGTGTCAGTGTGAATGTTTGCCCATTCATCCAGAAGAACATTTGTAAGGTCAGACACTGGTGTTGGATTAGAGGGTCTGGCTTGCAATCTCCCTTCTAGTTCATCTAAAAGATGAACATTCTCCAGGCACTTGCCATAGAAACCCATTTCATGAAGCTCCTTACACACAGTTCTTTTGCTGATGCTGCTTCCAGAGGCAATTTGGAAGTTGTTAGTGAGTGATTTAACAGAGGATAGGCACTGTGTGCTTCAGCACTTGGCGGCCCCACTCTGAGTTTGTGTGGTCTACCGCTTCATGGCTAAACTGTTGTGCTCCTAGGTGCTTCCATTTTACAATTATAGCACTTGACAGGGGCAGATCTAGCAGGACAGAAATTTCACAAGCAGACTTGTGGCAGAGATGCATCGTATGACAGTGCCATGTTTAATATCACTGAGGTCATCAGTACGACCTGTTCTACTGCCAGTGTTTGTCTATCAAGAACTCAAGTCTCATTTGGGGAGGCTCTTCCTGACTTCTCCATAATGCTGCCCTGAAGTATCCTGATATCTATAAAGTTGTTTATAAGTTTTAGTTGTTTAAAAGTGCTAGCTTATATAAATAAAATTGAATTGATATACCATGCAACTTAACATGATGTAGTTCAATAAAACAAACAAACAAACAAACAAGAAAAACATGTTTAAAATGGCTTGTACATTCCACAAAAGCTATATAATCAAGGCTGCATAGACGGCTTTTAAAAAACTTTCATTAAATACATGCGGAAATCACATCTAATCATACCGCAACCAACTTTTCCACCAACCTAATCTGTTTAGCAAATATAAAAAAAGTCACTTAAGGGACCATAACTATGACAAAGAACAATTTGCAAAAAATGATCACAGGGTTGAGGTTAGGAAGTGCTGGTTTATATCCAAAGCAGCTCACTGGCTTTTACTTTAAATTGTTAACCCACAAAGGTTCTTGCTATAAACTACATGTCAACATAATATCACTGTTAATTATGAACTTACCCAATGAATGCAAAATTTTACATCTGTTATCCGCTGTTCTATTCTCTTACACCAAGTTATTTTTTGTTCTCGCCCAGATGCTGCATATCTGGTTTTCCCACACACAGAGCTAAATATAACCCAACATATACTGCCCTGCCCCCCCAGTGCTGCAGTAAATACTTCCTTGTTACCATTCCCTATAGACTTCCTCAAAATCCCTGACTTTTCATTGGATAGCAGCAGAGGGTGACGGCAGCAAGGTGCCCAGCCAGGCATAACATAACAAGAGCTAACCTGCCTCAAGCTGTTGGAGGCAAAGCACATCTATGCAAACAGAATCCACAGACACTTGATACATGGCATGTATGTCAGTCCACTCTCATGGACTTTTCACCCTACAGCCATCTGACATTATATATATATATATATATATATATATATTATATATATATATATATATATATATAAAATTCATTATTCTCATCTGACCACAAAATGTTTTCCCACATTTTGGTGGGGTCACTCTGATGCTTTCTGACAAACTCCAGATGTGCCTTGATGTGGTTTGTCTTCAGTAATCTCTTCTCTCTGACCGGTTCACCTTCACTCCAGTCTCAGCCACTAAACTCTCTAGCTCCTTTAAAGTGATTACTGCCCTCTCTAAGGCTTCCTTCACAAGTCCCCTTCTTGTTCTGATGCTGAGTTTTGTGCATGTCTGTAACTGTATGTCTTTAATTTCCTGAGAATGCTTTTTGGTCTGTTTATTGTGCCAATGTTTGGTATCTTTTTTCAGTGCAACATCACCTATATGACTTGACAAGTTTTCAGACTGACATACCATAGAATGGACCCAAACACTGGACAAAAACACTAAAACACATAAAATTGGATTTGAAAAATTGTTTTACTATAAACACACAAAAATGTTCAATGAAGCATTTTAAAGATTGAAAATGTAAACACAGGTTGCAAATGTAAACATATGATATTAAAATTCAGATAAAATGAATCTATATACAATTACTTATCCTCATATGGGAACTGAAGACACAAATTTTTGTATGAATCTTTTCCCAACTTAAGTGTTTAAACAGCCGAGGACCCCTTTCTGACCCTTGTAGGACAGACACAGAAACTGTCTTGTCTGTTAGAAGCTAGGCCAATAAAATAATTTTTTAAAGTGTCAAGAATGACTATGTCAAAAGCTGCATAAGTTGAAAATGTCTAAAATATAATGTTTGTTTTCCGGTTGTTGTTTCCCCTTCTGTGTTGACCACAGTAGGGAAGTCCTCCTAGTGAAGTGCTTTGTCCTGGTCAATCAAGTGCTTATTTTCATTGGATAGCATGGCAATTGCTGTTTTCAAAGGTTCAGAAACTCAATGTGTGGTGCCAGCCCTGCACAAATTGTAAATGTAAAATATGAGCCATAGCCTCTAATTGCACTACAAAGTATGCTAACAAGATTATGTCCTTGTCACAAGTCTAAGTGTCTAAGTCTGATACACTTTAACCAGTGCGGAATCTACTAACATGCCACTACCATGTTAATATTTTAAAGAGCAGTAAACAATATCTGGTCAATGGTCCTATGATGGCCCCTTTCCAGTAGTGGAGCTAAACGTCTTTCTAGAAGTCGGTTGGCACCACACAGTTTTTTGCACTAGGAACTGCAACCAAATGGAAAACATAAACAAACAATATGGCTAATTTAGAGCACTTGCAGGATGACAGAAATAACTTCCACCATCACATGTTAAGAGGTAGGCTACATCATTTAGAAAATTTGGACATGAATGCTCACTTTTCGGTTATGGTAAGGTCAAATTATGGTAATTAATGATTGGCTATCTGCTGATGTAGAGCACCAGTTAGCATTAAATGGAGCGTTATTCGTAAGTTTTCATGTATATTATTTTGCCACTGGGTCAGAGCAAAATGTTGTGAGAGACACAATTCAGGTACATATAAGCACTGTTTGCAATGCCATCTGCAAGGTCACCCTGTTCTTTATGTAGGCATATAGATGACTTTTTCCAAGTGCCATTAGGAGTGAGGCAGCACACTGCACAATTGCAAAGATGTAGGATGTTTTTTTTAATATCAAAGTAATAAATAATTAAAAGTTTTGTACAGTATCCTACCCCACAACTTCCCAGTCTGCATCTCTGTTGGTGGTATTACATATCAGACAGTGTTTCACCTTCCTGTCTGAAGGTGCTAACCATCTTGCGCCCACGTGCATACAGATTGTCAAAAAATAGTTGGAACTGTGTGCCTTCCTGCTTTAAATGCTCCAGATACAATGCTTTGACCACCATAGTCATGAAATCCTTTCAGACACTTGTGTTAGCATACTTCAAGCATATTACAACTTCCATGATTTGATCCTCTTGTGTTTGCATATCTGGCCACTGGTTATGATAAAAACGCTGTCAGCATGGAATTACATTTCATTCTCAGTATCTCTTTTCGTACATTTCAGCTCAGTGTTTAGAATTGTGTTTAGAACATTACAACAACTGTGATGGCTTATAAACTACAATCACCAGGGACCTTATGATGATGTAGTAAATATTTTCCTGGCACAAATTAGGGCCTCTGATACCCAATTTGAAAGTCATAATGTCACAGTGTACCTGAGCATTTTTGGTGACAGTTTAGCCAAACCCAGATGTACATAAAGATGGGCATAAATGTTTTCCTTAAGGACATGTGCAGGAATTGGCTTCTATTTTACACACGCACTGAGGATTTAGAGACCCAAACCCTAAACCCTGCATAGAGAGGCTCTGTGAATGTGGAGTGGAATGTGTGTAAATGTGTCAATGTGTCTGTGTCAGTGGATATGCTATAGAAGGATAGAGTGCCGGCCAGCCAATCAAGATACACCGCTACTCTTTTAGAGGAAGGGACAGGTATGTCAGTGATCTTCTTATTGTACCTGACAGAGTAACTAATATGAGAGCAGTACAGTATCCAGGACTTTTCATTGAATCCAAACTGACACTTATTACTGTCTCCTTTTCTGGTGATTGCTTTATATGTTATTGCTATAGCAGCCCATCCACTCCACTCAGCCTCACAGTAACAGCGCCCCATCAGACTCTCTCTAGACAGCACTTGTGCATACTCATCGAATCTCTCTGGATGATCAGGATACTCGTTACGCTCTCCCAAATACATCACCTTTCTGTTTTCTTCAGACAGAGCGAGATCTTCATGTGCTGTGTTTGGGTCTAATGTGAGCTCACAGGTATCTGCACAGAAGAAGAGAAGTTAGAAAACCATCTTCCACACAAAAAGTGTGTGTGTGTGGGTGTGACAGAGAAAACATTACTATTACACTGTAATTACTATTTCACTGTACACAGTGCACTTACATTTTCTTAGGCCTGCTTTGATCCATTTCTTCCCTGAATGTTCCACCCTAAACAAAACACACATGCATACACAGCACCATCAGTTACAAAATATTCTCTTCCTTTCCTTTAATTTCTGTATTTTCTCCCCCCTTCTGTGACACACAACAGCTAATAATTAGTGCACAGTTAGACAAATAAAAATTCCTTTTCACTAATTACAATTTACAGGCTGCCAGGGCCGTATTCTCAGTTCTTACAGGAATTCTCTGACTTTCTATCAAGTCTAATAACGCTTTCAAATAAAATAATAATTGTCTGAGATTTTAATATCCACTTCGACAATCCTCAAGATGCACTAAGCAAGGCATATATCTATCATAGACTCCATAGGTTTCACCCAAATCATAAAGGGGCCCACACACTACCACAACCACACTCTAGACTTAATACTGACCTTTGGTGTAGACATAGATAACTTTCTACCATTCTCCCCCAGAGCACAGCAGTCTCTGACCATTACTTAATCTCATACAAAATTCACTTTAGTGGTAATGTGCGTTTATCACCATGTTATTGTGTTAAGCGGACAATAGCTCCCTCCACAGCTGGTAGCTTTATCAGAAAACTTCAGCTGTCAGCTGTCCATCTAATCCTACTGAGTTAGATACTATGACCAAGCTCTTAGAGGATAATTTTCGATCTACTCTAGATAGTGTGGCTCCATTAAAAAGTAAAATAACTCGCCCCTTGGTATAATGATCACACTCAAGCTTTAAAACAGTCTGCCAGACAACTTGAGCGAAAATGGTGCCTCACTAAGCTAAAAGTGTTCCAGTCCACCTGGAAGGAGAGCCTTATAGACTATAGAAGAACACTTGCTACAGCACGCTCAGCCTATCTCTCCTCTCTCATAGAAAACAATAAAAATAATCCTAGATTACTATTCAGCACAATCTCTAAACTAACAAAGAACAAAACAGTTAGTGAACCACAGATGCCATTAGCCTATAGCAGCAACGATTTTGTGAACTTCTTTAGTGACAAAATTGAAAAAATTAGGCAGAAAATTCAGAATACACAATTAAACTCCTCAAACCTGCTCCCCCATAATGCTATCCTCAACCTTGAGAATACTATAATCCCTGCAGAGAGGCTTGAATCATTTACCTTACTTCAAGAAAATGAACTAGTTAAAATCGTTTCTTCCGCAAAATCAACTGCTTGTATGTATCCAATTCCTACAGGTTTACTCAAGGAAATTTTGCCAGAAATAACCAAGCCTATTCTGTCAACAATAAGCTCCTATGCAGATGACACTCAGTTATACTTAGCAAGCGAACCGGATGATAAAATTAAACTTAGCAAGATTGAAGACTGTATAAAAGACATAAAAGTCTGGATGTCAAGTAACTTTCTCCTTCTTAACTCCGATAAAACAGAGGTTCTACTTCTTGGTCCAAAAGCGGCTAGAAACAGACTGTCTAATTTAACACTTAAACTTGACAATTTCTCAGTTGCATCAAGCTCATCTGTAAAAAGCCTTGGTGTCATTATAGACCCTGATCTGTCCTTCGACGCACATAAAACTAATATTACTAGAACAGCCTTCCTGGATCTCCACAATATTGCTAAATTGAGAAATGCATTATCTCTACAGGATGCAGAAAAGTTAGTTCATGCATTTATTACTTCAAGGCTAGATTACTGTAATGCCCTGCTGTCTGGATGTCCCAGCAAAAGCCTTAACAAACTTCAGCTAGTCCAGAATGCTGCAGCCAGAGTTCTTACTAGAACCCGAAAGTTTGACCATATCAGCCCAGTTTTATCAACCTTACACTGGTTACCAGTTAAATTTCGGATTGATTATAAAATTATCTTACTGACTTACAAAGCTCTAAATGGACTCACCCCTCAGTACCTGAGTGAACTTTTCTCTCACTATGAACCATCATGCCTACTTAGATCACAAGGTGCTGGCTTACTATTAGTACCTAGAATTAATAAAGTTACGTCGGGGGGAGAGCTTTCTGATACAAAGCCCCCCAGCTTTGGAATAATCTCTGTTAATGTTCGGGACTCAGACATAGCCTCAGTCTTTAAGTCTAGGCTAAAAACTTACTTGTATAGTCAAGCCTTTGGTAATTAGTTTTCCCTGTCAGTTTTATACCTGCCAGAGTCTCTGCTGCGCTGCTAACACTGTAATTGGATCAGTCACCCATTACAGACTCGACCCTCTGTGTGTTTTTCCTTTCCTTTCTTTTCTTTGCCGAGTTGAACAGCTGCCCATCGTGTGCGTTCTGATGCTGCTGCCTCTCTGCCTTGATCGGGTGCCACTGCTTGCCAGCCCTCTGGACCGGCTTGACCACCATTGAGCTTCTTGCTGTACAACGCCGTGCAAACCTCACCCTCACAATCCCGACCCCACTGATGCTGCTGCTGTTCCTGCATAAACTAAACTAATCAAATTAATCAGACACCCATTACAGAACTGACTCTCTGTGTGTTTTTCCTTTCTTTCTTTCCTTTGCCGAGTTGAACAGCTGCCCATCCTATGCGTCTGATGCTGCTGCCTCTTCTGCCTTGATTGGGTGCCACTGCTGCCAGCCCTCTGGACCGGCTTGACCACCATCAAGCTTCATGCTGTACTATGCCATGCAAACCTCACCCTCACAACCTGACCCCACTGATGCTGATGCTGCATGAACTAAACTAATCAAATTAATTATCCATGCTCCACCTGCTTTCCCCGGTTTTGTACTAACAATATTTACTATCTGGTGTCGACCAGAGGAGGATGGGTTCCCCTTCTGAGTCTTGGTTCCTCTCAAGGTTTCTTCCTGTTTCCCTAGGGAGTTTTTCCTTGCCACTGTCGCCACTGGCTTGCTCATGGGGGCTTGGACCCGGATTTCTTTCTGTAATGCTGATTTCCTTGTAAAGCTGCTTTGTGACAACACATGTTGTAAAAAGCGCTATATAAATAAACTTTACTTACTTACTTACTTACTATATACTATACAGAATGCTTTAATTTGATTTTAGTTTAGTATAGTTTTGATTTCAATTAAATCTAAAAATACAAAAGTAAACCTAGAAATTGCTATTGTAATGAGATTATTCTAGGTCATGAGATCATGCTGGGCAAGTGTGGATATAGCTTTGTTAACTGTCTGCATATTTTCTGAAGTTGACTGTCTGTAAAGTCAGTTCCTTTGGAAAGTAAAGTGTTGTACTTGCAACTAACTGCCTCTTGAATTAAAATTACTTTAGATTAGTACTAATTTCGTATTTAACTCTTTCATTACTCTGTTTGTAGCAATGTAAGCCTCACTACTTTATAATTATTCACATAGCTGGTCCTGATCACATTTTTTGTTAGTTTCCATTTATCTCCATTTAACCAGGGAAGTGCGCTCTGTTAGTCCCGTTTCATTTTAGTTCTCGTCAGGAAAATATTTATGAGAACCTGTATTGCGGATTGAAAATTCTCAGATATCCCCTTAAGGAACTATTCTAAGGAGGAGCTTCTCCCCTTCGTTAACATTAAAATCCTTCATTAAAATGTCTTTTAATAAATCTTTTGCAAATCAATATTTCTAATATTGAATTTATCTGAAGCTAAATTCTGAAATGTATGTAAATCTTTGTAAACTAAGATGTTTCTTTTTGATCCATTTTCATGACGCATATATTTGATCCATTTTCGTGACGCATATATTAAGGTGTCATCCAAGCTGTCAAATTTGTTTGAAGTGTGGGGCTCATGCATGACAGTCCTAAACACAAGTATGCATTTTCTTAAATGCTAGATTAAGTATGTTGTGCTTTTGTTGTAAATGATAAAAGGTTCACATATTTTATCATACATTTTCAAAAATAAGACATACCAATTGTTCTGCTGCCACAATATGGCATAACATGTTATACTTCTATTTTATGTGATATTTAAGGATTTGTCATGTATTGAAATACAGCATGACATATTGTGATATACACTGGACTTGCACCCAGTGACTGTTATTAGTATATTATAGTAGAGTTTATGAGTCTTACCTGAACAGTGGATTTGATCCACAGAGTGTATTTGATCCACCATTATCATTTTATATTGTATTGTTTTTTTCTACCATCCATATACAACTTATTTCAGCCATAACAATAGATAAAGAGGACCAAATAAAACAGATAACACAACAATGATATAGTTTTTCATTAATTTATTGAGCAAAGTGATCAGAGAATCTTGGTCCATTCCTCGTAACAGAACTGCCTCATTCAGTTATGTTGTCATGAACATCCTTCTTAGGTCTTGCTACAACATTTCTATTGGATTAAGGTCTGGACTTTGACACCATTCCAAAACGAAATATTTTGTCTGCTTCAACCATTCTTTGTGGATTAATTTGTGCTCTTAGCATCCTCTTCTTTTTGCAGGACCCACCTTCTGTTAAGGTTCAGTTGATGGACAGGTGCCCAAACATCCTCCTGTGAAATTTCTTGATACAGTCCTGAATTCATAGCTCCATCAAATGATGGCAAGCTGCCCTGGTCCAACAGCAGCAAAACATCCCCAAACCATGATACTGCCACCACTGGGTTTCACTGGTAAGATGAGGTTTTTATGCTGGAATGCACTGTTTTGTTTTCGCCAAACATTTCAAATTTAAGCCAGGAAGATATATTTTTGTTTGGCTTTCTCCATACTATTGTTACATACACACTATTATTTTTCAGTGTTTGCCCAATTGCGGACTCATGAACACTCACATTAGCTAGTGTAAGAGAGCCTGTATATATATTAGCCTGTCTATCCTTAGATGTTACCCTGGGGCTCTTTGAGATCTCCCAAGAGATTGTACACCTTACTCTTGGAGTCATTTTTGTTGGATGACCACTCCTGGGAAGGGTAACACTGGTGTTCAAGTTCCTCCTTTTGTACACTATCTGTCTGACAGTTCATTGGTGAAGTCCAAACTCTTCAGAAATATTTTTGGAATCTCTTCCAGCCTAAGGACCATTGGCTAATGCTTTTCTAAGGTCCTCAGCAATCTCATTTGACATTTCTTGCACTACCAATTGTGTTTGGTAAAGATCAGACTTTAATGGTGAAGACACAGGTTGATTTTTTTAAAATAGGCTAGGGTCAGTCACACTTACCTGATTGTCATCCAATGTATTGAACCCCCTGACCCTATTATCCCATAAACCAAACTGATAACTCTAGAGGTTCATATACTTCGGCTAACCAAAATATATAATGTTGGATTACCTTGTTCAGTAAATGAACGATAAACTATATAATTGTTTGTGTTATTTGTTTTGTTGGGTTCTCTTTATCTGTTGTTATAATTTAAATAACTTATACAGAAATGCATATAATTCTAAAGGATACACACATTTTCAAACAGCACTGTACACATATTGTGTTCTTTCTTATGTACATATACATAAATCTGTACATACCTAAGTGTCTCCAGTCTGCAGTATGGATCCCCCAGTTTAGCAGAAAGGAGATTTACTGCTGACTCTCCTGGGTGGTTGTAGGTGAGATCTAGTTCTTTCAAATGTGAAGGGTTTAAATTTAAAGCTGAAGTGAGAGAGGAACAGCCTTCCTCTGTGACCAAACAACCAGACAGCCTGCAGAGAAGAAAATGGGGGAAAAGTGGGTACAAGGACTATATTTTTAAGAAGTAAAAAGGATCACGGAGCAGCTCCTAACATATTGGATAAGGATAAATATGTACAAATCACATAGAGACAAAGATGCTAGGACAGATGGCCCTAACTGAACTTTTAAACAATAGAACATTGTCCTACTGTGACATTGTAACTTTCTATCTTTGTATCTTTTTTCCATTTTAAATGATTAAATGGATCTCACCTTAGTGTTTCCAGTTTACAGTGAGAGCTCTTAAGTCCAGCTGAGAGCAGCTTCACCCCTGAATCATGCAAGTCATTGTTACTAAGATCCAGTTCTTTCAGGGGACATTTTTCTGATTGTAGAGCTGATGAAAGAGCTCTACAAGAATCCACAGTGAGATTGCAGACAGATAGCCTAGAAAAGAAGAGAAAAGTATAAAACAGTATTGGGAGGGGATCGAATCAAATGTTCAATCAGTCTAAAAAATCATTTATGTTGTAATTCTGTTGGTAATTTATGTCTTCCTGTTTTACAAAGGTAAATCTTACTGTGTAATTTTTTGTGGCATTATGCTTTTTCTTTCTTGAATATTATATTTTTGTGATGTTAGGATTTACATATCATGATGTCATTCTAATTTTACACTTGTCATTAACAAGCCAACTCTAGGAACTCCTGGCATTAACAAGTGTTCAAGCTAATTGTTCTGCAAATGATTAGTCAATATGAAGGTATGCCAACAATTATAACATGTCTCCTAGTGCTGATGCTACAGCAGAGGAAGGTAGCAATTGCTTCACGATGCTTTAATATAGTTAAAGGGTCATACTAGAAAAGTGTCCTCTTCCATGTTTCTTGACACAGACAATGGTTGTTCACTAATTATCCTGCCACCAGAGATTATGGTGAAAGTTCTTTAAAAAATGTAGGATCAATTTTGAGTGAGGTGTGATGTTCACCATTGAAGGAATATAGGCTGACTAAGCTGGGACTTGAACATATTTTGAGGTGGTACACTTCCAGAGCTATTGAGACAGAGTGCATGCTTTTATGCTTGGAAATACATGATCCAAACCCAAAAATGTAAAATTGGTCACATTTAAGCAGCTTTTCTACTGCACTGTACCGACTTGACGCTACTTGCCTTTATTGCTTTTCCACTAGGCAAATCTGGTACCTGTTAGTGTGTACTACTTTGGTACCACCTCTGTCGAGGTTCCAAGCAAGCTAAGCCGAAACCAAAAGGTGACATAAAAATGCTACAGACTACTGATTGGACATCTGAACTCCGGTGCAGCATTTCCGGAACTCTGCCGTTTTTTTCAGCAGTCTTTTGTCTTGCTGCCATCAGCCTCTTTTGAACAATATTTGTCTCCTTCACATCATAGGCATCACTATGATGACCAGCTACATTGAGGGGGTCCTATATCTGCAGTGGAAGAAGAAGTAGCTAATACCAAAAGTGAGTAGTTTCAAGTTGAGCTGTACCATGCAGTGGAAAAGCAGCTTTATATAGCAATTGTAAGTGGCCAAAAAAAGGGAAATATTATGAAAGAAACACTGAAGAACCTGACTATATGAAACTTAAATTAGGGGTTAGCAGTAGAGGGTTTACTATGGGAGAGTACAGATCTACAGTTTGGCCTTCTGACAGTGAGGACTAAAGTTCCTTGTCCCTTCATATCTTCATCATCAAAGTTGCCAATCCCAGCTCTAGCACTAAAAAGACATACACCAAACTGTACATGCCTGAGTATCTCTACGTTGCAGTGTGGATCCTTCAACCTAGCAGAGATAAGCTTCACTCCGGTGTCTCCTAGATGGTTGAAGGTCAAATCCAGTTCTTTCAGGTGTGAAGGGTTTACACTAAGAGCTGAAGCCAGTGAAGAACAACCTTCCTCTGTGACCAAACAACCAGACAATCTACAGAATGGAAGAGAAAAAGATGAGTCATGAAAAAAGCTGCAGGACATGTATGGAGTTCATTTTGTGCCAAAAGTTTCAAATGAAATGCTAAAATCCCCAAGCAAAATATTGAGTATTTTTTGCTTATGGAATTGCTCTTTTGCTTCTGAAACATTTTTTGCCTCTGACTTTTGTCACTTAGTTCACTACATTAATGTGAAGCTCAACAACAGTCTATCAGGACATTTCTGTCCTGAAGCACAGAACTCACTTAACCTACCTAACCATTCACATGATTAATGATAGAGCAGCCACATTAATAATCAAAATGTTCACAAAAACTGTTTCACCTCCTTTTTTGGCTTGTTTTATTTTCTTGCTCCCGCCCAACCTGTTCCCATGTCTGGTTTGTTTGTATATGTAGCACCAGTATTTGTGTCTGTCAGGTCTTGGCTTTGTGTTCTTTCACGTCTTAATGTTTTAATTCAAAAATGATTTCACAGAAAGCTCACCTGAGTATCTCCACTTTACAATGTGAACTCTTCATCCCATCACAGAGTAGATTCACTCCTGAGTTCTGTAGGATGTTGTTGCTAAGGTCCAGCATCATGAGGAAGGAGTTTGCTGATTCCAGAGCAGAACAGATAACTTCACAGGCCCTCTTTGTGAGATTACAGCCAGCTAGTCTACAAAAGAAGAACAAATGTAACATACCCAAAAGAGTTTCTGAAACATTACCAAAGTCTCAGAATAGTTCAAAAGTTTAAAGACACCTGCTTTTCCACCTTTATTTTCAAGGGTAAACCATGAGTAATATTAGGAAGTCCCTCCCCTTCCCCTTGCTGCAATAACAAACTCTACTCTTCTGGTAAAGATGGTTGCTCCATCAATACAGAGAATGCAATTTCACTGCTCCACAGGCCAATGCATGGAGCTTTATACCTGATCTAGCTGGCACTTAACATGGTGACCACTGGCTTGTGTGCAGCTGCTCCAGAGCATTCAATTCTATTGTCACATAAAAGTAGGACATTAGAAAGGATGTCTGGATACTGCTGAACACATAGTGTACATGTACTTTGCTCTTAGTGTGGGAGTTACTGTAGTATCAATATGCTGGCATAGAAGACACAGTTCAGAAGACGTGAGCTGTATTGGTATCTGGACATCTAACCTTTCTCATCCATGGCATTTCTGGCATCTAACTTTTTATCCATAAATACCTCAACACATTTCTAAGGATTTAATTTTGTTTTTCATTTTTACTGAGAACTCTGCCTTATTGACATGCAGTTGCATCTTTACTTTGTGGGCTTATTGTTCTTTATAAGAATAAATAAATCTATATTTATTATAAGGTAACAAAGGCAGCACAAATACAGAAATAAGCAGAAAAGATTGAATACACTAAATGGCTAGTGGAGATACAAAATATTCTATTTATTTTTTTATACATATTGGTTTTATCTATATTTTTATTGATGAAAGATTTTTATTTATGGAAGCACATATGTACACTAATACTTCATAAATGAAGAACACATCACAAATTCAAATGTCATTCACTATTCACTATATGATTATTTACAAAACACTGCTGAAAAAAAAATCACATAAACTTCATTATAATGTATGTTTTGTACCCCTCAGTAAAACCTATACAAATGTAAGGTATTCTAATTATTTAACTAGTTAATCATTTTTTACAAATGATTTATAATTTATAAATAAATAATTTTTGCATTCTCAAGGTCAAAACAATTTAGTGTGTATATATATATATATATATATATATATATATATATATATATATATATATATGTATATATATAAAGTTAATACTTTATAATGTTGGGGTCCACTGTGATCAGGGGAATGGCTGCAGCTGGTGTAGAGTGACTTTTGACTGTCTTAATGAGAATGACTTTCCAAAACCTCACCTGAGTTTCTCCAGTTTACAGAGTGAACTATGTGAAGTGTTCACTCCTACAAAAAGCATCTTAACTCCTGAATCCTTCAGGTTGTTGTTACTGAGGTCCAGTTCTTTAAGGTTGCAGTTTGCTGACTGAAAAGCTGTTGCAAGAGTTTCACAGGACTGTTTGCTGATTTTACACATGGAAAGTCTGAAAATGGAGAGTAGATAAATCAGATCTTAGAATATAATCAAAGATGCATTACTGACCTCTGCTGGACCCTTAACACCATTTGGCTAACAATTAAAGCACAGCAGCAGCTTAACTTCCTGCAGGGAATGATGAGAACAAACCTTGCCTTTTCCATTCTCACAACTTTCAATCCAGAGTATGTCCTGACCAGCTAACTCACTGTCTTGTAAGAGAACTGCACAATCTTGGACAGCAGGACCCTACAGCAGATTACAAAGACAGCTGAAAAGGCCGAACTTCTACCATAAGCGCTGCATCAGCAAGGTTACTGGCATTGTGGACAAAACCTGCCACTCCACTTTTAGACTCTTCACTTTTCTGCCATCTGGCAAGTTAACTGAGTTAATTGAGAGCCTTTTCCACCATCACCAGACACTGATTACTGACTGGCAGACATTCAGGGCCCTCTCTTCTCTGACAAGACCAATATACATATATAGAAGCCACATTGTCTGTTGTTCTTAATCTGAGGTGATATACCTGCGCATCTGCCATGCTGGAGCAGTCAAGATCCACTCATAAAAAACACACACATGTACTGTGATATGGTGACCATAACTTGCTTATTAATCAATCACTTTTTACCAAATTTGTTTTTAAATAATTCTTGGATATCTCCACATATTTTTGATTCTGTTTCGCAAAGTCCTGCAGTTTGTTGTGTTTGTCCTCTGGGTGTTACTTTGCTACTTTATGCTATGTCCTTTTTGCCCTAATCTATTGCCCATTCATTGTCTACCTTGTTCCACTAGCCTAAACTTAGCTTATGCTGCCACTGCCTTCTGTTCCTCCTTTTGATGATTTAGCCTAGCTTAGATTGTTCCCCCTTCCCAAGTTGTTAGCCTAATCATTAGAAAATGCATTAGCATATCTCTTTTGCTGTGAGTTTCAAACTCACAGCAAAAGGGATAGGCTAATGCATATTGTAATATACATATATATATATATATATATATATATATATATATATATATATATATATAGCATTTAGCATAGCCTAGACTGCTCATGTTCTTTACTTAGTACACACACCATATATATATGGGTGTGTTTGTGTGTGTACACATATATTTTCCCATATTACCACACTACAATTACTACAACTGGCCCACTGCCTAAAATGGCTCTTGCATAGACTGAACGCTGAGGAGACTTTGTATTCTCCTATGGGGTTTTACAGAAACATTAACACTTTTACAATAGTCTTTGTATATTCTATTATCCATTATAATCCATGTTGAAAATAAAGTATCTATATTTTGCCCCCAGATACAGGCTGAAATAAGATTATAAACAAAAATGTCTCAAAGTGATAATTAGTAAAACTGTATTATGTGACTGGTAACATCAATGTCAGCATTAATATATATCATATATCATATATCATATATATATATATATATATATATATATATATATATATATATACACATATCAATTAGAAAAACTAACCTTAGTACCTCCAGTTTACAGTGTGAACTCATCAGTCCTGCAGAGAGCAGCTCCAGTCCTAAATCATGCAGGTCATTGTTACTGAGATCCAACTCTTTAAGTAGTAAATCCGAACTCAAGACTGATGCCAGAGCTTCACAGCTGTGTTTACTGAGGTTACAGTGGTCAAACCTTCATAATAAATATTTTGTTAAAGATTCATTACTACTAAATGGCAAATGTGCTCATGCAATTTAATTTTGCCTCCTCAACATGACAATTTCATGTAATGCATAAATGCAATATAAATAAAAAACTCTATTGTGTCTTTATAGTGTTTAATTCAAGAATATGTTTGAATCTTCTTTCCATTGCACATACTTTTATTTTTCCTGCTTTCATTTAAGAACAAATTAACAGTAAACTCACCTGAGTATTGCTAGTCTACAGTATGAACTCTTTAGTCCAGCAGAGAGTAGCGCCACTCCTGAATCCTGCAGGTCATTGTTACTGAGGTCTAACTCTGTCAACAGGGTGTTTGCTGATTTGAGAGCGGAGCAGAGAGTTTCACAGGAGTTCATGGTGAGATTACAGCCAGCTAATCTGTAATGGCCATGTACAATACAACAGATACAATATAGAGTACAATTAAAACATGAGATTTGGTATGGTGTGACAAAATTTTTCTGATGTGTTCCTCTTTCCTGAGCAAAGTGTCAAAGGCTAAAAGAAAGAGGTACTAGAAAGGAGATTGTATGGTATTTCTATAGCATATTTCAGGAAGAACTGACCTCAGGACTTCCAGTTTACAGTGAGAATTCTTCAGCCCAGCAGAGAGCAGCTCCACTCCTGAATCTTGCAGGTCATTGTTTCCCAGGTCACACTCTCTCAGTGCTGAATCTGAACTGAAAACTGATGCTAGAACTTCACTGCTGTGTTTACTGAGATTACAATGGTCCAGGCTTTATAATAAAGATACCAATTTTTTCAAATTAGTTCATTACAAAATCAAAAAAAGAAGATGCCATGTAAAGAGCATTTAATTCAGAGGATACAGAGCCTTCAAAACTTATATTAGTCTGCAATTTATTCCATCTTTTATATAAAATCATACCCTTTTATGCATCCTTACTTTGTTGTTATTGCTTAAATATTGTTTCTTGCTCACAAACTTTTTTTTGACAGTATACAGTTTATATACTGTAGATGGTTCAACACATTACTTAATAATTGTATACTTTGAACTTTTGCAAATCTTCAAATAATTAACAAAAATTATACTTGCAGAGCTTGTCTTGTGTTTTTCACCACTGGCAGTAGTCTCCTCAGTCCTTCATCTGATGGCCTGTATTTCTTCATTTCAAACATCTCTTGAGTATCCTCTGACATCAGTAACACAAACACAAGAGCCGACCAATGCGTAGATGAGAGTGTCTGTGTTGCGAGAAGTCCTGAGTTCAAGTACTTCTGAATTTCACTTGTCAGAGAACTGTCTTTCACTTCATTTAGGCAGTGGAAGAGATTGATGCTCTTTTCAAAGGATTTTGTTTTCCTGATCTTCCTCTTAATGTAGTCTACAATGTTCTTCAGACTCACTTCTTTGATGTCCATTTCTGGCTGTAGACTCTTGAGGAGTCTCTGATTGGACTCCAGTGAGATGCCAAAAAGGAAACGAAGAAAAAGATCAAGGTGTCCATTTTTACTCTTCATGGCCTTATTCACTGCTGTCTTGAGGAGATCGCACAGGCTGTGTTTTAAATTCCATGTTATTTTCTCCAATGTTGTCTGAAGAAGTGGGTTGAATTCATGACTGAATGTGAGGAACACAAATATGGCGGCAAGGAACTCCTGGAAACTCAAATGTACGAAGCTGAAAATCTTCTCATCCTTTTTAAAGACTTGTGTACACACTCCCGAGTACACCAAACCTTCATCAACATCAATGCCACATTCTTTCAGATCGCTCTCATAAAATAGGAGTTGTCCCATTTGCAACTGAAGAAAGGCTAACCTTCCAAGCTTCAGTATGTTAAGTGCTCCTGTTTGTTTGTCTCTTGTAAATGTTTGAACTGTATTAATCTCTTTTTGCTGTCCTTCATATTTCTCAGACTTTTGCATTGTTTGAAACAGCAGAAATCGTATGTACATTTCTGTCAGAGTAGTGGGAGCATTTTTCATGTCTTTGCCTTCCGTCAACATCTTCTGAAGCACAGTGACTGAGATCCGACAGAAGACAGGTATGTGGCATAAAATATGAAGACTCCTTGCTGTCTTAATGTGAGAGATTATTCTGCTGGCTTGATGCTGATCTCTGATTCTCTTCCTGATGTACTGATCCTTCTGTGGGTCACTGAATCCACGTATTTCTGTTACATGATCAAAGTACTTGCGTGGGATCTGACTGGCTGCTGCAGGTCGTGAGGTTATCCAGATAATAGCAGAGGGAAGAAGTTCTCCTTTGATGAGGCTTGGTATTAGTTTATCAAGGGTAGTTTTTTCTGTAACATTGGATACTCTCTTTTTGTTAAAATTCAGTGAAATTCTACTTTCATCAAGTCCATCTAATATTAAAAACACACTACTCCTACCATTTAATATTTCTTTTACATCTCCACCACAGAGTTCATCATGAAAGTAAAGTAGAAGGTCCCAGAGGCTGCACTGTTCATCTTTGATTAGGTTAAGCTCCCGAAAAGGAAGGAACAGTATGAAATCTATATCCTGATTGCAACTGTCCTCAGCCCAGTCGAGAATAAACTTTTGTACACAGGCTGTTTTTCCCACTCCAGCTATTCCCACTGTCAGTACTTTTGTCCCAAGAGCATTGTGGTCACATGACACTTTGAAAATATCACTGAATTTGATTGGGGTTTCTTCTGTTTTGGGATAAAATGCTTCTACCTGTCTCACTTCGTGCTCTGTGTTTACTCCTCCTGTGCAGCCTTCAATCACATGAAGTTCTGTGTAAATGTCTTTCAAAGGCATATAATCACCTTCCAATGCAGTGCCTTCATACAACTTTGCCAATTTTGCTTTAAATTTTGTTTTTATATTCCTCCTGACATCACATTGTTCTCCATCTGTTGAAAAATACGAAGAAAATAAAGCTTTATGCAAATCTTTTAATAACCTGAGAGTAAGGGTGACTGTAAAAATTCTTTAATGCGTAAAATATTATATATTCCTTTACCAACTGAATAGACTAATGTACAGCAGCAGTAAAAACAAAAACATATCAAAAAGTCAATACATAGCAAAAGGCCAACTCAATATACTGTGATGTTCATCTCAGTAAAGATAATGTAGCTTTAAACATTGTCAATCAAGTAATAACAAGTAGAAATTCCCTATCAATTTTATTTCATTTGATCATGTAAGTATTGTTGTCACTGTGGTATTTAAAATCAAATGAAATGCAGGCCAAAAAATTTGGTTCTTAAGCTTACTTTCTAATTCATTAGATACACCTACCTTGTAGCTATATTTATTGGCCAGCTGATCAGCTAATCCTACCATATGCATAGTTAGGTAGGTACTGTAGCTATACAATTACTAGACTATAGCCAAACTGTGCTAGACACTATTTGGTAGCCACTTTCTATGCTTTTACACAATGGCAGGATTGTGCAAATTCATTGGTTAAAAAAATGGATGTTTGGCTATGATAAATCGTTCTTTGTATGTGTGTTCCCAGCAATGAACTTGGTGTATCCTGCCTACATTCAGTGCATTCCCAGAGATCTATGACCCTGACCAAAAAAAGCAACTAGTGAAATTGAGTTGAGTGTGATGTTCATACCAATGTATTTGTAAACGTTACCATGATATGTTGTTTACCTGCAGTGAAAGTACTACTTGAATCTTCAGTCTGAGTTGCAGTGGAGGAAGCTGCTGGACGCTTACAAGTTACCTCTTTATGTATAGCGCTGCCTGAGAGACAAAGGGGTATCACAATAGAAATATAAAACACAAAATTAACTTAGACGTTTTTATATGTGTAAAAATCATAGTTTCATTTAAAGATATTTTCAGCATACAGTTAAATATCCAAAATAAGTGGCATCCTTGGTAAAGATGACAAAAAAGTGCCATGGAAAAGAATTTGTAGTTTAATACATAAATTTTACACTGTATATATAGAAAAACAATTTCATGCTGCAGTAAGGTAAAATTATTAAAAGAAACTGCATAATCAAAAAGGTTACCATGCTATATGGCTGTGGAGTTTAGTGATCATAGTGATAATCTTACTTGATATAAGAAATTATACTGGCTTATGCCAGTTTATAATGTTGCTCTCTAAATATCATGGTCAACAGTGGCTGTTGAAAAACCCCAAGTGTTTTGGCCAGGAAACCAGGCCACTGAAAATGTTTAGTAGCTACTGAACTATTTTTTGTGGATTTAGAGGTATGCTGTGGATGTTTGTTCTGTTAGATGGTCCAAACATGATCCAGACTTAATCTTTGACATTTTCGCACAGCCTCCCATCTTTGCCAAGGTGTGCCATAATACCTGATGTTATCGCATTATTGGCATTATTTACTTTCTCTGAGATTGATCCTGAGTTCCTCAGCCAGTTGGTTTTGGTTTATCTTCTTCAAAATGTCCAATGTGATCGCCACAGCTCCCCTGAGTTCATGGTTTGCAACCATCTTATCCACAGTGTCCAATCTGTCTGCATTCTCCAGAAGTGCCTTTGGGATGCTCTTGAACCCTTGCACACCACTGGTCAATTTCCATTGAAATAGCTTAAGGTCCTTTTCCCCCAAGTTCTGCAGAGTGTCCAGCAACACTTGTGGAACGTTTGCCATTTAATTTTACTGTAATTGAAGATGAATGACAGATTCAAGTTTAACCAACCATTTTGTCAAATATAGAGGGAGAAATCTGCCATTTCTCTATGGGTGATTGCTTGCTTTAGCAACAATTAAACATGTTACACGGCCCAGGGTGTGTGGGGTGGAAGCAACAGTTGTGTTTCCTGTATAGCGGGATATAAAGGAGACGGTGAAACAGTGGCCTTGTCTTCAAGCTTTCAAATTCATTTTTGTTTACTCTAATACAATTGTAACTAAACACTTTGGTCTTTCATTTGTATTTTGCCTAGCATTACCAAGTCGACCCCCTAGTACATTGGCAATTGCTATAGTACAGCTACACACTATGGGTAAAATAGACTTAAAACTGTCTCATATATCTTCACATAAATATTTTGTTCTCAACATTATCCCCTTTGCATTAGCTCTTCTTTCTTTGACCAAAGTACTGAACCAAAACAGATTAAAAAAAAAAAAATGAAAGTAACAAAACCATATTTCCCAAAACTCTCTTCTTTCTAATAACCAGTAGAAATGTCCCAATAATGGAGAATTGCTACTTATTAAAGTAGCTCTCAGCAGCAAATAAGTACAAGCTAACAGTAACTCATTTATGCTTATCAACAGAGCCAAATTGCTAAAAGCTGGCAGAGGCTCAAAGTTGGCTTATGTTACCAGGCCAAACAGGCAAAATGCTATTGAAGGCTATTAGTTTGAGTAAGTTGTTAACAGAGGCTAACTAGGTGCTATTTTTCCAGAGCTAAAAGGCGATAGCTAGTGGAAGCTAGACATTGTTTTAGAATGGCAAACAGGCTAAAGCTAGCAAAGGTTAGCACTTGAACTAGTTGAGGGCAGCTGGTTGTTAAGCTTTTTTAGCGTTAGTGATGCAAACTTAACAGGGTCTTAAAGATTCTTTTATATAGCCTCTTCAACAATAAAACATAAAACTATTGTTAAAACATTATTACAACTCAATGTCAATGAGCCAATGAGTGTCCGCCATCACACAATGCTTGGATGGCACATACTTCACAAAATCATACTATTAATTGCACAAATTTAATATTTCACATCATAACACAAACTCTTCTTAATGTAACTCATTTTATAGTGCTTATGTGTATTTAGTTAATTTAGTTCAAACAGTCACTTTGTGTTTATGGATTTGAGAGCTTTATCCATGCTTGCTTAAAGCCAAAATCTGGTGTCTGCCACTGCTTCAGTTATTTATTATTAGTTAGTTATTCTTTCAAGTACAGCACCTCAAAATAAATGCTAAGGCATATAAAAAAAAACACTTTCTTTTATATGCCATAGCATGACGAGCTGAACTCCGCACTTAGCCATTGGTAAGACTTGAGGAGAGGGCCTGTGTGTTTACATTAACACTGAATGGTGTAAAAATGCGCTTTTAGTCTCTAGTCACTGCTCACCGCTGGTGGAGTTTGCGATTGTCAGAACCAGGCCATTTTATTTGCCAAGAGAGCTGACTACGGCATACATAGTAGTGATGTATATACGTAGCTCCCAGTGCTAATGCTAACGCCGCACTGAGTGAGCTGTACAGTGCTATCAGCAATCTCTAAAACACACACCCAGACGGACTGTTTATTGTCACTGGAGATTTCAACCATGCTAATCTGAAGTCAGTACTCCCCAAATTTCACCAGTATGTGGACTTTCCAACCCGGGGGGCTAACATGCTGGATCTTGTTTACACAAAAATCCATGGCGTGTACTGGGCCGAGCCCCGCCCCCACTATGGCTACTCAGACCACATCTCTGTGATGCTCACTCCAGCATACAGACCACTCATCAGATGTGCCAAACGAGACCAGAAACAAGTGAGAACCTGGCCACCAGGAGCTATCTGTGTTCTTCAGGACTGTTTTGAGCACACTGATTGGTAGATGTTCAGAGAAGCAGCAACTTCCGGTGACTCCATCAACCTGGAGGAGTATACAGAATCAGTGACTGGCTACATCAGCAAGTGCATTGATGATGTCACTGTGTCCAAACTCGTCACAACTCACCCCAACCAGAAACCATGGATGACTGCAGAGGTGTGCATGCTGCTGAGAACCCGTGACAAGTCTTTTAAGTCAGGGGATAAAGCAAGCCTCAGTATAGCAAGAGCCAAGCTTTCCCGGGCCAGCAGAGAGGCTAAGCTAAAACACTGCTGACACACGGCGCATGTGGCAGGGCATCCAGGCCATCACCAACTACAAGACACCGCCACCTGCTTGTGACAGTGATGCCTCCCTTCCAGATGCACTTAATAATTTCTATGCTTGGTTTGAAGCACAGAACGGCATGACGGTGAGGAAGACCACACCTTCTCCAAATGAACAGGTACTGTGTCCATCCATTGCTGATGTGCGGAGAACTCTACACAGAGTCAGCCCATGAAAAGCACCAGGATCTGACAGCTTACCGGGCAGAGTGCTCAGAGAATGCGCCGAAGAGCTGGCTGATGTTCTCACAGACACATTCAACATCTCTCTGAGCACTGCTGTCATTCCAACATGCTTCAAGTCCACCACCATCATCCCTGTGCTGAAGAAGTCTTCAGTGTCCTGGCTCAATGACTACCATCCCATTGCACTCACTCCCATCATCATGAAGTGCTTCGAGAGGCTTGTCATGAAGCATATTAAAGACCAGCTCCCTCTTTCACTGGACCCACTGCAATTTGCATATTGCCCCAACCGCTCAACAGACAATGCCATCTCCACCGCACTCCACCTGGCTCTCACCCACCTGGACAATAGACACACCTATGTCAGAATGCTGTTCATAGACTTCAGTTCAGCATTCAACACCATCATCCCTCAGCAGCTGATTGGAAAACTGAGCCTACTGGGCCTGAACACCTCCCTCTGTAACTGGGTCCTGGATTTCCTGACTGAGAGACCTCAGTTAGTTAGGATAGGTAAGAACATCTGCAGCACCACCATACTGAGCACCGGTGCCCCTCAGGACTGTGTGCTGTTTACTCTACTGACTCATAACTGTACTGCAAAATACAGCTCAAACCACATCAAGTTTGCTGATGACACAACTGTGGTGGGTCTGATCAGCAAGAATTGTCAGCATACAGAGAGGAGGTGCAGGGGCTAACGGACTGGTGCAGAACCAACAACCTGTCTCTGAATGTGGACAAAACTAAGGAGATGGTTGTTGACTTCCAAAGAGTGTGAGGTGACCGCCCCCACTGAACATCACTGGCTCTGCCGTGGAAATCTTCAGGAGCACCAAGTTGCTCAGTGTCCACATCACGGAGAACCTCACCTGGTCCCTCAACACCAACTCCATAGCCAAGAGAGCCCAGCAGCGCCTCTACTTCCTACGGAGACTGAAGAAAGCTCATCTTCCCCTCCCATCTTCACCATGTTCTACAGGGGGACTGTAGAGAGCATCCTGAGCAGCTGCATCATCGCCTGGTTTGGGAATTGCACCGCCTCTGACCGCAAGACCCTACAGTGTATAGTGAGGACACCTGAGGAGATCATTGGAGTCTCTCTCCCCTCCATCATGGACATCTACACCACACGCTACATCTGCAAAGCCACCAGCATTGTGGATGACCCCATCCATCCCTCACACAGACTTTTTTCACTGCTGCCGTCTGGCAGAAGGTACTGGAGCATCTGTGCCATCACTGCCAGACTCTGCAACAGCTTTGTTCCTCAAGCGATCCGGTTTTTAAACTCAGAAGGATCAATCTGAATACCCCCTCATACACATACTCTACACTCACACAAACACACCCCTCTTTTGATGCTCTACTTGCACCTATCTGGAACATTGCTGCTTTACACTGTTTACTCAAGTACTACCTCAGTAACTGCTGTGTTTATGTATGTTATCTGACAGCGTAAACTCACAGATCACAGAATGTTAAATGTTTCTGCACCTTATTCCACTACCTCATGTCCAGAAATGAGTGCTCTGTCGGTGCTGCACTGTCCTGTCTGTTTACTGTGTCTAATGTCTGTTTAATTTATTGTATTTATTGTATTGTTTCTAGTTTAATTTTTGTTTGCACACTTATGTCTGCACGTTTGAACTTTGTAGTCTTTTGTTCCATGTTGCACCTTGTTCCTGGAGGAACGTAATTTCACTCCACTGTGTACTTGTACATAGATGAAATGACTATAAAAGCCTCTTGATTTGACTTGACTTGACTTGAAATTAATTCACAACAGTAACACACTCATTTGACATACTGATCTAACATCACCTGTAGTTTTTAAAACATATCACACTACAATATCTGGTTTGAAAAAAAACAGATGCACTTTGTTGAATTTTGAGAATATTTCTCAGTAACAAAATATTCCAGTATGACGACCCAGGTGTGAGGTAACTAAACCTTACAGGGTAGTGGAACTGTAGGAGTGGAATTGAGCACTCCTTTGATGTAAATGTCCAGGCATTATGGTTTATGTAGTTCACAAAGTTCTTTTGACATTACTTCTATATGAGACATTGAGAATTTAACCAGTCTCTGTGAAGAGGAAAGGCCTTCTATGAATCTCTTCTATCACATCTATAGTGCTCTAGTGATCAAGAAGTAAAGGAATGATTTCTTGATTTCATCATTTGTAAGGAAAACTTTCCAATCTGCAGTTCAATGAACATTCAGCACATACGAATACTATTAATACAATACATTACTACACCATATATTTTAAGTATTCGATTGTGTTATATTAACCATTTCCAAACCTCTCCTTGTGGAAGCCCAGTATTATTTGTAGTTTTGGCTTATCAATTCCCTAAATTAGGAACACTGATGGGTAATTTTGAACATATCCATGCAATTGTTGTAGGCATCAAGAAGCTGGTGACCAAATTTTGAGCTTTTAACAAGTTCACAATATCTCAACAAATGTTTTTAAATACAATAAATTCTAGTTACATTTCATTGTGTTAGTGTATTTGTTCTGTAATAAATAAATGATTTTAAACCATTTGCCTAAGTGGCTATGGCTTTTGCACATTACTGTATACCTGTGTGTTTTGTCCTTTGACTTTTGAAGTATTGCAGTTTCCTTACTGCATTTATTAGCCAGGTTCCTTGTTCTTGTTCCGCAATATCTCATGTTTTGACTGGTTTGTATTTCATCACCCCTGTTTACTTGTGTAATGACCTTGGCTCTCATGATTATGAGTGCTGGATTGTGCATAATAAAGCTGCTCAGTGCATGTATCCTTCCCCATTTGACACACAAACTTTAAACAAACTTTGGTTAAAAAAATAATTAAATTGTTGTTTAAGAGATCAAATAGTAAATTGATATTGTGACAAACCCATTTGACATACAGATCTAAAATAACTTAGTTGTGTATAGTACTACACATTCAAAAAGCTTTGGTTTGATTGAATTTTAATGAAATATGTTTTGAAAATTCCATCAAGACATGCCTTGCCAAAGTCCACAGTAGATTTGTATGTCATATGGATATGTCACAATAAAAAAATGTTACAAAGAAAACTTGAGTACAATTTAACAGGTGCATGTGTTACCAAATTAAAACTTGTAGTGGGTTTATGGCATGGGTCTTGGTAAACTATGTGTTTTTCAATCTTACCAAACTAAACGTTGTAGTGTCACGCCTCCCTCTAGCATGACTGAAACTACAGCCAACACGGCCACCTCAGACTAAAGTTCCCAGGACTCCCCACATCATCACGTGACTCAGAACTGTACCTGACCCATGTATCATGTTCTGCTTCTCTGGACTTCTAATCACACACAACTGTTTCTCTCTGTATATAATGAGCCTTTTTTGTAACCACACTTTGTGAAGTACTGTCACCTTGTAGTGCATCTTGAGCATTTCTCTCTTTTTCATGTATGACCTGTATTACGTTTATGACTTTGATTTTTGCCTTTGCTCAGTTTTGGATCTCTGGTTTTTTGACTTTCTGTTTCTGTTTTTTGACTGTGATTTTGGATAATCCATTTGGCATTTAAAAACATATAAGAAATCATTAAAATTCAACCAAATTTGAATCAAACTAAGGATTGTATTGTGTTTGTCAGATGGGTATATGTACAATACAAGTGATTTTAGATCTGTATGTCATACGGACATCTTTGAATATGTTTCGGTGCTTGCTGCAGCGATTCTAGCTATTTTGATCAAATGTACTTGGCAAAATGGAAAGATCGGGTACTTTGACGAAATATAATGATTGTAGTTTGTTGTCTGTTTACCACGGTTTAGAAAATTTAATTTAATAAATTTTAGGAGGTTGTTTGTGAGCAATAGGAGGGGTGAAACGTGAATATCTGCTGAAGATCCAACATCAAGCTAACTGCAGAGCTGTGGTCACAGTCAGCATAAGAGCAGTGTTGTGTACAGTGGCTTTACTATAAACATCAAATTCGAAGACTCTGATAAAAACAAAACACTTTACTAAATCTAATCAGGCCTATTATGACTTGTGGAAAAGTTACTTGTGTGTCCTACTGGAGAAGCACCAGAGCAAACTCAGAGAAAGGGCTTTTTGAAATATATTTGCTACCCAATAATGAACCCTAATTGAGTGTTATTTTTGGACATCCACAGTATTTAGTAAATGCAGGCTTGGGCAGGACAAGCTATAATTGAGGTTAGTAAAAGTCCCCTATGTGAAATAAAAGCTCTAATTTTTTATATCTAGGCATATAACTAACTCAGGGAATCAGGTACAAATTCTGAGGAATACTCCAAAGGTATTCTATTTGAATTTTCTATAATCATATTTCACTCTTTTAAAAATTAGTTCATTATGCATGGTTCATTACATCTTTAACAGCTTAATCTTTAACAGCTTGCCTTATTCATTACACAGAGTTGAGTATTTATAAAGCTATTTTGCCTTTCTCTCACACAAATGTAGAACCCTAGAACTTATAGTATTTTTTTTAATTTTTAATATCTTATACATCTTAGATTGATCTCCGATCCTCTTATCTGCACTGCGCATGCTCTGCGAGAGGTTCGGCCAGAATGCGAGAAAGACGTGGAACAGTTCCCCTTTTGAGTCGTGGTTCCCCTTTCTGAATATCTGAAAAGCTGCTTTGTCACAATGTTGTACAAAGCACTAGCCAATATAAATAAAATTTCATTGCTTTGTCTTCTTGGCTTGACCTAATTCAATTACACTATTATGATTTCCATGTTTAAAGACATTTCAAAACAGAAATAAAAATCATGCTTTCTCAGAGGTAAATATTTACTTCTTCTAGCTTCCTTCTACTGAGCACAGAGCAGACATTAAGCAATTACACATTCACATGAGCATAAGTGAGCTTACATGTGCAATCATTTGGAATATTCACAGGCATATTCATCAGTCTTCTATTTACCATGGCCTATTTTGATCCAAATCGAATTGTTTTGAAACCACCTTAACCTAGCTGTTTTCCCTACTATAATATTGAGACATCTCTGCTCTAATTGTTCAGCAAGCAAAAAAAAAGATCAACATGCAAAAGTTATCACAATGTTGGGGCTATGCCAATAATGTCATATCTTAGATCTGTTAATGTACTTAGATTGCTATAAACAAAGACATTTTTTTTAACAGTAATGATGTTCATAGTTTCAGTGGTGGACACACACACCCACACACACACACACACACACACACACAAACAAAGGTTCTTGTTATGAACATAACATCACTGCTAGATATGATCTTACCATGGAAAATATCTGTAATCCACTTGCAATAATCCTTGTTCCAGTGGAGAAGAGAGAGAACAAAGTAGCTGGGGTATAACAGCAGAGGTGAAACTTTTAATGGAGGATCTAAAGGATTTAGCTTTGGTTTTTCAGCCACCAGTAGGACAAAGAGAAAACAAGGTGTTGACTTTGTAGTTGGTCCAACCCTGCTTCAGGCTCTCTCTCTAAATCACCACTTCCTCATTACTGTTCCCATCAGATTTGCCTCACTACAAAAAACAAAGAAACACACACACACACACACACACACACACACACACACACACACACACACACATATTCAAATATTCATATATTCAAATATTGAAAATGAGAAATTTCTTGTTTTTGGAAAATTATATGCCCATTTTGAATTTAATGCCAACAACACATTCCAAAAAAGGTCTTCTTTTAACAACACTCTGTAAGTGTTTGGGAACTGAGGAGACCGATTGCTGTACTTTTGAAAGTGAAATGTTTTCCCATTCTTGTTTGATATAGGATTTCAGCTGCTCAACAGTTCGGGCTCTCCTTTGTCATATTTTTCATTTCATAATGCACCAAATGTTTTCAGTAGGTGACAGATCTGGACTGAAGGCAGGCCAGTTTAGCACCCAGATTCTTTTAATATGGAACAATGCTGCTATAATACATGCAGAAGGTGGTTTGACATTGTCTTGCTGAAATAATCAATGCCTTCCCTGAAAAAGACATCGTCTGGATGGCAGCATGTGTTGCCAAAACATGTATATATCGCTTAGCATTAATGGTGTCTTCACAGATGTGCACGTCACCCATGCCATGTGCACTGATGCACCCCTATACCACCATGATTACTAGCTTTTGAACTGTGAATTGATAACAAGCTGAGTGGTCTTTAGCCTGAAGGACACATGTCCATAATTTCCAAAAACAATTTCAAACTTCAGACAACAGGACACTTTTACACTTCCCCTCAGTCCATTTCAAATGAGCTTGGGCCAGAGAAGGCGGCAGCATTTCTGATTCCTGTTTATACATGATTTTTTCTTTGCATTTTAGAGTTTTAACTTGCATTTGTTGATGCAGTGATAAACTGTTTTCACAGACAGTGATTTTCAGAAACGTTCCTGAGCCCATGCTTCACTACAGAATCATGTGTGTTTTTAATGCAGTGCCACCCGTGGGCCCAAAGATCATGGCCAGCATATACTGGTTTTTGGCCTTGCCCCTTGCATACAGAGATTTCTCCAGATTGTCTGAATCTTTTAATGATATTATGTACCGTAGATGATGAAAAGTAAAAGTTCTTTGCTATTTAATGTTAATGTTATTCTTGAATTGTTGCACTATTTGCTCGTGCAGTCTTTCACAGAGTGGTGAACCCCTCCCTATCTTTACTTCTGAAAGACTCAGCCTCTCCGAGATGCTTTTTTATACCCAATCATGTTACTGACCTTTTGGCAATTAACCACCAGCATTACACAACTTTACCAGTCCTTTGTTGCCCCGTCCTGACTTTTTTGGAATGTGTTGGCATGAAATTCAAAATGGGCAAATATTTTTCAAAAACAATCAAATTTCTCAGTTTCAACATTTGATATGTTGGCTTTGTGCTATTTTCAGTGAAATATAGGGTTCAAATGATTTGCACATCATTGCATTTTGTTTTTATTCATGTTTTGCACAGCGTCCCAACTTTTTATATTTAGTTAGTTAGTTACATTTGCCTTGTAGTCAAGTGCAAAACTAAAGAAGCAAACTTCAGACACTAAGCATGTGTTCACTGATTGACTACATTTGGGGGATGGTGTATAATTTTCCTTTTCTTTAAGTCCTACTGTTTGTTCATAATTTCATTCTTCTTCTGCTTGTCTGCTTAAATATAATGGACAACAGAGATGTTAATATGTAGCCTGAAACATCATTAATTAACATAAAATACTTATTAAATTTTCTATGCCTTAATTTATTAATATAACCCCGTTTCCATTCAATATGAATAGAACCAGCACATACACATTTTCTTTTGTTGTTTATAAAGCGAAGATCAGTTAAACGAGTTAAAGGCAGGTCTGGCATATCCTTACATGCAAACTAGGCAATTGCTAGAGCGACACTTGAGCAAGTGTACCAAATTATTCTGTTACCTAATACAAATCATAGAGCATATAATTTTACCAAGCTCTCTGTAAACACACTGATTAGCTGAGAAATGTGTCAGTCATTGCTCAGGCCATTCCGAACTTTGCTAAACCTGTCCTTGTACACTGATTAGCCAATCGTAGCTAACCAATTGTAACTTGGCACACTTGGAACTTTAAACTATGTCACAGTATTGCTTGAGGGGAAATTATGAATCAGATATCTGATATCCATGAGTCTAGAAGGGAGTGAAATTTAACCTATTTCCTAAGTGAGCTAACTAGGAAGTTTGGCTGACTAATGTGGTCTTTCTTTGTTAACTCACTGTATTTTGTGTAATATGTAGCTGAAACAAATTAAATTAAAACACAGGCGCATTCAGACAGGAAATATCGACTTCATCTTTATGTGAATATGCAGCCTACTCCAGAATAAGTCCAGTCTCTGGTCCTAGAGGAGAATAGAGATGGATTAAACCTATGATGTAAAAACAAAATACTGGTGAACTTCAGAATGCATTGGAGAATTGTGACTGCCTGTGTGTGCTTAATCACTGCCAAGCTGCATTTGTTTTCAAGTTTCATCAATTTTGATTTCAGTTTTGATTGGCTTACAATAATTCATTGCAAACTCTCCCACAAGCATAGTTTAAGAATTATGGACAGAAATAAGTTAGCACCGATCTGCAAAGACATCACAGAAATATTTGTAAATATGTTATCAGTCATGTGTCAATCGTGAATGATACATTAACATTATTAGGGGAAAAATAATGAATGCAACATGGATATATTTTTAACACCATGTGCTTAGTATCTTATTTGTTCCCCCCAAAATGTGTACTTTAATGTATTCATTACCATACAGTGATTTATACACTGAACATCAATAGTATTTTTTTTTATTTGTTAAATTATACACTTGTTACTCCTAAATTAATTAATTTTTTTTCAATTTTATGTAAATGCAACAGTGTTACTGTACTATTCATGAACATGCCATTAATGTTTCATGTACATGTAGTTACTGTAAAGCATTTCTCAATGTTGTTTAAAGAGAATAATTAAAAAATACAATTTGATTCAAATTTAAAGCTGCTGTAACTTTGGCAATTTTGGGGAACTGGCAACCTCTCTGGTGGAAATATGTAACTGCACAAAATGGGCAGAATAACATTTTGTAACATGGGTTGTGCTGCAGACAGTCAGATATATTTAGGCAATGCTAGCCAAGTATATTTTATATTGTTGCATTTATGAAAGGAGACAGATGGTAGCAAAGGAAATGATCTGAGAATAATGACTAGCCTGGTTTAGGGGATGAACTCTGAAGCAAAAAACATTAGCTATAATGTTATAATGCAGATAATGTTAGCCAGTTAACGTTAGCTATACATCTAAAAAAACTTCACAATTACAAAAATATGTTGCATTTTGTTGCAACGGTAAAATAAATTTCACAACGATAATTTAACTACCAAAACCACACAAAAAATGCACCTGGAGTACCAATGATTTGATTTTTTAATCTGTTCTATCACATTGTCTCAAGTTCAGATAGATTCAATAAAGGCTTGTTATCAGCTCAACAGTTGGATCATAGTGTGGAGCAGGGAAAATACTAAAATGTGTGGTACTGCAGGACCAGGAATCAGTGACCAGGGGTATTCCAGGACCAGGAAATCTTCTTGCATGGTAGAGTGACACAATATTCACTCAAGTTAACAAAGAAGAGCAATGTGGGACATGACAAAAGATCAGAAAGATCAAAAAATAAGGAAAAGATCTCAAATGGTACCATTCCACCTGTGACCCTGATACCAAATAAAGCAGTCCAAAGACACTAAAAGGAGTACTTCTCCTGAAACACTGTTTTGATATGAAAATAAATGAAAGTTAATAAGCACCAGTTATCATGATCTGTGTAATAATGCTAACTTGCGTCACTGGTTTTAATTAGGCCAACCAGAGGACATTGTGAAACAGGTAGCCATGTTGATAGTGATTATATTATTTACTTTAGCTGCAAGCTAGCCTGTTGTTCTTGCAAATGGATTACTGTTTCTTATTAATTATTTATATTTCAGCCCAAAATATTTGTTGTTTAACTTAGAAACTGAAGTGCCTATTGTGTTTAAAAAACATCCATATTTAGGCATTCTTTTGCTTGTGCTGAAAGAAAAACAAAATCTACTTCAGTCTTCACAATCTTTAGTATTTATGGCTGATAATAATTTGTAAACCCCAATAAAAAGAAAGCTAAAAAACTTTAAACCTTGAAATGATGTATTAAACATTTAACAGACAATGGTGATCATGATTTACAAATGACCTAATTTATTTAAAAATTGTATACATATTTAAATTAATAAATAATTAATTAAATAAGTCATTACTTATTCATAAAAATGCATGCATGTGCACGTCTTCAAAAGTACATGTACATTAACATATGTAGACCATTACGATAAAAACCCATAATGATGAACTTCTGAATGCTTGGTTAGCTCATGATTAGTTAATTATGAAGTTGATGTTCACCACTAAATTTTACAACAGTAGTACTCTTAGTAGTCAAACCAATCAGAGCAACCGCTCTCTAAAGAAACATAAATTTAATTAAAGTTTAATTCAGTCATCAATCAATTCAGTTTGACCTGGGGTCAGATGTCTCACACTTGGAGATTTCAAAACATCCACATAAAAGTGTAGACAGGTAGTAATCTGGGTAGGAGGGTAGCAGGGTAGTAATTTGACTTATGTTTATGCTACTGGAGGTACACAATGATACAACATCAACCGAGCAAATGTGGAGTAGGTTGGTTTTACTATGAGAGCAGTGTTTGGATGGGAATCAGTGATGTCTGGGGTCCTTATACCCAGGTCTCATGGCACAGGGTGGTTGATTCAGTGGTGACAGAGAGAGCTAGTCAGCTCTGCTCTTGGTAACGTTGTGATGGTTCACATACCCTGCTTATGGAGTACAGGAATACAGGTGCCTTAATTTGGATGGTCTCTCTCTCACTTGCTCTTTTGATCTGATGGCTCGGAAAAACCCAAGCTGGTGTCAGTCCATCTGCCTTTCTCTCCCTGGTCTAATCTAGACAAAATCACGAAATGTTTGGCCAAACAGTAGATACTTTTGGTCAATTGGGAGCACACTATAATGAATATGAACAAGACAAATGAAAACTCACATAGGAACTTTAACGTCTCATATCTAAAACAAAAAGAGAAAATGCTAAATGTTTCTGATTCAACTAGTTCAAGCTTCGTACAGTACCATAGTAACATGGCCTAGGTACTGGGTTACAGCATCTCCATTTAATGAATATTAAACCTCCCTGATCTATAGAAAAAATACATATTTAAGTGTGTTTTGTGTAGTGGATGTGTTATTTTTTACTTACAAAATTGTAATTTGAACAATAGTCAAGTTTAACACTCTTTCACACACTATAAAATGATAATTGCAATTTAGTCCAAGAAGCCAACATACATTAGACCAGATTAACACTATATACTAAAATGAATTTTATGATAGCGGATTTGAAGTATTTAGCAGCCAAATTCATTAGATTTGTCAAGAAATGTAGTTTAAGAGTACATTATAAAAGGACCATTTCAAATACATAGTACAATGTACATCAATTCAGTATGTGTCCATTCAGTATGTTGACATTAAAAATAGAAAACATTTAAAATGAGAGACTTTCCATCACCCATTTTTTCTTCTTCTAGATTGCTTGGCACGTTATGACCGACTAATAGATAAATGTTACTTAAATAGTGGTGGGTCTTGGTGTGAAAACGGCATCTATATCGTTTAATTTAAAAAAAGAAATGCAAAAAAAAAAAAAATGACAAATATGGTCAGCTAACTGATTAAGAGTGTTCCTCAAGGGGAAAAAGTAGATTTTCAGCCTCATTAAGTGGTTGCAAAAGATAGGATTGTTAAAGTCGAATATAAAATCTCCAAGCTGCAGAGAGTTTATGAAGATGGTGAGCTATATCTTGTAAGTTATTTAACAAAATTATTCTTTTGGTTTGTCAACTCCTCCAGAAAATAAATAGTTTATTGCAGTGGTGTACAACTCTGGGCCTGGATGGCTGGTGTTGAGGACAGTTTGGTGGTTTAACTGCTCAAATACACCTGATTAAAGTAATCTGTTAATTGCCAGCTTGAATTGCCAGCTACCAAACTTTGCTGGACACATACCCTCCATGACTGGAGTGGTGCACTCCAGGTGTATAGCATTTGGTTTGGAAAGATTCAGATGAGTTGACAAAAGATGAGTCACAATTGCCATCCATGACACTTTTAGCTTTATTGGGAAATTCTGGAAAGTGGAACTAATATAAGTACTTGTACTTGAATATCATTTTAGGGTACCTCCTCAACATTCATATCGCTGTTGTTTTTAAATTAACTGTTCATGAGAAAACGTATAATTCCAAGGCAGTGCAAAAAGGTTTTTTTCCAATGCAAGCCTTGTTCAGTTAGATGAAATATATTCACAGGTACACTAATTTACCAACTATATTTTCTTTGATAAAAAGTTCAGACACTGTGCAAAATGTAAATAGAAACCAAATTAAATGATGTGCAAATCATTCAAACCCTATATTTCAGTGAAAACAGACAACATATCAAATGTTGAAACTGAGAAATTGTATTGTTTTTGAAAAATATTTGCATTTTGCAATTTTGATGCCAACAAAACATTCCAAAAAAGCTGGGACAGGGGCAACAAAGGCTGGTAAAGTTGTGAAATGCTAAAAAAAAAAAACACCTGTTGGTTGATTGGCAACAGGTCAGTAACATGATTGGGTATGAAAAGGCATCCCAGAGAGGCTGTCTTTCAGAAGTAAAGATGAGGAGGGGTTCACCACTCTGTGAAAGACTGCACAATCAAATAGTACAAAAATTCAAGAATAACACTTCGAAACATAAAATAGCAAAGAACTTTTGCTTCTCATCATCTACGGTACATAATAACATTTTAAAGATTTAGAGAATCTGGAAAAATCTCTTTGTGCAAGGGACAAGACCAAAAAACAGTATTTGGTGGCCATGATCTTTGGGCCCTTAGGCAGCCCTCATTAAAAAACATACATGATTCTGGAGTGGAAATGAACGGAGTGGCTCATGAACACTTCTGAAAACCACTGTCTGTAAAAACATTTCGTCTCTGCATCCACAAATGCAAGTTAAAACTCTATAATGCAAACAAGATAAACAGGATACAAAAACACTGCCGCCTTCTCTGGCCCGAGCTCATTTAAAATGGACTGAGGGGAAGTGGAAAAGTGTCCTGTAGTCCGACAAATCAACATTTGAAATTCTTTTTGGAAATCTCAGCTTGTTATCAATTCACAGTTCAAAAGCCAGTATTCATGATAGCATAGGGGTGCATTAGTGCACATGGTATGGGTGACATGCACATCTGTGAAGGCACGATTAATGCTGAATGATATATACATGTCTTGGCAACATTTGCTGCCATCCAGATGACATCTTTTTCAGGGTAGGCATTGATTACTTCAGCAAGACAATGCCAAACCACATTTTGCATGTATTATAGCAGCATGGCTCCATATTAAAAAGTCTGGGTGCTAAACTGGCCTGCCTGCAGTCCAGACCTCTCACCACTGAAAACATTTGGAGCATTATGAAATGAAAAATACAAGAATGGGAAAATATTTCACTTTCAAAACTACAGCAGTTGGTCTCCTCAGTTCCCAAACACTTACAGAGTGTTGTTACAAGAGGTGATGAAACTCGGTAGTAAACATGCCCCTGTCACAACTTTATTGGAACATGTTGTTGGCATCAAATTCAAAATAGACATATATTTTTCAAAAAAAAATTCTCAGTTTCAACATATGTTGTCTTTGTACTGTTTTCAATTAAATATATGTTTAAAAGATTTGCATATCATTGAATTTTGTTTTTATTTAAATTTTTCACAGTATTCCAACTTTTTTGGAAAAGGGGTTGTAGAATGGGATGCTCATATAGGTGTGATGCTTTGGTGTCTACATTCTTTTGGCTATATAGTGTATTTCCTTGTTGTTGCTGAGAACATTTATGGCTAGAGATTAGCCACTTTTTATTTAGATAAAAACATTCAGGATTTCCCCAAGGACAGAGGAGGCTCTTCTATCTGACACAAACACACTGAGGAGTCATTAGTCCAAACAGCAAATCCTGCATAGATGGGTTCTGTGAATGTGGAATGGAATGTGTGTAAGTGGGTCAGTGTGCTTGTGTCAGATGAAACCTTGTAGAAGGACAGAGTGCCAGCTGACCAATCCAGATACACTCCTACTCTGTTGGAGCTGGAGGAAGGGACAGGTATGGCAATGCTCTTTTTATTGTGCCAGACAGAGTAACCAATATGAGAGCAAAACAGCCTCAATGACTTTTCACTGAATCCAAATCGACAGTCATCAGTGTTTCCTTTTCTACTGATTCCTTTATAAGTCACTGCTATAGCAGTCCATTTACTCCACTCAACCTCCCAGTAACAGCGTCCTGTCAGACTCTCTCTACACAGCACCTGCTTACAGTAATCAAATCTCTCTGGATGATCTGGATATGACTGGTGCTCTCTCACAACCACCACCTTTCTGTTCTCCTCAGAAATAGAGAGACCTGCATGTGCCGTGTTTGGATCTAGTGTGAGCTTAAAGGCATCTGCAAAGAAGAGAAAAGACTGGAGTTAATACAACACACCAAAAAAGAGATTAAGGAAGAAAACAACTATATAAGATTATAGGACAGGCCATTTCAAATACTACCTTGTGTGTGAGTAAGATTACACATTTCACACAATTAACTTACATTTTCTTAGTCCCAGTTTGATCCACATCGTCCCTGCATGTTCCAGCCTATAGAAGACAACACACAACAAGCTTGTGAGATTGTGGGTGAAATACCATTATCTGACCATGCCCCTTAGCCATACCTGATTTATAATAGTATTGTGGGAGACATGGTGATGGGCAAGCCAGAGCTGTTTAAAAAAAAATAAAACACACTTTGTATATCTGAGTACACTCCTGGGCAAAAAATGAGTGCTGGCATTGATACACCTATAATTCCTTTCAGAGGGCAAGAGATTATAAGGCATTGTCAGGAGTGTGTCAGATATCTGAGGATGGTGGTTGCATTTGTGTAGAAAGTGGATACTGAAGATTTCCCTGAAATACAGCAGCTAAGTGCCGATGATTCTCTGTGAGCTGTTGAAGACTCATTGCAAGGCTTGTTTCTTGCAATGCATTTGGTAACCATGCAGTATATCTCAATATTGCAGCAGTAGATGGTGGTGAGCAGGCGACGGGTGCACCACAAATATGTACTGGAGGTTGTGCTGTAATCAGACATACTTTTTCTGTTGTTTAAAGGTGGTGTGTAATGCAGTGCAAGTCTTCTGCAGATATGCTGGCAGGCATTCCATGGTAATTGGGGTGAATGAATGAAAATCACTGAGGTATGTCAAATCTGTTTTCTTTAGCACTGGCAATATGGTGACTGTCCTAAAGTACTTGAGGACAATGACCTATGACAGGGACATTTTGAAAATGTTAAACACCTCTGTCAGCTGAGCAGCATAATCCTTTAGCACTTGTACAGGAACTTTGTCAGGGCCTGCTGCTTTCCTGGGCTTCACTGTGCAGAACATCCATTTCATATTTTATATTAATTTTTATTTTTGCATGATGTGGTTATGTTGCTATTGGCTAAGCTTTTCTTGTTTTTTCTTTTCTGCATATATTGAAGAGAGCAAAAAGCTGTGTCACTATGGGAGGAGGAGTATGCATTGTTGCTGATGAAGCTGAAAATATACTGGATGCCTTGCCCCACATGGTAGGTCATTTTTGGTGAAGTGGTCCTCAACCTGCTGCTTGTACTCTTTGATTGTACTCTTTGACTTTGATTGTGCCATGTGATACCTTTTTTTCTGGGTGGCCCTAGAGGCTGCAATCCTTGCCCTCAGCAGATTCCTGATCTTGTTCAGCCTCTAGGTTGGGGAAACAGGAATTTGTTAATTGTCATATAGTCTGCCTTGTCTCTATGGCCTATTTTTACAAATATGTCCCACTGTGTGTATATTTAAAACAGTCCTAAAACAGTTTGTAAAAGGATCCCTTCAGTTGATCTAATCCTGTGAGGTCTGTAGGCTGGTCTTGGGAACAGGGAAAAAGAAGGTATGACTGTCCCAATTGGGGGAGTAGGATAGGGGGCTGTAGCTCTACATGCAACCATTATATTTGTGTAAAACATGGTCCAAAGAATTTTCACCTCTAGTGGGGATTTGAGTGTGCTGTTGATGGGACTAACTTCCTTGCTACTTTACACCAAAATATTTTGTATAATGTCATGCACAATTAACTACTGTAAAATTTAAGTTTTGTCTATCATTTTGCAGTTAAATCCCCTGTTGATGTGTTTGTTTAAGCTTACTATTAAATGATGGTGATTTGACAATACAGCTGCGTTTGTACAAAAATGCTAAGTCACCAAAATGCAAAAGCATTTGCATGTAATGTACCATGAAATTATGTGTATACAGATTTTTTTTTGCCATTTTATGATTGTAAGATCAGTGGCTCTGCATACACGGATGCATAGGTAAACTCACAATCATGATTCTATGTCAGGGTCTCAACAATAACGTGTTAGTTTAATGGCAGTCTATTTAAAATGTAACTGTAGCATGGCATGCGGTACCCCAGACTCAATGAGGATGCTGGAGGCAGGATACACTGTTGCAGCAGCAATTTCAGTTTACACACCAAATAAACAAAAACAAAACCAAACAACCAAACATACACTGGCCACTTTTCAATCGTTTAACATAGACTTTTCAGTCCTTTTTCTCAGTTTCTCGCTGCTCCTCGTCCCTCTCTCGCTCTCTCTCTCGCTCTCTCTCTCACTGTCAAGTCAACCCCCCCCCCTTCCCCCGCCATCCTTGTGGGGCTTCGTCCTCCTGCTTGTTTTCGCGGCTGTCATTGGGGCCTGGGGGTGCATGCCGCAGTACCATAATTGTCCAAAGGAATCACACACACACACACACACACACATTTTCTAAACCACTTATCCTTCTGTGTCACGGGGGGAGCTAGAGCCTATCCTATTTGTCATTAGGTAGAAGGCAGGATACACCCTGGACAGGTCGCCAGTCCATTGCAGGGCCCAAAGGAATCAGTGAATGTTTATCTAATTGATTCTGCTTGCTACTTAAATCTCTCTATTATCAAAGAAAGGACTACCTCTTTTACCTGGGATGACCTACAGCAGGGCTTGATCCCAGGTCTTGATAGACAGAGGGCAGCAGTGTAACCAGATGAACCCACACTACAGCTAGGAGGCCACATGCACAGAGCTGGGTTATGCTCAAAATAATAGTATTGTAACCTACTATGCAACTGGTTTCACGTAAAACAACTCAAAAAAGAAAGAATACCAAATTACCAGTTTATCAAGAGACCCCAGTGCATGGCAGCATGAACTCAACACTGACCAAGGAGCTGTTTAACTAGAGCTCAGCCATGTGTACTGGATTTGACTGGTTATGGTGGTGGCACAAGAAATAGTAACGCCGTACACCTGTATTCTACTGTTTGCCTTGTAGCACTGACATTCACATTTTGCACTTGTTCTATTGATTATTCTCTTTGCTGGCAAGAGAGTATGTGCTGCATGTCTTTGGGAGGAAACCGGAGAACATGGGAAGAACATGCAAAGTCAACACACAGAAAGGACACAGGAAGACACTGAATCTGAAGCAGGGTCTTATAACTATCTAGAGAAAAAAGAAGTAGCTATGGCCTAGCAAATGATTTTAGTGGTCAGAGATTTATGAAGGTGACGGACCGAGGAAAGAAACTTCTTATGTGTCTGGTTGAAAAAGGTTGTGTCCAGAGTGCGTGAAATCTGCAATGATTTTCCCTGTCTGTTTCTGGTTTCTGGAGGGTAGGCAGGGGAGCACCAATGATTTTTAGCTCTTTTTACTGTTTGTTGCAGTTTTTTACTATCCTGTTTTGTGGCAGCTCCAAATCAGACGAGATGGATGTGCAAAGGCTGGATTTGACTGCAGTGAAAAACTGGCTCAAAAGCTCCTGTGTCAAAACCAACTTCCTCATTTGCTGCAGAAAGTAGATCCTCTATTGGGCCTTTTTGAGGATGGAGTTGATGTTTGGCTCCCACTTCAGGTCTTCTGGCACTTCAGGTTGACACAAGGCTGTTGGATATTATGAGGGGCAGCAGTGCTCAGGGGCATCTCCTAAGGTCCACAGTCATCTCCACAGTTTTGAGCGTGTTCAGATCCAAGCTGTTCTGACTGAACCAGAGCACCAGCTGTTCTACCTACTGCTGATATGCAGACTTATCATCATGCTGGATGAGTCAGATGACTGTAGTGTCACCTGCAAACTTCAGGAGTTCAACAAATGGGTTCTTAAAAGTGCAGTCATTGGTGTAGAGAAAGAAGAGCATAGGGCTGTCCATATACAAGAAGTGACTTCCCCCAGCCGCACTGCACCTGCCTGTCAGGAAGCTGCTGATTCACTGACAAATGGCCAGGGATACAGTGAGTTTGGAGAGCTTGGAGGAGAGAACTTCTGGGATGATGATGTTGAATACTGAGCTGAAGTCCACAAACAAGATCCTTGCATATGTTCATGGGCACATGTAGTGCAGTCCCATGTTGACTGCATCATCCACTGACCTGTTTGCCTGGTAGGAAAACTGCAGGGGGTCCAGCAGGTGTCCTGTGACATCGTTCAGGTGGGCCAACAGTCGTTTAGAGGACTTTGTGTCTCTGTCTCTGGAAGAGCCGACTCACATCCGCTAAACACATCCTGGGTTTGCCAGAGGTGTGATTGAGGCTGATGTTGCTGAGCTGGAATGATGGAGAGGTATGACTTTGTCTCTTTCAAACGTACAATAGAAGTGATTCAGGTCATCAGCCAGGTCTTTGTTTGCTTCGGCGGGGTGGTCTTCTTTAGTTTGAGAAGTCTTGAAGGCTTTTTTCAGCTTTTCAGAGTAGCTTCTTTGTCAGTGAATTTCTGGCCTGTTTGTATAGAGCCCTATCTCCACTTCTGTAGGCATCTGCCTTGGCCTGACAAAGCTGTTTTATTTTGGTTGTGAACCATGGTTTGTTATTGCTGTATACAGGGAAGGTCTTGGTTGGCACACACATTTCTTCACAAAAAGTGATAAAAGCATCAGCAATTTTGTCCAAGTTGTCAGTTGCAGCTTCAAAAACAAGTACCATTTTTTGTGGTGTCAGCCATATGCAGGGTTGGGAAGGTTAGGTTAAATATGTATTCTGGTACAGATTATAGATTACCTGTTTAAAAAATCTGTAACCCTTACTAAGGTAATGGAATCTTCACCTTTGGTTTACTTGTCTTTTTAAGGTCAGATAACTAAATAAAAACAATAAAAAAAATTCAAACAGATGACTTAACAATAAGGAAACAGGAAAACTGCACTGTTTCATTAGTTAAAAACAAAAAAATTGTTGGTTAATACCTTAATTATTTTATTGTCTGTACTCTGAATTTGAGACCATTCAAAAAATAATTTGGATTCTATGTGCTAAAAGGCTTATACTGACTCATAGGGCTTTATTTGGTGAGTACATTATTCACTTTTTTAAACATTTCTGTTGTTTGCTGAAGACAGCATGCTGTTTAGTGGGTGTGTTTGCAGTTCATTTATTTTTATTACAATACAAGAGCTTGTTTGTTTCATAACTGCCAATTTTTCTGCATCACTTACTTCAGCTGCATAATCACTAATAGCAGACTCCACATACTTTAGAAACCCATTGTCAATGTTTCTTGCTTGCCGAGTGATATTTCCTGAAGCTAATGCATAGCCTAGTGTACTTGAGTAATTTCCTTTATTTATACATTAGTCAAACAATGGGTTTAATAAACTTAAATGATGAATAAAATATTCAGCATATAAATATATACATTTAGCATTAAATATTTTTATTTATATATAAATGCTGTTTCAGCAAATTTATTCAAAATTTTAGATTAAAACATTTACAGTGATGCTGCTAACACAAACAGACATGCACACATACAGTTTCTCTTTTTTATGCATATACCCATGTAGCTCTACATACCTAAGTGTCTCAAGTTTGCAGTGTGGATCCTCAAGTTTAGAAGAAAGAAGCTTCACTCCTGAGTCTCCTGGGTAATTGTAGGTCAGATCAAGTTCTTTCAGGTGTGAAGGGTTTGAACTCAGAGCTGAAGCCAGAGAAGCACAGCCTTCCTCTGTAACCAAACAACCAGACAAACTGCAAAAAGAAAGAAATGTGGAGGCAAAAAAGGTGATGGAGCAGCTTGGATAAAAACATATTTACACATCAAATGGACAGAAGGAAGCAAGGACAGGTGAACAAATTGGCTTTTAGAGTAAAAATTAATTATATGAAACTCACCAGAGTGTCTCCAGTTTACAGTGTGTACTCATAAGTCCAGCAGAGAGCAGCTTCACCCCTGAATCCTGCAAGTCATTGTTACTAAGATCAAGTTCTCGCAGGGAGGAGTTTTCTGATTGTAGAGCTGATGAAAGAGCTCTGCAAGAACCCATTGTAAGATTACAGACAGCTAATCTGCAAAGGATAAGATAAAATAAATTACATAGCATTGATCCATCAGGAGTATTGAATCAGGTAATACAAAAGTGGTATGATCAAAATTTGTAGAAAATGTTCTTTAGTCTACACAATCATATTGCTATTTTATTGGTAATGTATTCCTTTAACAGGTAAAGGGGAAAACAAAGGCTTGTCAGAGAAAAGCTGGGCTCAAGATCAAGAGAGCAAATAAGGAACACAAACCAAAACAAAGGAAAGGTGAGAAAAGGAAACAAAGAAAACAAACACACAAAGGGAAAAACCCTGGCATGGTGGGCAGAGAGTGGCTGAGCACTTTCTCTGAGTAGTTCTCCCTGAGGAAGAGAAGATGTAAGATGCCAGAGAAACCCCAAAAGGAATGCTTGAGTGGTTTGGTCTGGCACAGGCAAGAAGTCTGGGCTCTTACAGTTGTAACACGTTGATGTGTCATGATGGCTTGTAAAATTCTTCATCTCATAGAGTGTAAGTATATCTACAGCATTACAGAGCCAATGTTGACACAAAATTAAAACTGATATGGACACAATTTGAGTCACTAGACTTTCAGTGGTAGTCATTTAGAGTGCATGCACATAGGACAGATTGAAATGGAAAATGTAAAGGTGGCCAAAAGAGATGTAAGATACATTTATGATCTAATGCATAGATGATCTAATAAAAACTGAACAAGAATCAGACTGTATGTCTGATCAAGTAGCTGTTAGCAGTAGTCAGTTGACTTTGTGAGAGTGCAGATCTATAGTTTGGCCCTCTGGCAGGAAGGATCAATATTCATTTCATGCTCACCATCGTCAGAGTTTCCTATCCTAGCTCTAACACTAAAAAGGCACACACCAAGATCTACATGCCTGAGTGTCTCCAGTTTGCAGTGTGGATCCTCCAATGTGGCAGACAGCAGCTTCATTCCTTTGTCTAATGGGTCATTGTAGGCTATATCCAGTTCTTTCAGGTTTGAAGGGTTTGCACTCAGTGCTGTTGCCAGAGAAGAAATGCCTGCCTCTGTGATTGAACAACCAGACAATCTACAGAGTGGAAAAGAAAAAGGAGAGGCATGGAGAAAACCCAGCTGTTGGCATGCTGTAACTTGACTCTGCTGATCTGTTTCTTTAGTTCAAACTCAAGTTTTACATGGAGAGTTTTACTGATGGCTCTCCATATGAAAAGTTATTTCTAGCTACAGCCACAGTGAAATACACTGAGCCTGAAGAATCATTTACAAGCACAACGTTCCACTGATGCCAGCAACATCAGTCAATCAGTAACGTTAGCACTGGAGGATGTCTTTGGCAGACCACACTGGACAATACAAACAGAAGAGCTTTGGATAAACTGACAAGAAGCAAGCTAACAAAAACAAAAACAGTGTGAAAATGTCCAGTTCCCCTCAATATAAGATCCTGATCTCACTGGATCATGATTAAAACAGTGGCCAAATTACTTGATCAAAAAAACAAATATGATTAATTGCAATTAACTGCAGCACAATTTCATAGGTATGTATCTTATTAGGTCATTAGGTCAGAGTATTTATAAAGTAAAACATGAATTGCACAAATATTCTAAAACACTCATACAAGTTAGGGTACCTATACATTAGGGGCTGATGCAGCATCAGAAACGCAGCCCTGCAATGTATTTGAGTTAGGACGCTGCATCAGCCCTGCGGACTTAAACGTGTCTGTATGCAGTAAAAAGACGCATCATCGAGCATTGAAAAAGTTCAAACCATTTCAACTTCTGCTGCAACACATTCTGACATAGAGGCACATCAACCAATAGAAACATTCAGGCAGAAGTCAGCTGAAAATTCAAGATGGAAAACAGTGGCGACATTATGTGCTCGTTTCCTGCTCTGTATGAATTCTTTGCCTCTGTGTTGTCTGCTTGGCTCTATATATGCCCATTGCCAAGATTTTCTTTCAATGGCCCATATTTCCCCCGCAACCCAGAAGAATAAGCGGTTTAGAAGATGTGTGTATGTGGCCCATATTTCTTTGTTTCTGGTCCAAATGTTTTGTTTCCTGCTAGATTTCGAACTGTACAAACTCCGCCCTGTCTAGCCATGTACACACCTTCCTGACAGACAAGATCTGCATGCATATACATCTACCGCTCTGTCCTTGCATTGTCTAGTGTGTAGGCACTCTTATAGTAAATAAAGTGATAGCATACTCATCACTAAATTTACTAAGACCTTTGAACGATGTTCAAAAGTGTTACTTAATCCTGGTCCTGGAGGCCAACTGCCCTGCACATTTTAGTGCTTGTCCTGTTTTAACACACCCACTTTAAATCAATAATGGGCTGTTCATGAACTGATTAGTTGGATTGGGTGTGCTTGAGCAGGGAAAACACTAAAAAGTGCAGGGCAGTGGGCCTCCAGGACCAGGGTTGAGAAACACTGTGATAGACTTTACATCCATTGAAATCTTTGTTAAATAAGTTATACAATTATTTTTCAAAAAGCTTGAAAAATACCCACCCAAGAAGGCAAAAAGTAGCAAGGCTGAACTAGCCAGGCTTAACAATTGAAACATGATTTACAATGACTGCTATGCAGAATGCATTGCCTGCAATGTCTGTGTGCAATATTGAAGTCAGCTAGATATGCAGCGTCTTGAGGGTATGGGACCTGGGGCTCGTCCCAGCTGATTGCCAGTTATGAAGAGCTGCTAATCATTTGAAAAAATGGCAGGGGCATGGATACATCTTTAGCTACTTGGTTTTAGTTTATGTGTTCTAAATCACGTGTAATGGAAGTAAGATACAGTATTGTACACAGTTAGGCCCAGTGACATGCCCAGACTTTGTGTCATTTCCATCGCTGTGTTAGCTCAGGCCAGAAATAAAATTGTATTATTGTGTTATTGTGTTATTGTACACTGTAAGTATAGATAAAGTGTAGGAAGACAATTTTAATGACATAATTTGACAGTCCAACTGGGTTAGTAAAAGTTTAGTGAAGGTTCAGGTAGACTAATACTTGTTTTGATAGAGCAGTCAGAGTTACCTGAATGGATGCAGCTGTGTGTTAAACCTCTGAAGTTACTAGTTTAGCCAAACCTGTAATAAACTGAGACTAAACTGCTGCTAAGCTAAAGAAAGTCTAATTGCGATGCAATGTTATCTGCACACAGAAAAAGTCAGTGTTTTTCATTAATGTTCAGTTGTCCCTGTGTATATGTAGCCACTGTGTTTGTGTATTTGTCATGTCTTGTGTTTGTGTAAGGCCTCCTTTCACATTCTAATGCTGTAATAGGAATTCACAGAAAGCTCACCTGAGTATCTGCAGTTTACAGGTTGAACTCTTCAGCCCTTCAGAGAGAAGGTCCACTCCTAAATCTTGAATACCATTGTTGCTAAGGTCAAGCATCATGAGGTAAGAGTTTGTTGATTTCAGAGCAGAGCAGAGCATTTCACAGGCATTCGAGGTAAGATTACAGCCAGCTAATCTACAAAGGAAGAACAAATGAGGAATACAGAAAAGAGCTTCAGATACATATTCAGTAATCTCATTCAATATTTTTTCCAAAAGTAGGGGTATTAATAGGAGGTTTTTCCCATTTTTTGCAGGAACAGAAAACAATGAATAAAAAGGGACAAACTATGAAGTCTTTACATAAGATGCTGTAAAATTGTTGTAAAGATTTGATTGCATTCAGCCACAGGAGCATCAGTGAAGTCAGATAATGACTTTAGACAGTTAGTTCTGGATCACAAACATCACTCTGATTCATCCCAAAGGTATTGCCTTACTTCTAAATATAACCCATTACTCCACAGAATGCAATTTCACTGCTCCACAACTCAATGTGTGGAACTTTATATGCCTCCGGCCAATGCTTGGCTTTGAAAATAGTAACATTTTGCTCATGTGTTGCTGTTACACAATGCAATGCCTTATACAATACAATGCTTTTCTACAGAGATTATACAAGCTCATTAGAAGGGTGTTGGAATACCTTTTATAGCATATAGTATTGGCTGCAATGAACCAGAATGAACCAGTGTGGTTGTGTGTAAAGCTATACAGGCCTGGCTAGTGAATATGAAGCAAAAGTAGCTTAACCTAATAGCTTGACACAAATATATTTTGTATTTTGTATTTAATTGCTCAAATTCGAATTTAGTGAGCCAGAATGAACCTGGTCTTTGCTGGGAGAAGCAACACATTCTCTGTCACTCTCTCCAGCAAGAGCCAGCTGTCTCTGGTTCAGCAGTAGAGGCTCAAACTGCTTCCCGCATATCTCATCTTCATTTGGGTCTTGGGGAGTGACCTGCTCGGCAATGTATGATGTAGACATCTTACAATATCTGATGTAGATAATCAATACTTCATCATATTAAATTAAGTGTGCTGGTTACAGAATTTGAAAAATTCATGTGTGGGGGCATCAACACCCAGAACCAAACTTTGTTCTTTAAATGAGCTTACAGAATATCAAGAAAACAACACATTCTTATGTCTTATTACTGTGTTTATGTTTAATTTATGAAAATCCATCCAAAAACACCATCAACACACAGACAGAGCACCTTCTACTGTGGTGTCCAGGTGAACCACTGCAATCAGTACACCTGTTGCACCTGGTAAAGACTTATGATTCTCTCAAAGCTCACCTGAGTTTCTCCAGATAACAAAGTGAACTCTGTGAAGTCTTCAGTCCAGCAAGAAGTTGCTTCACACCTGAATCCTTCAGGTTGTTGTTACTAAGGTCTAATTCTTTTGGGGGGCAGTTTGCTAAGTGTAAAGCTGATGCAAGAGTTTCACAGGACTGTTTACTAATTTTACACATTGAAAGTCTGGAAAAGATAATAATTAACATATATAAATAACAATTAAAACAGATAACACACTAAAATATCATATATACAGATGTATATAATATAAAAATTATATATATATATATATATATATATATATATATATATATATATATATCCTGCTTTCATTAACAGACCCCTAATTAATTAAGTATTTACTGAGAAAGTGTGAGGTTCAGTGTACAAAGTAAATTGCTATCTTTGTCAAAGCAATCATGTCAGGCTGTGTCTACAACCATACCAGTGCATATTTTTGCACTACTAAAGTGGTTTATGCAACCCTACTATACCTTTCTGTTATTGTGGACAAATTGTTCTTATTCAGTCAATGTGATCATGTCTGCCACTGAAATTTTTAGTCACCCGTGGAGCTGGTCTTCTGTTTTTCATTTCATATTGCACTAATACATAAGCAGCAAAGACACTGAAGTGTCCCCCCCCCTACCAGAGCACCATTTCAACTCTCTTTCAGTTAGGTCTTTTCCTCTTGCCATCTTGGTCCAGAAGCACCTGCTAAGTCTGAAAATCAGTGTGTAACCTTAAGAACTGTCACCCCTGAAACGTGTTTTCTGCAGTTAAGGAAACTTTGTATTTCAATATAATAATTCTGATTTAATGTGTGTGAAACTGTTTAAAGCTGTGTTTGCTAGTCATGTGCTACCTAGTTTTTGAGTTTTGCTTGAAATTAGCTACAATTGTAACTACCAAAACAATCACTATCAAAACATTTGGTAATGTTTCAGTGGCATTGTTATTGTATTGATAGTGACAAAATGGAATATTCAATAATTTATTTTCTGAGTCAGTTAAAAGCAAAGTAATGTTAACCACTATGTCTTGGTGCTATGTTTCCTCATAATGTATGGCTTTCTGTCCCTTCAAATAAAAAGAATAATTATATATTTTAATTAATAATAATTCTGATTATTATTACAGTCTTGCAATATTATGTAAATTAAGAACACTGACCTCAATACCTCCAGTTTACAGTCTGAACTCATCAGTCCAGCAGAGAGCAACTCCACTCCTAAATCATATAGGGGATTGTTACTCAGGTCCAGTTCTCTCAGCAGTGAATTTGTACTGAAAACTGATGCCAGAGTTTCACAGCTGTGTTTACTGAGATTACAGTTGTCCAACCTTTAAAATAAACATTGTGTTAAAATGGCTTACTAGCAAAGGTGCTCATGCAATTTAACTTTGTTATGTCAACATGATCATTTTATGAAATGCATAAAACCTTGTGAAAATATCTCACGCTCTCAATAAAAAAAACACTTTTTTTATTATGAATAAATATTGTATTCATTTGTATTTAAGAACAACTATAGGCCTGTCAGCATAGATACCAACATGAGTAAAACATTGGGGTAAAAAAGCAGAAGAATTTACATCCCAATCTAATGTTTAATTTGGAGCAAGTGCATAGACCTTAAGCAGGAATTATGGGTGAATATGTAAAAAGTATTAATAATAATTGTATTTTTTGGTATAATACACTTAATTATATACTGTAATTGTATTTACTAAAAGCACCTCTTCTCCCCCTTCCCACACTGCATATGGAGAATAGACCACACAGTGAACTCATCAGTTTAGGTTCAGCTTTGTTACATTGTTTGTGTATTTAGTTTTAGTTATTTTGTTTCTGTTTTCATTACTTATTCCCTATTTTAAATTACAGAGTACAGCAGTGCAGATTTGTTTGTGTTTATGTCAGAATGTCAATTACCATTAGAATATGCACAATCAGTTACTTTTAAGTGTTTACAACAGTAGGTCTATAATCCTGATGATCTTTAGCAGATGTCCCAATAGCTGAGGGGGAAATACATGCTGTACAGGCCTATATGCTAGGTCTCTTGTTAGACATAGTTTTGTCAAACAGGTAGTCTGATTTGTCCATTCTGCACATTTTTCACCTTTAATTGATTAAACACCACCAACTTAGTTTAGTCCATCTCTTTCATTATTCTCCACATGTGCTGTTTTTAATTATTAAGTGAATTCTTTTTTTATTTAAAACAGATTAAAAAAACAAAATCAAGTCAACTAAACTTCATGCTCTATCTGGATTTTTGTCATACCAGCCGGCAAAACTACAACCTAATGGGCAAAGTATGCCTAAAACTCACCAGAAGCTGAAATTGAACCAAAATGTGCCCAAAGGTAAATATGTAAAACTATTTATTAAAATAATCTCTCTACTTATATTAAAATCTTTTATCAATCTTATTACTGAACACTCTTATTGTCTTTTACCTAATAGTTGCTAGTGTACTTTACAGAATTTTTATGATTTTACATGCATGCTTGTATGTAAATGAATGGTCAGAATGTCTTAAGCTTGTTTTTAGCAATATCCCCTCTACTATTTCTGTTACTGTGTGTCCTAGTGTTATGATCCCTGGTCTTAATTTACCCTTTGTGTGTCTTGTGTGGGCATTCTGTGTTTTCCCTGTTGTGTGTCCCACTTATGTGCAGGTACATGATTGGCCAGACAGAGGGGCACAGAGGTTTAAGAGGTTGCCGAGCCACCATCTTGGGAGATGTTCAGGGCTTTCTCCCCTCTGACTTGACCCGGATGAACACCTGTCCAGACCAGCCCGGCACTCTTCACTTCTGTCTGCTTTGCTTTGCTTTGTGACTGTTTGATTATGCTTTGAAATCTTGGGTAACGTAGGGGACAGGTGCCATGTTGTTTTGGTTACCTTTTCTCCTGTTTAAGGTAGTGAGTTAGGGTAGCCTATATGTCTTTGTTTTTTTTGTTTTTAGTTTAGTTAAGTTTGAAATCATTAGTTGTTTTGTTTGTTATTTTGGCTAATGCTTGTCCCTAAAGCCATCAACCCAGCCTGTTTGAGCTTTTGAAGAAAATAAACCTGTCATTTTCTAGTTTAAATGGTGTTCAGTGTCTGGTCTGGCAGCAGGTCTGGGGAGAGAGCCCACTCTCATTTTCTGTTACGGCCTGACCCTAGACCAGGTAATAACAGAATTGGGGGCTCGTACATTTCTTGATTTTGTCTGGTGGGTATTTGTATTTTGGCTGGTTTGCTGGCAGTTTTCTTTTGGTGGGGATGTGTGTATGTGAGTAATTTTGGGTAGTGTTTAGTCTTTTGAAACTTTTTTGATCTTTAGTGAATTTTATTGCCCTCCCTTTGTTACAGAAATTGAACTTGGTTTGTGTCACAGATTTGCTGTTTCCATAGCCTAACTTTTAGTAAGGAGGCTGTGTTTTAGAAATTTGTTCAAAAGCGAGTCCTCCTGCTTGTAGACCCAGATGTGGAGGAGACTGGTGTTGCTTTGGGTGTGTCTGCTTTTCTTCCAGGAGCGGAGGCCAATGGCAGTGGAGTGGGCTACCCTGTGCATAGATTCTGTTCCTTCTCTGCTGGGGACCTTTGAATGCAGTGGGCTTGCGACTGGCAAAAAGCTTTTAAGGGAGGCCTTTGACTTGGCTGTGTGGCAGCCGAAGCCTGCAACCTAGCTGTTGAACAATTGCGCCCCAGAGTTGCTCTCGGCATAAAGAGTTGAGTGTGCCATGCTACCATGCCTGCTGTGTTATTGGGCAAAAAGCTGACCTGTCTATCAGTCAAGGTACTCCATTTGAGCTGTTTGTTGCTCTTTTCCGGTCATTTATTTTATGAGTGAAAATATTTAGTGGTTGAGGAAAGCCTGTGACACTAGTGCAATTTTAAGATCTGGTAACTGCGATTAGTATTTGGAACATCTTAACTTTCGAGCTTTTATGAAAACTGCCAGTCAAACATTTGTAATTTGATAATGGAATTCTGTGAGTAATGTGGTTAAGTAATGTAGAATTTGTAGAATACTTGTTCCCGGACCAAATCATGTTTTTGTTTAAATGTGAGTGTTAGGCCTTTGATTCTGGTTGTATTTGAAATAAGTGAATGTAGGGTTAGCATGTTTAAGCATTGTGATGTTAGTCTCTTAGTGTTGACTCTGTTTAATAGATTGGTGAAGGCTTTGTTCAATTGTTGGTTTTAGTTATAGCTGTAGCTTTAGAATTCAGTGCTTTAACCTTTGTTGCTGCTTGGTGGGACGTGGTCCCTCTGCACCTCAAAATTATCATTTTTTTTGCTGTTTTGCGGTTCAGAAATTTAGTCAGGGCTTTGAATGCCTACATCACAATGGTGATGTGGCGGGAGTTGTAAGGCCTTTATACAAAGGGCCTGATTTGGTCAGTAAATCTGACACTTGCTAATAGGGTTTTTCATATAGGAGACCTGATTCAGTCAGTTAGTCTGCCATTTTTGTAGGATCTGCTTTTAACAGATAGGTCTGATTCGGTCAGATGACATTTTTTTTGTAGGGTCCTTCATGTGAAGGACCTGATTCGGTCATCAACCCAAACCTGTCATTTTCTAGTTTAAATGGTGTTTGGTGACTGGTCTGGCAACAGGTCTGGGGAGAAAGACCACTCTCATTCTCTGTTACAACCTGACTCTAGACCGGGTCATAACACTAGGGTTGCCAGCCATTCAACACCAGACTCACCAGAATACGCATTCATGAGAATATGCTTTAATTTTTACCCTTTTCTGTGGCTGTAATACATTTAGAAGTTATCTCAAACAAAACATCCCCTATAACTGTACAATTTCTGGCTGCACTACACTTTCAAATCAGCTGGATTTGCCAGGAAAACTGTTAATCAGACAACCTTGCATGATAGGGAAAAAACCTGTGAGCGAACCTTGTGCGTGAAAAAGTTTCTGGTTCCCATAGCAACAATGCATGCTAAAATTGCCTACTGATAAATGCAGTTTTATTCTTTTCAGACTGTTCTGTGCTGTTTTACTACTATGGATTTTCTTAAGCTTTGTGCTAGGATTGGGAGGTGTTACCCTCCCTTATTTAGCTTTGAGGGGCCAACAACTCAATGCCCCATGTAGTCTGCACCTCTGTATGTGTATGACTCTGTATGACTGTCAGTAACTTACAGACTGCACGTGCTGATACAATTTACATTGTTGCTGGGGACTTCAATTATGCCATTTTGGAGTCATTTTTGTGCTGCCCAAATTCTACAAGCACATTTATTTTGTGACTCAAGAAGTAAGTGCATTGGACCTGCACCACATCTCTGTTATGTTATTACAACCAATCCTGCATGTTTAAAATGCCTACTGTTAAAAGCATTTTCACTAAAGCAGTTCTTTTCAGATCATTCAGTGTATTTTGACAGAAGTAGCTCAAGTGTGCCAAACCAGTTCTGAAACGGCCGAGAACCTGAGGGGTATGAAGGGGCCATCTCTGCACTTCAGGACTGTTTTAGTGAACTGAAACATGTTCTGGAAGGTTTCAACATAAAATCTGATGCAGGAATATTTAGCATTTATGACTGGCTACATTAACAAATGCATAGATTATGTGACTTCTTTAAAAACCATAACCACACACAATAACCAAAAGCCAGAGATGAATGCATGCATGCGCTGCCTTAAACATACATATAAAAACCCATACTAAACATGTCCTAACGGACATCTTCAACATTTCTCTTTTGTTCAATAGGTTTACCATGACTGTGTTGCTAATCATAGCTCAAATCACATCATCAGGTTTACTGATCACACTACAGTGGTGGGACTTATCAGCAACATTAAGGAGTCAACATACAGGGAGGTGGTGGAGCAGCTTGGAGAGTGGTGAGGAGAGATCTATTAATTTTAATAAAATTAAATGATTGTAGACTTTAGGAGAGCCCATGGTGATTACTCTCCACTGCACATCAATGGATCAACTGTGGAGAGAATCAAAAGCTCCAAGTTCTTTGGAGTGTACATCACTGACAACCTCAACCAGACTCTCAACACCACCCACCTAGCCAAGAAAGCCCATCAGTGATCTCACTTCCTGCAGAAAATGAAGAGAGCAAACTTTATACAGGGGGGAAACAGAGAGCAATAGAGGTGTGGAAACCGCATCGTCTCAGACCCTAATAGCAACAGCAACAGCTTCTTCCCTTACCTGAAGTGTTGTTGACATGAAAAACTCACCTGAGTATCTCCAGTTTACAGTGGGAACTCTTCAGTCCACCAGAGAGCAACTCCAGTCCTGAATCCTGCAGATCATTGTGACTGAGGTCCAGCTCTATCAGCAAGGTATTGGCTGATTTCAGAGTGGAGCAGAGACTTACACAGGAGTTCAGGGTAAGATTACAGCCAGCCAGTCTGCAAAGGCAGATAATTTGGGCTTTATTGTCATGGTCATAGCACAAGCAGAAAAAAGACATTTAAAAAGGTGGTTCTGGCATGTGTGGTTGCGGCAGATATATTTTTGACATTTTCCTGACCAGCAGTGCAGTCTCTAACCTGGCACAGAACAGTGGAACTGTAAACCAGGGTAGAGTTAGAACAAATACATTATGAAAGGGCATGGTTAGGTGTCCTGCAGCAACAGCTAATCAGGTTAACTTCTCTCATTCCCTTTAAGAGCTGTGTGTGGTAGCACAGTACTGTGATATTTTCTTCATTACTGCACTGACAGAATATTTAAATTTAATGAATACAGAATTGATAAGTCTGCAAACTTGCTGTGTTCAGAATTATATTCATATATTTTTATAATATTTTAATATTATAATATATATTTTATTATAACATTAGTATAATAATCTCCATGAACCAAAAAATTACAATAAACCAACATAACAATAATAATAAATATTGGCAACAGTATTAATAATAATAATAATAATAATAGTAATAAGCAACAACAACAACAATACTAACAAGTATAATAATAATAATTAGTTTTATTATTATTATTATTATTATTATTATTATTAGTAGTATTATTATTATTATTATTAGTAGTAGTAGTAGAATCATTATTATTATTAGCATTATAATTGAGACTATACTATATTCCAAATCATCATTTCTAGAGTACTTTCTATTTGGGGGTGGTTATCCCAAACTTAATGCCTAAATTTCAACTTTTGATGGTTTTTAATATTCTAAAAATCATGTCTCCATAAGAGAAATTTTAGAAAGATTAAGATTTATTATGAGTTTTTAAAAAATCCCAAAATTTTGTCCCATGTTTTAGCCCGTAGATAGAGCATTATTTTAGTCACAGACCTGCGTTTTAGAACAGGAACTGATTCTGAAAATCAATGTGTGACCTTATGAATTGTCACTATGAAAACATAACTTTTACAATTAAGTCAACTTTTTTGTTAGCTGGCTTTTTGAGTTATGCTAAAATTGTCACTACCAAACAGTTACTAATGAAACATTTGGTAATATTTTGGCAAAGACTAGAACTAAAACTAGAATATTCAATTATTTGTTTTACTAAGATAAACATAAGTAAGTTATGAGGTCATTCAAAGCAAAAAGATTTTAGTTCAATTCAGTTAAAAGTCTACAAAAACTGCTAAAGATCACAGACATTGCACAAACAATTTTCTTTTTATGTAATCAAGCAGTGCTTATTTCACGCCTAGACAACCTGCATGCTGGACTATTAATACTGTGTCAAATAGTGTGTTTTGTAAAGATATACCAAAATGTACCTTGTCTTTTTAGATGTTGAGGTGCTAAAATAAGAATTTGCTCACTGAGAACAATAAATCACAGTTTTCAAAACTTTATAGTAAAATATGAATACAAAATGTATTACATAGTTATTTTGCTTAAATTTTTCAAGATAGAATAAAAATTACATGTCCATCAGTTTTTGCTAATTCTTCATGGCCATAGTTTCTTATTCGATGTAACATGCTGTGTTATGTAATCATATGAGTGCATTTATAAACAAATCTTTAGTTAGTAATTAGCAGTTGCTATATATGTACTGTTTGTTTAGAAACACACATATTAATTCTTTATTTAATTGTCTCTTGTAGTCCAAAGAAAAGTGGTAATTCTAAAGTAATGAATAATAAACCTGTATGTAACATTACAGATAACATCATTCTCAGCAATAACAGCATGCAATAGCATGTCATTAAATAAAACTGACCTCAGTATCTCCAGTTTGCAGCAAGAACTCTTCAGCCCAGTACAAAGCAGCTCCACTCCTGAATCCTGCAAGTCATTATAACTCAGGTCCAACTCTCTTAGTGCTGAATCTGAACTGAAAACCGATGCCAGAGTTTCATTGCTGTGTTTGCTGAGGTTACAATGGTCCAGCCTTAATAAGTAAAGATGTAATTACCATACTGTTTATGTGATTCATTTTAAAAACCAAACATAAGTCATCTCAAAGATGTTATTAAGATGTTATTAAAATTAAATGATTATTTTTTTTTATTCCCACTGACCTACACTAAATGCACCTTTTGACTTGTACATATGATTGCAAATATTATTTTAGCTTTTTTTAATCTAGCAAATGTTAGTTTTGTTATTATTGCTTAGATTGTTGTAATTGTTTCTTGGTTATTATCTGGTTTATGTACAGCTAGGTCTATAAATATTTGAACCTTGACAGTTATTTTAGCTGCCTAGCACAAAATAATAGAGTTAAAATTCAACCTTGTATATGAGCTCAAAGTGCTTCATGTCACTGTCCATCTACACTGTGAAGGGCTGCTGAAGAATTTGGCTGTTTTTTAGCAATCACATTATCAATTCATACAAATAAACCAGTTCCACTGGCAGTAATACATGCCCATGTCATAACAATACCTCCAGATGAGGTAGTGTGCTTTGGATCATGAGCAGTTCCTTCCCTTCTTCATGCTACTCTCTTCCCATAATTCTGGCACAAGTTAACTTTTGTCTCATGTGACTGTTGTGAAGTGTTTTTCTTCACCAGAGAAAGAATTATTCTGTCATCCACCCCAGTTGTTTTCCATCATTTTCTAGGCCTTCGTGTTTCTCAGCTGACCAGCATGTTTTTTTCTTTTTAAGAATGTACCAAATAGTTGGATGGGCACACTTAATGTTTTTCTATCTCTCTGATAGGTGTGTTTAATTTTTCAGCCTAATGATGGCTTGCTACATTGGCAGTGAAGCTCTTTGAACTTCATACTGAACAGCAACACATTCCATATGCAAACTTGAAATCAATTCTAGACCTTTTATCTACTTGCTAGTAAGTGAAATAAAGAGGGAATCAGACACACCTGGCTTTGAAACAGCTGTGCAGCCAACTAGCCAATTATTTTTGAGCCCTTACAAATAAAGTTTATATTCATTACTTAATTTTACTCCAGTATGCTGTGCTAGACAGCTAAAATAACAAGAACTTTGTCAATCGAATTTTATATAGGTGATATTAATGGACCTATCTGTATAAAGGTGACTGAACTGCTTAACTGCTTATAGGTGATTTATCTGCTTACTTATATTTTGTAAATCATGCAAACACTAAATTCCTACCATGAGTTTTGAGCATTCACTAATTTGTAAATTATTAATAAAAATGTTACTTGCAGAGCTCGCCTTGTGTTTTTCACAACTGGCAATAGTCGCCTCAGCCCTTCATCTGATGGCCTGTATTTCTTTAGCTCAAACATCTCTTGAGCCTCCTCTGAAATCAGCAACACAAACACCAGAGCTGACCACTGGGTAAAGGATAGTGTCTGTATTGTGAGAACTCCTGAGTTTATATACTTCTGAATCTCACTTGTCAGAGAACTGTCTTTCACTTCGTTTAGGCAGTGGAAGAGATTGATGCTCTTTTCATAGGATTTTGTTTTCCTGATTTTTCTCTTAATGTATTCTACAATGTCCTTCAGACTCTCTTCTTTGATTTTCAAGTCAAGCTGTAGACTCTTGAGGAGTCTCTGATTGGACTCCAGTGAGAGGCCAAAAAGGAAACGAAGGAAAAGATCCAGGTGTCCATTTTTACTCTTCATGGCCTTATTCACTGCTGTCTTGAGGAGATCGCACAGGCTGTGTTTTAAATTCCATGTTATTTTCTCCAGTGTGGTCTGAAGTAGAGGGTTGAACTCATGACTGAATGTGAGGAACACAAATATGGCTGCAAAAAACTCCTGGAAACTCAAATGTACAAAGCTGAAGATCCTCTCATCCTTTTTAAAGACTTGTGTACACACTCCAGAGTACACCAGAGCTTCATCAACATCAATGCCACATTCTTTCAGATCATTCTTATAGAATAGGAGTTCTCCTTTCTGTAACTGAAGAAAGGCTAACCTTCCAAGCTTCAGTATGTTCAGTGCCCCTGTTTGTTTGTCTCTTGTTTGAACTGTATTAATCTCTTTTTGCTGTCCTTCATATTTCTCAGACTTTTGCATCATTTGAAATAGCAGAAACCGTGTGTACATTTCCGTCAGAGTAGTGGGAGCATTTTTCATGTCTTTGCCTTCCGTCAACATCTTTTGAAGCACAGTGACTGAAATCCGACAGAAGACAGGTATGTGGCACAAAATATGAAGACTCCGTGCTGTCTTAATGTGAGAGATTATTCTGCTGGCTTGATGCTGATCTCTGATTCTCTTCCTGATATACTCGTCCTTCTGTGGGTCATTGAATCCACGTATTTCTGTTACATGATCAAAGTACTTGCGTGGGATCTGACTGGCTGCTGCAGGTCGTGAGGTGATCCAGATGATAGCAGAGGGAAGAAGTTCTCCTTTGATTAGGCTTGTTATTAGTTTATCAAGAGTTGTTTTCTGTGTAACATTAGATACTTTCTTTTGGTTAAAATTCAGTGAAATTCTACTTTCATCAAGTCCATCTAATATTAAAACCATCCTACATCTACCATTTAATATTTCTGTTACATTCCCACCACAGAGTTCATCATGGAAGTAAAGCAGAAGGTCCCAGAGGCTGCATTGTTCATCTTTGATTAGGTTCAGCTCCCGAAAAGGAAGGAACAGTATGAAATCTATATCCTGATTGCAGCTGTCCTCAGCCCAGTCAAGAATAAACTTTTGGACACAGACCGTTTTTCCCACTCCAGCTATTCCCACTGTCAGTACTTTCATCCCAAAAACTTTTTGGTCACATGACACTTTGAAAATATCACTGAATTTGATTGGGGTTTCTTCTGTTTTGGGATAAAACGCTTCTACTTGTCTCACTTCGTGCTCAGTGTTCACCCATCCTGTGCAGCCTTCAGTCACATAAAGGTCTGTGTAAATGTATTCCAAAGGCATGAAATCTCCTTCGAATGAAGTCCCTTCATACAACTTTGCCAATTTTGCTTTAAATTTTGTTTTTGTTGTCCTTCTGATATCACATTGTTTTCCATCTGTTAGAAAGTATGAAAAAAATTGAAGCTTTACACAAATGTTTTAATATCTTGGGAGTGAGAGTGAGTGGACATGTCAAAAAAGCACAATATCACTAGGAAAGTTCCGAAATGTTCAAAAAGCACCATAACAGATGACGCAGTTCCATCAGTTTAAGAGCAATGTTCTTCAATGAGTGATTGCAAAGATTTGAGCTATTTCCACCTTTTATACTTCATATCATCAAAACATTCAGGAAATCTGGAGAAATCTCTGTGTGTAATGCCTAAGGCTGAAAACCACAAATGAATGACTGTGACTTTCAATCCCTCGGATGGCACTGCATTAAAAAATCTTGAAAAACTGTTCTCAATAAGCACCAGTCATTGCTGCATCTACAAACGCAAGTTAAAATTGTACTATGCACAGTAAAAGCCATATGTTAATAAAATCAAGAAATGCCGCAGACTTCTCTGGGTCTGAACTAATCTGAAATGGATTTAGGCACAGTGAAAATGTCTATTGTGGTCTGACGACTCAACTTTTTAAATTATTTGTGGAAATAATAAATGTTATGTTTTCTGGGCCAAAGAAAAAGCAGACCATCCAGTTGTTACCAGCATAAAGTTCAAAAGCCAGAGTCTGTCATGGTATGCGGGTGTATTAGTGCCTGTGACTTGGGTAACTTGCACATCTGTGAAGGCACTTCTAACAATGAAAGATATATACACATTTCAGAGCAACATGTTCTATCTTCTAGATGACAACTTTGTCAGGGACATGTTGACATGTCAATTTATTGATTTTTTTTAAGATTGTTGACAATTGTTCAGAGAACATTACAGTACATTCTAAAAAAAATACTGGCCACCTTAATATTGCTGAGCTTAATAAAGTTAAGAAACTGAAAGTTTTCAGTGGGCTTTAATTTTTCAAGAAATTACTCAAAAAAGCTGGAATTTTTACCAAAAAAAAATGGAATTTATGTTTCCATTTTGCTGGGGTACTAAATAATATGCAGGCCAAAATAATTAATTCATTAGCCAAAACTGAGTTTCCAGTTCATTAGATACACTTACTTTGTAGATACACTCAATTTATCAGCTAGTCCTACCATATGTGTATATGCATTTTGTAGGATACTGTTACTCAATATTGCCAAATTGTACTATGTGCTATTTGTTAGCCATTTTACAAACCTCTACACAGTGCACAAGTTGTATGTTTGAGGTCTGCCAAAGACATTGAAGTTTGCATACAAAAATTGTTCTGTGTATGTGCATTCCCAGCAATGGACCAACACCTTGTCCTTGATGGACCCTGCCTATTATTCAGTGCAGTACAGAGAAACAGAACAAGCAGCTAAGGAAATCAAGTGAATGTGATGTTCATGCTGATGTATTAATAAAGGTGACAGTGATAATATTATTAATAATTTATTTACCTGCAGTGAGAGCACTATTCAAATATTTAGTCTGAGGTGCAGTGGAGGAAGCAGCTGGACTCTTAAAGGTTACCTCTTCGCATATGTCGCCACCTGAGAGACAATGGGATATCAGAATATAAGCAATAAAAAATTTTAAAAATGGCTTAAATATTTTTAATGGGAGTAAAAGAATTTCAATGGAAGTTTTTTGAACCAAGGCAATGCAGCAGCTTATAAATAGTATGTTTATATAGACTGTGAAGTTCTGTGATCATAGTATTGTAAGAAATTGTATTGGTTTATGTCACGGCACTCTCTAAATTGACCTCAAGTCTTAAGGTCAGGAAACTGGCATGCCACTGAAAATGCTTAGTGGCTAGTGAACTATTTTGTGTGGATTGGGAGCTATGCTGTGGATATTTGTTCTGTTAGAAGGACCACAAGCGACCCAGTCTTAACTTGACATTTTCTCACAGCCTTTCATCTTTATTAAGGTGTCCAATAATTGTTGATGGTACTGTAAATGATAAACATTATTGGGATTATGTACTTTCTCTGAGATTGATCCGAAGTTCCTCAGCCAGTTGGTTCTGGTTCAAGTTCTTCAAAATGTCCAATGTGATTGCCACAGCTCCACTGAGGTCATAGCTTGCAACCATCTTATCCACAGTGTCCAGTCTGTCTGCATCCTCCAGAAGTGCCTTTGGGATGCTCTTAAAACCTTCCACACCACTGGTCAGTTTCCACTGAAATAGCTTAAGGTCCTTTCCCCCCAAGTTCTGCAGAGTGTCCAGCAACACTTGTGAAATGTTTGCCATTTCTTATCACTGGAATTGAAAAAGGATGGCAGATTCAAGTTTAACAGAGGGTGTTTTTTAAAGAAATATCGAAAATACTTACCTTTCTCTATGGGTGATATAGGAGAATGCATTGAGTTTCTGATTTGGCAACAATTAAAGATCAACATCTATGGTCACTACGTATAGCAACTACATTTCAGACTATTTATTGTTTAAAGGAATTACTTCCTTCAAAAATGCAGTGAATGCATCTTCATGGCAGAAAGCAAAAATAGCTCTGGATTTCTTAATACTTTTTTTACCATCTTAACAGCTTCAAATATACAATACACTTGTTTAACAAATTTCTCTTGTGCAGCTGCCCCAAGTCATTTTATCTTGTGGGTACTTGTGGGTTGCATTACTTTTTGTGTCATATACTGTTCCATGGGATTTAGAATTCTGGGAAGACAAGGTCATTAGATTGAGTATTCCTTTGCTTTTCTTCTTCACCTGATAGTTCTTTCAGGATTTTAGGAATTTTTCCACACCCCACTAAACACACACACATGCACATACATTTTCATACTTAGGCCAATGTTTAAACACTGTTACACATTCCTAAAACCTTATTGCAGGGCAAGGGTGTTAAACTCTGGTCCCAGAGGGATAGTGTCTTGTGCAGTTTGGGGATTCTTTCCTCAAACACACCTGATTCAACTCAGCAGATCTAGGTTTAGTTGGTACATTACAATAAGGGGATTATCAAGCTCTGGCTCTCCAGGACCAGAGTTGAACACTCCTACAGTAGGCTGACACACTTTTTGTAAAAATATAAAACTTATATTTTTATTGCACTATATTAATGATATCTGCTTATATGAAACCTTTTGGAGGTAGACTTTTGACTTTTTGTTTGTGTGTGTATGTGTGTTTTAGGCTTGAAATAATTGAGTTAATATGTATAATGTGTATAATATGTACTTCTGCAACATAGCTGCACTAACCAAGTGTTAAAGAGCCTGTTTAGAACTCTGGCAAGGCCAGATTTAATGATTACTGGTAAGACTACATGAGGATCATGCTGTTCTACCTCAGTAAACACACCTGATTAAACTCATCAGTTGATTACCCCTGGTTTAGACCCTTACTTAGTATCTGGTGGGATGGGAACATGTGAACAGTGGGATGAAGAATTGTTCCATCAAAAGCAAATCATCTCTCCTCTTAAAGGCACAAAAACCCACCCCACAGCGAGGTGGAAGCCAATGATGTAGCATAAATTTTAAGGTGGCATCTGGAGTGGCCAGTAAGATTTAAGAGAGGGCCATGCTGGCCACTCCTTCTTCAGGCAATACCTAGGGTAACTTCTTCACTTGTTAGCATTTCATTTTTGAATCATTGTGCCATTCCTCTTTACCAACCCTCTTCTATGTTTTATTGTTTATTTTTCTTACATTTTATTGAATATCTAGTTTGTAGAATGGCATTGGTAAACACGCTAGCCTACATGTGTTCACGGTTCACATATGTGCAGAACAGTGCTGGGTGCAGTGGCTTTAATATACCCATCAAGTTTGTATACTTTGATAAAACCAAAACTCAGGCCAAACATGACTTGTGTAAAAGTGACTTGCGGGTCTTACTGGTGAAGCACCAGAACAAAGAGAAAGGGCTTTTTGATATGAGATAAAGCTAACTTAGGAAATCAGGTACAAATTCTGAGGCCCTTTGTTAGAACACAGACATCTCTTAAGGCAAGGATTCGGTTTTTACCCAGGGACATACACTTTCTACTCTATTACATTCTACTCATTTAAAAATTAGTTGACTATGCATAGTTTATTGTATGTATAAACAGCTTAATCTTCAATACCTTACATTGTTCATTACACAGTGTTGTGTATTTATAAAGCTATGGGGTTGACTTTCTCTCACATGAACATAGAATCCTAGACCTAATTATAGTAATAGTAATATATATATTTTCATTTTTCAATTTTTTTTTTATGTCTTTGATTTAAGGTGTTGGCTATCCTGTCCAATTCATATTCTTTTGTATAATGTCATATATATTACTATATTTTATCTCACTTGTTCTAATTTTATCATAATTCTATCTGGTGTTGGCTAATTGTGGAACAGATCCCCTTTTAAGTCTTGGTTCCCCTTTCTGGATATCTGGAAAGCTGCTTTATGATAATGTTGTACAAAGAGCTAGTCATTACAGATAAACTTTAATTCAGGTAAATTTCTTTGTCTTTTTGGCATGGTGTAATTAAATTAACTGTTATGATTTCCATGTTTTGCGTGTTTTTTACATTTCAGAACAGAAATAAAAATCAACAAGACAACATGTATGTTCTCCTTTTCTAGCTTCCTTCTACTAAGCACAAAGCAGGCATTAAGCAGTTACACAGTCTTGTGACTTTAAATGAGTTTAAATGTGCAATTGCTTGGAACTTTCACAGACATACTCAGAGATCAGTTTACTATTAACTATGGCCTATTTTGATGTAAAGCACTACTGTTTTAAAACCCCATCAACCTAGCTGTTTTCATTACCATAATACTGAGACATATCTCAGCTTTTAGTTTTCATGTCAAGATACAACAAGCTGTTAATTTAGCAAATGAAAAAAGACAAACTTGCAAAAGTTATCGTAATGTTAGCGGTAAGCCCCTAATGTCACAACATTTTGGAAGTGCTGCATTATACCCAAAACAATTTGCTGCTCCTATTTTAAAATCAGGTTTACAGCACAGTTAGACTGGTTTAAGCAACATTATTGTCATTTTAGCAGTGATGGATGTATATAGTTTTTCTGTTGGACGCACACACATGCACACAAACACACGCTCACAAAGGTTTTTTTTCTAATAGCATCATGCCAACATAACATCACTGCAATGTATAAACTTACCAGGCCAAATATCTGTAATCCGTTGTACTCCACGGTCACGTTATGTGTTTTAAAGTCGTTTATTTCCAAATACATTACCACATACACTTCCCTTCCCACCTCCCTGCCCCCTCACTGCTTATTCACCACTTCCTCATTGTTCATTTCCACCAGATTGTGCCACAAAAAAGGACAAAAGTATTGGGACACCTACACATAACACCTACACAAGCTTTTTTTGCAGCTAGTCCTCCTTCCAGTCCTCTGGGAAGCTTTCCACAAGATTTTGAAGTGTGTTTGTGTGAATATTTGCCCATTCATCTAGAAAAGTATTTGTGAGGTCAGGCACTGATGTTGGACAAGATGGCCTGGGTCACAATCTCCATTCTAGTTCATCCCAAAAGTGTTTGATGGGGTTGAGGTCAAGTTGAGGCTCTGTGTGGGCCAGTCAAGTTCTTCCATACCAAACTCACCCAACTATGTATTTATGGACCTTGCTTTGTGCATTGGGGCACAGTCATGCTGGAACAGAAAAGGGCCTTCTCCAAACTGTTCCACAAAGTTGGAAGCATACATTTGACCAATATGTCTTGGTATGCTGAGGCATTTACATTTCCCTTTACTGGAATTAAGGAGACTAGACCAAACCTTGAAAACAACCGAATAGCATTATCTCCCCATTATCTCACCAAACTTTATTGTTGGCACACTGCAGTCAGGCAGGTAACGTTCTCCTGGCATTCGCCAAACTCAGTCTCATCCATCAGACTGCCAGATAGAGAAGCGTGATTTGTCACTCCACAGAATACATTTCCACTGCTCCAGAGTCCAGCTGCGGTGTGCTTTACACCACTCCATCTGACACTTCGCATTGTGCTTGGTGACGTAAGGTATGCATGCAGCTGCTTGGCCATGAAAACCCATGCCTTAAAGCTTCCAGCACACAGTTTTTGTGCTGATGTTAGTGCCACAGGATGTTTGGAACTCTGCAGTTATTGAGTCAGCAGGTGTTTGTGACTTTTATGCACTATGCTCCTCAGCACTCGGCGACCTGCTTTGTAACTTTACTTGGTCTGACACTTTGTGGCTGAGTTGCTGTGGTTCCTAAAAATGAAACGCCTGAATCCAATGATGAAGAGGTGTGTCCCAATACTATTATATTATATATAAGTATTATATTTAATTATTTAATTTCAGAGCATACCACACGTTATGTATGTGTTTCTCATCACTGTGTAAAGACCTACCTGTTTTTTTTTACCTTGTCTTTGGATTTCTCTTTTTGATACTGTTTCTGGATTTTGAACTGCTTTTCCTATATAGTGTGTATTGTCTACCTCGGTTTTTGTATGGCCTATTTTTGTATTATGTCTTTCACTTACCCTATCTTTAAAGCTCACATTTACCTTTTTATCTGTGAGCAGCTAACTAGTCTTTGGAGCATTACACACATATTCTATTTGTTCAGAGTTTTCTTCTTCTTGCTTCTTCTGCTTGTCTGCTTAAATATGATGTGCAGCATATAAGTAATAGGTGGAAACACTACCTGGTGGAAAGCTAAAGCCATTGAACTGACCCCAGTTGGCCCGATGAACACAAAAGCATCAATAACTGTCCACTGCTAATTTGCATAACACGCAAACCTTGCAGACAATTACTCTTTGTCCTGTAAAGCATAGCATGTAGTATTTACAAATCCTTTTGAGAAAAAAAGTATTTAAAACAAAGTGGATAGCATTTGGAAGATACTGACCAATGACATGGTCAATGACATAACATAACACTCCTTCAATGTGCGGAAACAGGTGGGTGAAAATTATACAACAGATCTGATGTCATCTTGCTCCACTTTTGATTGCTGACATTAGCAGCAACTTTGGCTTTCCTAAACACACTCACTGCTTATTACAACATAGCATCCAAAGTATTTTTTCCCATTAGCCATTCTATTTAAATAGAACCAGCACACATATATTTTCTTCTGCCCTTCATAATACCAAGATCAGTTAAACCAGTTAAAGGAAGGTCCTGTGTGTTTATACATGCAAACTAGGTGATTGCCAAGAGCAGCACTAGAGCATAATACTAGGGCAAAATATGCCAAATTATCCTGTCACTTCTTACCAGTCACAGAGTTCATATTTTTACCAAGCTCTCTGTAAGGACATTGATTAGCTGAGAAATGTGTCAGTTGTTGCTTAGTGACACAGTTTCCCCAATGCTCCCCTGAATGTGTCTGTTTTTCCCCTGTGTTATAGCCATGTGCTTTTGTTTTGGTTCCTTTGCCTCACCCTTTTCCCACCTTCCCTATTAGAATTCCCACATGTTGTGTGTCTTACATTCCTCCCCCTTGTTCTCCACTCTTCCTTTCTTTTACTTTCATTTATTTTTTGTCTTATATTGCTGATCACCCGGCAGTAAATCTAAAAGAAAAAAAAAATAAAGTTAACCTTTTATTTCTTCTATTAACACTTGTAAGCTCACACTGGACCCAAAGGCACACACAGACTTCTCTCCCTTTCTGAGAGAGAACGGAAAGGTGACGGGTGAGAAGACAGTCATATCCTGATCATTCTTAATGAGTTTCCACAGGTGTTCTGTACCGAGAGTCTGACTGGATGCTGTTAATGGGAGATTCAGTGATGCAGGAGAGCTTATATAGCAAAAGCATATAAAACAATCAGAAATGGGGATAGTAATGACTGTGTGTTTGGGCACAATGAACCTTCTTGGAGTCTAAGCTGCTGTAATAGTAGTTACTTTGTCTGGCACAATAAGAAGGAAACTGTCATACCTACCAATCCCCCCCAGCTCAAACAGAGTAGGAGTGATGCTGGACAGGTCAGCTGGCACTCTGTCCTTCTACACTGTCTCCACTGACACACTTACACACTTACAGGTGCTGCTCATTCACTGAGCCACTCTACATCGGGTTTAAAGTTTGGATATATGACTCCTTAGTTATTGTATATCTGATAGAAGAGCCTCCTGGAGGAAAATCTGAGTCACCTAACTGGCGAACACAGCAACAATTTTTTACATAAGTGTTAACTAAGGCTGACATTAGTAATATCTCTTTTTCAGAAAAAAATACTTACTGTCCTTTTGTTGCCACTTTAACAGATACATACAGATTCCTGTAGGCCAAACATAAACAATTAGATATTTAAGAACAATACAAACTATTTTATATATGATGTTTTTGAATGTTCTGTCATTTAAGCTTTGGTAAACAGCACCCTCCTGTGTATTGGAAGCAAAAGTGCTGGTTTTGTATAGTCTGTTGGTATGTATGTTGCTGAATGGCAAATCTCATTTCATAAATAAGCATTTTCACATGCTTATAAAAGATGCTTTATTGCTGTATGTATATACATCATCTTATGTGTTTCTCTTTTTATATTCACCAGCAATATTTAGCTGAAGTGTAGTAGTTTTTTATTGATCTCTTTTCTAGTGATATATAATTTTCTCAGTTTTAACGTAATGTCTAAAATATTAATTAATATAATCCCATGTCTCTCTTCTTCTCTCTGGTCCTCTCTGTCTTTCACTCTCTCTCTCACACACACACACATCTTAATTTGTGCCTGAAGAAGCCGGATCTCAATCCGACACCTTGTTTATAACATTAAATGTGTGTCATTATCTGTAAATATGTTTAAAGAAAAATAAAATAAAATTATAATATTTTGTACAAGTAACTCACTATGTGCTTAGAACAAAATGTTGCAAATTTAAAACTGAAAGCTTGCTTGTAATGAGATGTGCCATTAATCACATGAACATTTCATTTCATGCCATGCTATACATACATACAACTCCTTTTGAACTTCTCTTTGTATGTAATATATATGTATTGGTTCACATGATGACAAAAATAATAATGCAACCACAGAGATGCACTGTTTATCACTCACAGAAAATCCACACTGATGTAATTGTTCAGTTCAATCAAAATATGTTTGAGAACTCACATATGTGAGAACCATTTTTGCTTATCAATATTGTTGGTCCATTGTTATCCCGTTGCACCTGTCACAGAAGGGCTTGTCCAGTACAATTTTTTAACACATCCTTTTTATGCATTCTGTGACTTCCCTCTACTGTCTGTCTGCCAGATTTCTCACCACCTAATGTTTTGCAGCTTCATAATTTCCAGTTTAAGGCCAGCATACTTTTTTTACTCATTTTTTGTTTCTATATTTTCAAGAACATTACTGGCTTCTCATTATAGTGAATGTTCATTGATTATGTTCATTGATCTGTTGGCTTTTTTCTACACATGGCAAGGTGACCAATGTTATTTATGTGTTATGGTGCTTACTGCCTTCCATTTGTAAATTTAAAATTGACAAAGAGAAAGATTTAAATGCTTAAAGTAATACACATAACCTTAAATCAGAAAAAGTTAGGATAATATGGAAAGAGCAAATAAAAAAGAAGGCAGTAATTTCTAAAATTTACTTGATATAAATTTAATTTCAGACAGTATGAACACAAGATATTTGGCTGGCCACCTTCATTTCATTTGTACATATACAAAATCCTGTCCTGCAACACCAAAAGAAGTTGGGATGGGGGCAATTTAGGGCTAGTTCCTCAAAAGATAAAAGAATATTTTACCCTCTATAGTACATAAATATGTAAAAAGCCTTATGTTAACTGTTTCCAGAAGTGCGGTACAGAAATGCTTGTTTGGGCTCGGAGGCATCTGGGATGGACCAAAACACAGTGATTTTTCTGTATTGTGGTCAGAAAAATCAGTATTTCAGGTCTTTTTTGGAAGAAATTTACACTGTGTGCTCCAGACCAAAGGTGGAAAGAACCATCCAGACTGTTACCACCACCAAGTCCAAAAGCCAGGAACTGTCATGTTATGGGAGCACTGACAACTTAAACTTCTGTGATGGCACCATTAATGCTGAAAAGTACAGATTTTGGAGTAATATATGTTGCCTTCAAGATGACATCATTTCCAGAGCATGCATATTTCAACAAGACAATGCAAAACCACATTCTGCACACATTACATATGTCTCAGAAAAGATTTCTTCTTTTGCTTTGAAACCCTTATAGCTGTACAGCGTGGTGTTTTACTATTGCTTAAATGGCCAATATTGAACAGAAGTGGAAATTCTAAGCCTTCAGGC